TGATAATTATTTTAATATATGCCAACCATCAGTTTGTACAGCAACATATAGTAGCCATGGAAATATTATTTATATTATAACAACAACTATAGGATTGATTGGAGGATTAACAAAAGTCTATAAATTTATTGTACCAATATTCATAAGGATTATGGTACATGTAATCATTCCGTTTATACGAAACAAATGTGGTATGAACAACAATAGAGAGATATAATAGAATGGCTGGTGAATCTTTGACTTTTCTACTTCACTTTTAGGTCAATGTTGTCTTGCATATTATTTACATTAATAATAATAAAATGATTTTCTTACATATTTCTCATTTAAACTATGTTAAGTCATTTTATCATTGATTAATATATCGCTTTATATTTTTTCTTCATTTGCTTAAGTTCATTTTATGTTATGTTTTAAATATTTATCTTGATTAATATATCATCTTACTTTTTTTCTTAATTTACTTAAGTTCATTTTATGTTATATCCTAAATATTTATTTATATTCTTATAATTTTATCTAAATAATCCTGCGAAATAAATATATGATTAATGTGCAAATTTCAAAGTTAAACGAAAGAAAACGGATGATGATGAATTTTGACATTCAAAAAAGGATAACCACTTACCATTTCAGCCCGTATTGAAAAGTACGGATCGAATCCGGTAGGACGACACCGAAAATTGACGGAAGGTGGGGGTGTGAGCTAAGAGAAGAGACGTCCAGACCCATGTATCAATTATAAATTTCAAAGCAAGAAATCCTTCTAAAACTGAATCTGATATTTTAAATAAAAATTTTTGTTTGAATATTATTCTTTTAAAAAAGATTTCATAAATATATTTAATCATTGTAAAAAGTGACTTCCATTGTTAAACTAAAATCCATTTAACTTCTAAGAAAACTTCTACATTTTGAGGGTGTCCATGTAGGTTTGAGACAATGACAATATAACTTTGTTCAAATAGAACTGAAACTTCAAGTTTATCTTAAATTATCTTATTCTCAATAACTTTGGATACATATGCTTAATAGTATTTAATTAAACATCTATAATTTTCATGGTTTAATCTGCACACTGAAGTATATTATAGATTCTAACTAATCATGTATTGATAATATAATGATGATGATGATTGGATTTCATGAGTAACAATTGTAAGACAAAATAAAACTGTTTGAACAATGCAAAACAAAAAAGAAATAGTTTTTAACATATAAATGCCATTAAGATTTTAGATTGAGAAAATAAGCATTAACAAAATTGGTTTATACGATGCAACTATATTATACATCCTAATCTCTTTTTTTCCCCTGCATATGGTCGAATTATTACAACACCAAATAATCGAAAGTTATTTGCTAAAATAAAGAAATTTGTTTTGAATTTTTACTACCCTTTCGAGACATTTTCTAATCATAACATTGTCGTATGGCTTTTTGATGGATAAAGCAGTTCACTAAGAGGTTATAACAATAATTTTTGTATATACATTTTCAGTTGGCAAGATTCTTGTCAATTCAATTGACACATCGCCACATTGAATTCTGTATTTCTTTTCATCTGCATCGGTGATCTTATTACCATCATAGACATTTTTATAACCAACACAAATAATTTTATGATAATGTAATTTATTGTCAAAAATAGTAAATACATGCCATAAAATCTACAAGTAAGAAAAAGAGAAAAATTCATTTATTTATAAGTTAAATCAATCTGTTACTTAAACTAGGTGAAAAAAACTCTTTAATATTAATATAAAATCAGACAAGAATATATCTAATAAATATTTCCTCTAGAATAACATATAATCCGCGCAAATATTTATTTCCGCTGTATCTTCGTCTGATGTAAATCGTGATTTATTGGAATATATAATCAATAAACTAATAGAATTTGATTTTTAATCAAATATATAAAATTCCACTTGGTTTCACTTATTTAACCAAATAAAGAAAAAACAATTTTTCCAATAAGAATAATTTATTTGAATAACATTTCAAGATTTTATTAATACAACTTTAGCTACTTTTATGATATTAAAGAAATTTATTTTTTCTAATCATATTATATTATATTGATCAAAAATAATCAAATAATTTCCATTAAAGACGAGAAAATTCCAACGAATAATATATATTCGATAGATTCATAAAATTCAATTACATCTAAAGTATATGTTAATAAGGTGTTCTACAAGTCGATCATTTATTTTGTTCAAATGAATGATTATACAATATTGATCATTGATAATGCCATTGCTTTTTATATAACATTTGTAAGAATGTATGAACAGAATGAGGAAATACATTTAATTATGTAAATTACCAGAACTTTTCACATTATATAAATGTCAATTAATTAATAACAGATATGTGTTTCTTTTTGCATACAATTAATAAATATTTTTTTTGTAGAAGATAAGAAGAATTATATTTTATGTACTAAAGGTTTTAATCATAATTTCAATCTGAAAGCTTTGTCTACATGCAAATATGATAATCTCAACATATATATATATTTATTCAAATATATCAGATAAAATGATATTATAAATTGGTTAAATTGTTCTAATTGAATACAGGAAAAAAAATGACTTTTTCTAGTTGCTTTGTATAAAAGGTAGTAAGCAAAAAAAACCGATTACAAACAGTTTAATCACAAGAGAAATTGACAAAAAGAGGACAGATTTTTTTCTCGTTCTGTCTTCTTCTTCCTTTACTTTAGATTTTTTTTTTTGTTCATTATCGCGGTCTCGAGACTGTCGCCTTGCTCGATGAACAACATTCTCAACTGATGCTGCCTATAAGGCATAAAAACAAGAAAATATATATTGAGACAACGCTCTCATCTTTTCTCTGCTATTCATTCGCAATTTTTTTTTGTTCTCTTCTATCGTTCAGATCAAGTAATTTGATGCGTCTCTCTTATTCTGTTCTACACTCTCACGCATGGCATTATTACACTACTGCATAGTAACAGCGTCATCATTCATTTCTTCTATCGAATTCAATTTTGAACCAAGTGTCGCCAAATGGACCACATAATCGGTGGCAATGAGTGATGAGAATGACACGAAATGGTCACCAAAAATGTTAATGACATGGGCATTTTTTATTGATTTTGGTATACTCATCTGTCTATTCATTATGCCACTACTAAAATTGATTCAAGCTATTTTTCAATTAATCTATTTTACTATCGTAAGTCTTTTTCCTTATACTTTGTTACAAAAAAAACCTAAATCAGACAATGATCGATATAATTTACAATTGAATGAAGAAATTTCTTTTTTTTCGTACTGTAGAACTTTTGTTCTATTGTATTTTATGTATTTATGGATGCTAATCGATCTATCGACATGGGACTTATAGTTAAGCATTGTTTTATTCTTAACAATAAATGAAATTTTGAGCCTTATTCACACATATATATATATATATACATTCAAGCGAATAGGTAGATGTTGCATGATGAAAAACTATGCATGAAATAGATTCGTTCATATGAGATCATAGACGTGATTAACAAGCAATTTATGATGTTTGATGAATGAGCGTCATTATCATACGTATATGTGTTGTATTGAAGTTAGTATAGAAAGATATAAAGATAATAAAGAATTGACGGATAATTTTATTATTATTATTATTATTATAAGATATAATTAAAGGTAGATGTCTTGATATATGCATTTATATTTTTATTTAATGCTATATAAATAGAATAAATTATTTAAGAAAAACTCGAGTGACTAATAAAAAGAATATTTGATTAGTTTTTTGTTAAATTATCAGTTGTATAGAAAAGTCAAATAATTGAATAAAGACAAGACAAGATATGCTCATGTTCGAGATGATTTCGTGAGAAATTAGATGTTAATAATATTTGATGTTAAATCGATAAGATAAATGAGAGACATGTGAAGATAAAAGCGATATCGATAGAATAATGATATTATAATTACTTTATAAATTTTGATCAGTAAATATGAGATTAGTCTATATGGTTAAGAAGAACGTGATCTGTTTTAAGAGCTTTTATATAGGTATGGAAAATATTTTTCTTTAATCAAATATGAATGTAAATGTGAGAAAACTTAGCTTTCTTATCTAAGGCAAATTCAAGCAATATTTAAAAACTATGAAATTAACAATGATGACCTTTTTGATTGAATCAAAAATTGAAACGAATGTAAACCTGAATAAGTACGCTTGGATGCGATTAAAATATTTCTAGGTGTTTGTCATCTATCAATCGCATAAATGTAATGAACATGCACATGAACAATAGAACAAGCGAGTCATTATGAGAGCCAGTCATGGAATTTAATATACACTCGTTTCTTTTTCGTCTTCTTCTCTTCCTTTATGACATGTCTCGCGATTCTTTTGCCTTTCTCTATTTTAAAATGTCAGATAGGTGTTTATTGTTCATGAGAAACATGTATAATGGTAGTTGCTATCGATTAGTGAGTATAATATAGTTGCCGGCAAAGAAGAAAAACAGACTTATTAAAAAGAAGAATTACAAAAGCAACAGTTGCACCTGAATTCTTTGGAATGTAACTGGTAAATTAACTTGTGACGTATCTTGTTAAATAGTTGACATTAATGTGTATGTCTTTTTTCCTCTCATTCGCTACTTACATTTTTTTCTTCTTTTTTTTTTTTTTGGTAAGGTAAAACGAACGAACACTCTTAATTGAAGCAGACAGAAAAAAGAAGGAAAGAAAAAGGAAAAAAAAACGAGAGATTTTTATTTATTCAACCAACAATTGGCGAACACATACTACTTCAATCTGTCTATGGGCTAACTTCAGTTGTTAACTTAAGCACCCTGAGGAAAGCAATGATTCTACCTAAGAGAAAGAACCACTGAAAGCATGATAGAGAAATGTGTCACATTCTGTGATAATGTCTTTTGGTTTCCTTTATTTGTTTATTGATTTTCTCACTAATGCTTTTCTCATTTCCAGATCAGCTGGTTACTCAGTATGAGTTCTATATTTCGTCGTTGGAAGAATCGTTTACGATGTTCAAATAAACGACATATGCCTCACAGTCGTTCATCTATCATTAATGATCCTGAAGTAAAAATAAAATTTTTTTCTATTTTAAAAAAATTCTATTCTTTTGATTCTATTCTAGTTGAAAACAGTAAATGTTACAATGGATAAATTAGTCAATGAAAATCGTATTTTAAAAGAACGATTCGATAAACTTGATGAACGCGTAAGTTGTTTTTATTATTGTTTGCTCTATTTATAAAACAAGATTTTTGTTTTGTTTTCTTTTTATATGTAAAGTGTCAACGATGGATTGGTGACGAACAAACTTATTTATTAAAACGTATTGAACAATTAGAAAATGAAAATCGTCAATTACATGATAATCATAGAACTTATCAAATAAAAAGTGAAAAATGTATTGAATCTGTTACTGATCTAATTGTAAAAATACTCTTTACACAAGAGGTAAGTTATAAATAAACAAATAAAAAAAAAATTTTTTTTCTTCCCTTGAGAAATTACTATTTTTTACTAAATAAGAAAAAAAATGAAATGAGTGTAAAATCGATTTTTTTATTAACATAAAAAAAAGAGAAAAGCAATGATTGCAAATATAATTATATTAAATATAAGCATTGTTTATTGAAATATTGAAGGATAAAAAAAGGAATTAACTGTTTTGATTCTTCATTAAATAAATAAATCTGTTGTTTTTTTATATAAAATTAAAATACGAAATTTAAAGAAACCATCAATATTATGAAAAGCAAAAAAAATGTCTTGAGAAAGCGCATTATATAGGTTTGCATATTTTCATTAAAACTCGTTTTTTTCTTGTAATTATATATGCTTGACTTCAAACATATTTACCAAGGTCGTTCATAGAATCCTTTTTTATGTTTTTGTCTTAGATAAGATATGACATGTTGTTTTTCAAATCAATTTTTATTTGATTGATTCGTTTAAGAGTTCAATAAACCTTTAAAATTGACTAACTAATAGAAAAAAAAAACGTTCAACTTGAATTAATAGATTCTAAAAGAGTTTTAAGTTTTCGCGTCCTTCGTGTAACTGCACAAATCGACATTGGTTTGTTGCCTTTGTTCATGTTTATGTAAACGTAAGTGTTCTTCTGCTATTCTTTTATCCGAAAAGCATAAGAATAGAAGTGTGTTACGATTCTTATCAACAAAAAAAATCTTTTTTTTTGATTTAATTGACGTGTGCCTGTTAGTTCAGTATTAGATTAAACTATAACCAACTGTATGAGTATAAGTGTGCTCTCATCTTTCTCTCAAATATCTCCAACTGCTATCATTCGCTTTTCTTTCTTATAGATATATATATCTCTTTATATATATATATATATATTCTATTCCCTTCTCTGATTGCATTTTCTTTTCAAAACTATGACGATTGCGAAACATGTGCATGAAATGATGATGTACTATTTTGGCTTCTTGCCTTTTTTTCTGATTGTCTTAAAAGAAAAAAATACTTTTGTGAGTTTGAATACCCATTGGTATAGTATATTGATGCATTAACCATCAATGTTTTTGTGTCTACTAAAATTACAGATGAATATATATGGCTGCTGGAAGAAAGCATAAATCACTTTTTTTTTTGTTCGTTTTTTTTGAAACAGTAAAAGTTTTAACAACATTTTGTTTGTTAAGAAGTAAATAAAGGCTCAAGTACCACTTTTTTTTTCTTTTTTTACTTTTAAATATTCTTTTAAAAACACAAAAAAAGCTTCGATGATTATCATAGATAAATAAGAGAAGTCACATAAAGAAAATGACGAGACGCAAAAGATGGTGGTTTCAAAATTTATTTGGTCAATGTATTCTTCCTTGTAATGATAATTCTTCATCTCAGGTGAACAATTCATAGTCTATAATTTCTAAGATTATTTTAGCAGAGTCTTTTTTTTTCTGTTTTTATTTATATTAATTGTTTTATTTATATTTGCAGGACTTGAGGAAACAATGTAGCGATATACATAATGTAATTGATACAGTTCAGTTGAGAAAGAAAGTGCAGCCAGTAAGAACAATATTTATTTTATATGAACCACATGTTGATTCCTTTTATTTATTTTCCTAATATAGAATGAATCAATTATTCAAAGTACACGTAGTATTTCATGTCAATTTACATCCAATCATACAGTATGTATTACAATGGATCTATTTAAAAAATCTTATTTTATAATATTTAGAATCAAGTTCAACGACATACTACAAATGATCAATCGACATGGGTTCATCAACGACTTATGATTGTTGAAAAGAATGATGAGAAAACAACAAACCAACTATCGGGTATGCAATAACATCAGAAGATTATGATGTAATGTGTTAGTTGTATTTTTATCACACACGCATAGATACACAGTAATAATTAGATTCTATAGGAAGAAGGAGAAAAAAAAAGAGAAAATACGAGCGTGTTGAACGACAATAAGAAAAGAAGTGAAAAAGAAAGAGCAAGCCTCGATGATTTTCTATAAAGACTAAAAAGGAAGAAGCTGAATTATGCTACTAGGCATAAAAATGGACATGAATTAATGCCGCAAAAGAAAATAGGGAAAAAAACGAGACAGAAAGAAGAAAAAAGAAAGAAAAACGAGAAAAAAAAAGTGTACTCACACTAGTCGAATAGATATACATAGGGAAAAACGTTCAGACACACTTAAATAAGGTAAGAGAATAGTCTAGCATTTTTTTATATTTTAATAAAACTAAACTGAAAAAAAATAACGTCTTTTACTTCGATAAATATTAATAAAACAAAACCCTTATTATACTAATCTAGCGCAATGTTATTTAAATTTTACCATAAATAAATAAATGATGTTTTTAAAATTATTTTTTATTAAAAAAAAACCTATCGGAAATTATTCTGTCTTATTTTGAAAAATTAGTTTACAATTCAATAAGAAACTCATCACCTATAATATATATTTCTTATTAAAAACTTACATATTAAATTGCCTCCGATAAAATATATTTGTCAGTATAATTACTCTAGAGAATAGAAAAAAAAATATAGAATTGAATATACATTCAACTTGTAAGAATTTTTATCCACCCAAATCGAATAATAAAATATAAGTAATGTTATAACAAGTATTCATTAACCGTCTCGTTCATACATTTCAATTTGTTAGTACTACTGTCTCTATTCTCTTTTGAAAGTCATCACAATCACTATTCTTTACCTATTCAAAATAATAATACTAATAATATTGAATGAAATTTAATATGTACAAAAAAAGAAGGGTGATACCATATAAACGCACCCATTTTCATAGTTGTTGCGTATAGTATGTATGTCATTATAAGACATAACGACAATGTATAATGTCTCAGAATTGGGCGGTACTTGTTCGTATAACAAATGTTCGTAAGATCGAGCAAGTCAGTCGTGATTATGCATCAATAATGTATTGATAAAGTGCAGAAACGAAGAAAGAAGAAAGGAGACACTCATATACATCTACATATATGTACATGTGTATAGCTACTCGCATACAACGAAATTTAAGCTTTTATTCATTTTAATTAATAACCCCGACTGTCGGTTTGTTCTCTTAACATTATTGTCATAACGGTTAGAGAAAGAGAGGCTTTTTCTTCGTCGTTTTTTTTTTTGTGTATATTCTTTCTTGTTGCCTCTGATGGTCATTATTCATATACACTGTTTGTCTTTCGTGTTCACTGACTCCTTTCTTCTCTCCTACCGTCATCTGTTTGTCGCCCAACAAGAAAAAACAAAACATCTATTCGGGTCGTTGTCCGAAATGGGATAAATCAAGATTAAGATCAAGCGTATTATCTTCCTCATCATTCGTTCACAATCGGATTTCCTTTCACGTCAAAAAAGATTTTATGTCTATTGTGTGTATAAAATAACAAATATATACGAAAAAGAAAAACGAAATCATGGTCTTAATAAATAATCATTTTAACGATATCGATTCAACACAATGTTATTATGGTGAATGTGACAGTTTACTAGTAAATTGTTGTAGTACAGCTCGTTTATCATCTCCTTTTAAATTTCGTACAATGAATAGACGACGCAGACAAATGGCTTTTGATATGCTGAGACAAATGAAAACGCAGCACCAAACAACAGGAGTTGCGTCTACAAGATCAAAAAGACATAGAAATAAAAAATGTTTTTATAGAGCACTTTGTTGTACTGGTAAGAAGATTAGTCTTTAGTTAAGATTTAAACATATTAAGCCCTCGTTTTTTTTTTTTACATTTTTATTTATATATGAATATAGCAATAATAATAATTATCTTGTTTTTTTGTTTCTTTCATTGATAGAGTTACATATTAGTGAAAGTCAATCAAGTGTGTATTCTCCAGCTATGGCAACTAGTAAATATAAATCTCGTATATCATCAGCTGGTCTTACAAATGAACTTTATTTTACATCACATAAACCTGATGGTGATAATGAAAAAACACCACCAGTATTAATGCGTAATAAACGTCGATCTCCATATCCTAACAATACACCTATTGAAACTACACCAGTAGTATCAAGTACTCGTCGTCCAATATCATCTCCTGTTCGTTCTACAACATATGTTCTTCAACAACATCATAGAATCAATAATAATCAAAATAATAATAATATTTTAAATAAAAAACATTCTTCACCTATACTTCAACATTCTCAACAATCATCAGTAATATTAAATAAAAGCCGACAAACACCGCAACAACAACGTACATATTCTAATCATGAAAGGTTACAAACAAATGGAGATGCATCAACGACAAATCAACAATTTACTGCTCGTGCACATATTACATTAACACCGAGACGCCCATCACCTATAGTTAAAAATACACCGACAAAGACAACACCGTACATATCAAGGTCCCCTCGAGTAAGAGAACGAGGAAAAAACGAGAGAGAGAGAGAGAGAGAACCAAAAAAAAGCAAATCCTCTCATAAAATGTTAATAATTTATACTATTTTTGTCTTTCTGTTTTTTTTTCTTTAAATCAGATTCCAAATGCTCCATCGGTTCGTCCTTCTCGTCCAATAGTGCCGGTATCAATCGTACCAAATCAACAACGTTCACCTCATGTTCAACTTCGTCCTCGAAATTTAACACCAACAACTCAACGAACAATTTCATCATCTCCAACAAGAATAACAACAACAACAACTACTAAATCAATTCGTCCTAATAACAAAACATCAAAATCACCTGAACAATTACGACCTGTGACAGGTACAATCACACGTCCTCGACCAGTGCATACTACTGTAAATAAATCGAAAACAAATATAACAAATTCAAATATCAAAAGTCGAATACCTGCTGTGGCTATTGTTCAACCAATAACATCACCATTATTAACTCCTCGTGTCTCTGATCTCGATGCATTAATGGCAGAAAAACATGTGAATACACCATCACCTAATCATATTGCATTAAAATCAACAACTATTACTCCATCACCAATTGGCAATAATATTCGACGTTCATTATTTTCAACAGATACTGTTAAAGTTGTACGACCTGTTCGCAGTCAAGAATTAAAAACATTTTCTTGTCATTTAACTACTCAACCATCACCACCCGTATCGATATCAATCGTATCTGATGATGTAGATCATTCAAATATTGATGAAACACTTTCAACATTAACACCAACATCATTGGAGCAAAAACCTATTAGTAACATTCATGACAAACAAAATATTGAAAAAAATGATGATTCCTCTTCGAATACTTCTGCAATGTTACGTGATCTTTCGGAAGATAGTCTTAATGAACATTATCATATTAGACAATTACTTAGAAGCAGTAAGTTATTATTTATCTTAAGGTCATAGTCAAGTGTATTTCTTTAAATAACACTATTTTATGAGAGTTATTATGGATTTCTTCACCTATGAAAGAAAATCAATATTCTTAAAACAGATTATTTGTTCTAACTACATACTTTATTTTATAGTCTCATACGATAAAAAAACGAATAATATTTCATTCAATAAGTCCTCTAATCTTTTTCATTGAAATATGTTGTAATTCGATATTTTTCAAGAGTAGAAGAATTATCTTTGCTCACAGTTTTCTATGAATTTTCGAAAAAATTAACATGAAATATTATTCTTTAGATGTATCGATTACAGCAATGAAGCATGATAGTACACAAAATAGTTCTTCAAATGATGATATTCCAACATCATCGGGCGTAACATCATGGTCACGTATTCGATCATCATGTGAAAGTAATATATCTCATGTACCACCATTGAAAAGTGAAACATCACCAAGTCCAGCTTATTATAATGGTCCTATTAGACAAGAAAATATTCAAATGGCTAGTGATGGACGATATTTTCTCTTAATTGATGATAATATAAGTAGTGAAGAAAGTCATCTAAGTACAGCATCATCGGCATCGTTACCACTACCATCATCGCCATCATCATCATCATCATCTTCAGTACCATTACCTCAAGTGTCTTCACCATTAATAAAAACACCAGTGATACCAACAAGAGAACGAAAAGCTTTTATACATCGTTTGGTATTCCCGGAACGTCTTGGTCGTGTAATATTTTATCGTCGAATATTATCAGATTCTGATATTTATCAAAAACTTTGCTCGAAAGATAATGAGATAAACCACAATGTATATCATTTAGATACAATACGTGATTATGCAATGGAATTTTATATGTTAACAACATATGGTTCTGATTCACAATTACGTGCATGGTTTGATTGTAATTATGATAATACAGTGAATAATACATGTTATTTTGATGACAATCGACTTCAATCGCTCGATGACGATGACGACGACGACGATGATGATGATGACGACGAAGACTTACATAGACATCGAATGAAAGTTATTAGTAGTAGTGATAGTATGATACCTGAAGATGATTTAAATCGTTTACAAGCTGATGAAGAACTTGATTGGTATTCTGAACTTGAATCATTTAATTTATCACCAAATAATCAAGAAGTAGAATAAGAAAATTTTTTATTATTTATATCTACTATTTATAATTATATTTCTTTTTAGTGGAAACAAGGAAATCTATCAAGTAGTTCAAGTGAAGATCATGTCGAAGATTTATTACGTGTTGAACAGGTTCGATTTATTTTATTAATCTGTTAAATTATATAAATGATTATTTTAGTTTTCTGTATCAAGTTTAACAACAAGTACATCCGCTGAATCATCAAGTTCAGCTGGTTTAATATCAGCTTCATGGCCATTAACAAATGGTATTCATTATTCAGCTCATAATACGAATCGTTCATCACAATCACTCGGTTCTCCTCCATTAACAAAACTCGATGATCAAAGTAATACAGTCTTAAACGATATTTTGACTTATCCATGGACAAATGAAATATCTGATTCCCATCCAAATTCTCATGAAATTGAACATGATCAAAATGGAAATGGTATATCATCATCATCAGTTGTTTCTGATGAATTTCAACCTGATTTTTATTATTTATGTCCACTTAAAAATACATTAAGTTTTCTTAAAACCGATGAAAAAACTAATGGTATTCATAAACAATTATCTCATGATGTTTAAAATAATATTCCTTTTTCTTCTCTTCTTTCATTTTTGTTTTAATTCATTTAAAAACTTTTTTTTCTGTTTTCAAAATTGCTGCTCAAGGCCAGATACTGTTATATATATATATATATTTTTTTTTTGTTGTTCTTGTTTTCTTTCTTTTTTTGGTTATCACATTAGAGATACAATGAAAAAAAAAGGAAAAACAAAAGATATTATGCATGATTGCCAAGTAATTGAACAAGTAAATCTAAAAAAACAAAAAAATAATATGCGAACAAGAAAATTAAAATATAAATCTTACACTCGATATCGATTTTTTGATCATCATTCTGTAAACCTAATTCAATAAGATCATCCACTTCTTTTTCTGATAATGGTTCACCGAGTGTACTCATTACTGTACGAAAATGTTCAACATCAATATAACCTTCTTGTGTTTCATCAAATTTTTTTAATGCTCGATGAAGTGTATCATGATCATTATTAACTGTTGTCCACGGTTCATCAAGAATTGTTAAAACGTCTTCTAATGTTAATTCATATTTTCCTTTATAATAAATGTAAAAGAGCAAAAATGTAATATGTCATGCAATAACACTTTTTAAATTAAAAAAAATAAATTTTCAACAACCGGAATAATATAGAAATGATGACAACTCTTTTTAATGGACCGTCTCATACCTTTTCAGATAAATTAAAATGCTATGTGTTTGGTCAAGGTTGTATAAGCAGTTAATAAAATGAAATTTTTCTTATAATAATAATAATTATTACTTTCTATGACAAAGATTTTCTTACCAACTAATTCGAGTTCATTGACTCTTTCTTGTGAATCTTTTAATGAAGGATTACGACCAAATGCTTGTAGAATTTCAGTTAAATGATTAACATTAATAGAATTAACATCTGAATCATCTTTAAATCTTGCAAAGATTTCATTAAAATCTTCTAGAAAATTACATTGATTAATTAATCATCTTTAGAAAACAATCTCATACGCATTTCTTGATAAAATTGTTCATTATCAACATCATCATGTAATCGTGATCTTCTCGTTTCTGCCTAAAATAATATTTCTTAACTAATCATGTTTTTGTATCTACTTACCATTTATTTTTATAAAAATAAATATATATATACTCTCTCCGTTGATGGCAACTGTCAAGTAATTTATATACTTTTTGTTTCCGTCACTCTCTCTCCTAATACTTGTAAAGTAATATTACATTTAGAATTTATTTTTCTTTCATATTTTTTCAACTATAACAAAAAAAAATATTCTCATTTCTTTTTCTTTCTCTCTCTCAAAGTTCAATTTTTTCATTGATTATTTTATCTGGTATTGGTGTATTACAATTTCCATGATAAATACTAATATTTTGTTCATTATTACAATTATAATAATTTTGCCAAACATCATCATAACCTTTACCCTTCCACCATGTACATAATTGTCTATTCCAATAACATGGTAAAATAAAAAATATTTCATTATGTTCAAAACTTAATAATGTATAAAAATCTTGATCACCTAAATGTGGATGATTAAAATGATATTTCGTAATAAGTTGTTCAATAAGAAATGAATGTTCTAAATAACTATTAAATAAAATTGATTGACGAATTTTATTTAAATCAAGTAATAAAACGCCACTATTAAAACCTGTTATACCAAATGGAGGAGGATTACCAATGTCTGTCGAAGGATTTTCATGACGATATGACCAAAGAAGATGACGATAAACAGGTTGATTTTCACGAGCAATACCTAATATTTGATTTTCATTGAATTGATCAAATAATTTATATAATTTTTGTATATCATTATCAAATCGAATATCGATATCAAGCATAATAACACGAGAAATATTTTCCGGAAGTATTTGATGTAAAAATGGTGATAAAAAAAATAAAGGATCTTTGTAATAAGTATGACTAGATGAAAAATGTTGAATTAATGGTGAGATTAATTGTTGATATTTCAATGTTAAATCATCAATGTTCAATTGATTAATCTTAAAGAAAGACAAAATTCGATAGTTTGAATTATTTTTTGTTATTATTTAATTACTTGTTGATTATAATGAAGAGTTTGAAGAGTTTGATTTACAAAATGATGACTATCTAAATCACCAATAACATGTAAATGAAGATTTTCTGTTGATGTATATTGAAATAATGAAGTTATCATGGTAATAAAATTCATTTTTAAACGATCATTTGTTGATAGATTTTTGACAGTAAAGACAATGTCGATGATTGATGATGATTGAATATAAAGAATGAATGAAAGAAAAAATATCTGCTTAAACATTATTAAGACAATCTAAAATAAGATTTTATTTTTGATATTGTTATGTATATATAAAACATACTTTCTTTCCGACAAAAAATGTTAAATTATTCTTTTATGAAGAGATTAGAATCTTATTCGTATTGTTTATTAACAATACGAACAAAAAAACACTTTTTTTCAGGGTAATGACTGTAATTATTTACATATAATCTTGTAAATATTGATTGTTATTCTTTGTCTACAGACATATTGATGATAATGGAAATCGAATCGATTTTTTTTGTTAATTGACAAATAATGAGAATACATTTTTATTTATCGATATTAAAATAAATAACATCTTTTTGTTCGTTAATGGATGAGATTTTAACAAGTAGAAATTCTTTTTACATCAATAACTCATTTATCCTTGGGAACGGACTATTAATTTTTACAATAATACATCAATTCTATAGGTAATTTAGCATTGAACTAATTTTCGAGTATATTACTTCTACATACATCGATAAATGTTTAATCTCTAATACTGGAATTGATTTTGAATTGTAACCATACCTATTCATAATATCGATTATTTCTAATGTTAAACTAAAGTTTTCAACTATTTCAGTATCAGTGTAAACATCACTGACGAGCCCAATTAAGTAAAATCTTTAGTCATTGATTTTATATATTTTCTAGTCGAATACTATTTCGATTTCTTGTCTGAAAATCGATATTGTCAAGAAATCTGGAAAAATTTTACCTGAAGTTTATTAATAATAGAAGACACAACAAGTAAAAGATGTGGACATATTAGAGAGAATCTGATAAGCTTATTTATTTGAAGCCATCAGCAGTAAGAGTCCATCGTGAAGTTTGGGGCGACCGATATCGTCGTTATAGTAGCGGGTGTTCAAGGTGTAGACTTGGTGTGGGTATGGACAGGCACGTCTACAGAAAAAATTTTTTTGGGGGAGGGGGATTGACGACTGTGCAGAAAAGTTTATCATGGAAAAAAGTTATTCCAAATTTCTGAAAAAATGCTCGACCCGTACTTCCCTCCAGGTATTTCAATCTTTTTGGAAGGTGATCGATCCCCAATCCACCCCCCTGCGGACGTCGTTGGGTATGGATGTGGATGGGTGAGAGTGAGTGTAGGTGTGGACGCATAGGTATAGACTACTTTTCTTCCACACCACAAAACCTTTCGAGTTGATGTGTTTCTTTTCCAAATTTTTATTTTCCGGATTACTTGACATATTCTAAAAATCTAATTTTACTACAGAATATAACTGTATTAAATGACTATCCATCATTTACTCTTTTTCTTTTATTAACATCCATATTAAAATGTCTCTTCTCGTTTATCATATATTGTAAAGACAGATAAATAATCAATCAGTCATGTTTTGTAGAATATTAAATTTAACGTTAATTACAGTTACAAAAATTAATAATTTTTAATCTTCTCGAATAAATCTATAACATTCATACAGTAAAAGAAAGAATAATAAAATCAACATCTTCATCACTCGGATCTGTAATATCACTTTCAAATTGACACTTTTTCATATAAAAATCATATGCTTTTGTATTAACTTTATGAACTGTTAATACAATTTTTGACATTTGTGTTTTTTGACAAAGTATTTTTAATTGTTCAATCATTGATTGTCCAAAACCTTGTCCTTGATATTTCATATTTACTTGTAATTCATATAAATATAAAACACGTTTACCAAAATCCATATCAAAACGGAAATGTGCAAAAGCTAATACAGAATTTGCCAATGAAATAATTAAATAACGTGATTGATTAGAAAATAATTCATCTCGTTTTTCATCATAATTATAACCAAATGCCGATTGTTCATATAACTGTTTCATATTTATTTCAAATAACTCTATAATTTGTTTTTGATATTCATTTGTTAATTGTGTAGCATGAAAAATTTCAACTTGATAATTATTTAGTTTATTAAGATTGAAATCACGAAGAAAATCATATAGATCAGAAGAAGAAAGTTTATTTGCTTGATCAATTAATTTTTGATTTTTTCTCATTTTTTTTTTATTTTCTTGAAATAAAGAAAAAAAAGAAAATAAAAACAAAAAAAATATAAATATCCTAAAGTTTTTTTCTATTCTTTTAATTGGTTATTTTGAATTTAATCGAAACAACAAAACGCGATTTTAATTTTCATTACAAACAGTTACATTTTGCGCTGTTTCACCTTTTTCATTTGATACAATATTAAATTCAACTTGTTGTCCTTCTTCTAATTGCATTGTACCATCAGATAAATTTCGAATATGAACAAATACATCGGAGTCACCGTTATCACGTGTTATAAATCCAAAACCCTTTTCTCCTATCCATCTAAAAAAGAGTTCTTTAGTTGAGAAAATATAACAAAAATGAAAATATTTACTTTCGAACAGTGCCTGTATAACGTTCATCGGGATTACTAGTTGTTTCTTGTCGTTGATTTGAAGGTGAATCTTCATTAAAGATTGAAACATCACGTGCCTCTTCACCTTTATCAGTTCTTTGAATTCGAAATTCAACTAATTGACCCTAAAGAAATTTTTTATTATTGAAATTTTCTTGTTATTAAAAACTTACTTCGTCAAGTGATCGTAAACCATCTTTTAGACTTCGAGTATGACAGAAAAGATCTGGACCACCATTACTTCGACGAATAAAACCAAAGCCGCGTTCTTCTGTCCATCGTTTAACGGAACCTGTTTCACGTTTTCGACTATCTGTTTGTGTTCTTCGTGAAGAAAATAAATTTTCTGAATTTGAATTGTTGAAACCTCCACTAAAATCATATGATCTCTCGTTTGGTGTTGAATCTTGATCTATAGAGTGTAAATCAGATGATGTATTACCACCATAATTAAATGCAGATGATGATTGATTTCGTGATGGATTACCAAAACCATATCTCGATGAAGTAGATTTTGGAGATGAACCAGGAATAAATGATGAACGACCTCCTCCACCATTAACTACATGAACATCCTAAAGTAAACAAAATGAATTAATGATGAAAAGTTATGCAAGAGGTAGACACGAAAAAAGGTAAATTTTTACTAGATTAACCATATTATATTTAGAATTTCGAGAATGAGACATTTCGCACTAACTTTTCATTACGATTTCCTGTAGTAGATGTTCGTTACGATCTACCGACACAAGGGAAAAAGATACGGTGTTGGTAATAGAAGTTGTTTAGGAGAAAAATCATTTCCGAACACCCGGTCATATGTGCGGTAGTTCGAAATACCTAGTGCGAAATGTCTTTGTCCCAATCCGGTCACTGACGACAATAATAATCTATATCTAAACTCTGATCAATCTCCCTCAGCGGAAAGTACTTTATCAACAGAGAGCGAATCGAATCGGCTTTTACTAGTTCAGTTCCGATTCATTTTTTGAGAATCTGTTCGAGTGCATATCCAAAACGCCGGTTTGTTTTTGCGCTCTGTTTATCAACGAATGAAATTTATTGAACTTACTCTTGCTTCAAGTCCTTTGTCACCTTGAACTGCAGTAAATTCCACTTCTTGCCCTTGTTCAAGTAATTTAAAGCCAACTGCATTGATACTTTTAAAACTTGAAAATAAAAAAATTAAATTAAATTCAATAAATATAAATCAACATACTGAACAAAACAATCGGTTCCATCACTGTTTTTTGTTATAAAACCATAACCTTTATCTTTTGAGAAGCGTTTTACAACACCAGTTTCACGATTGTTCGACATAGTTTGTGATAAATTCGGTTCAGCTGTACTTAATAAACGAAGAAAATGTTGTTGATAGTTATGAATCGGTCGAACAGATCTCATAAGATGAACATATATGCTTGATAACATTATTTATCAAAATCAAAAAATAAAATTATCTAATAAAACGTAATACTTATTTAAAAAAACAAATTTTTATTTCTTTTATTTAAAAACAAAATTCAAAATCGAATTATTTATATTTGTGTACGTTGATTATTCCAATCATTTATTGACATTAATTTATATGAAAATTTCATTGTATCACTTCGAAATGAACATAATTTAAATTGATCAAGAAATTTATTTAACGAATAATAAAATTGTCGATGACGACTTAATATTTGTTCATTGACTTGAAAACCAATAGAATAATATCTTTCAAGATTTTTTTTTCTTATTTCAATCTTCGTATCTGTCTGAACAAATAATTCACAATCTTCTTCACAATCTGTTAAAAAATGTGCCAAACGAGATTTCATATAACCAACCCATTGATGAAGTTCACTTATTGTTTGACCAGATAATGTTAACTGTAAAATCGATTGAATTGTTTTATTAGGAAATTGATTTGATAATTGAAGAATTTCTTTAAGTGTATCATTATAGTTTTTTGTTTTTTCGATTATTTTATGAACATGTTGGAAATTCTGAATTATTAAATAACGTGTTGAATTTATTGTTGAACGTGAAGTATTATTAAATGGTGGACTTGGACATAATATACGCATTGAACCACGATTATCGACATTTGTTGGATCAGAATAATGAATTTTAGTAGATAAACAAAGTGATTCATATGTCCAATTGAACTGTGAATAGATTGAAAAGAATTTTTGAATTAAGATGAAAAATTGTTCAAGAGAAAATGAATAAGTATTTAACGATAAAAATTTATGACAAATATATGCACATAAGATTGCCCAAGAAAAACCACCTAAATAACCATAAACTTGACCATAAATACCAGTATGTTGCGCCCAAGTACGAATAAAAGTTAGAAAATATTGAAAAATAATTGGATAACGAACATAAATTATGAGACGTTCGATATCATGAACCTAAATTAAGATATAAATTTCACTAATTTCCTATCTCTTTTTTACTTACTCCATGTATTGGTTCATAAAAATTTGAAAGTAAATCTATTTCATCTATTACAGATACTTCTTTAATTTGTACAAATATTTCTACTCTTGTTTGATCATTAAATAAAATTGATAGAATTGGATAAATTGCTTGAATATTTCGACAATCAATTATTTCATTATTAAAAACATGATGTATTTGTTTTTCAAGTAAATCTAATATTAAATTAGTTAATTCAGGTAATTGATAACGTAAACGAAGAAACGTTTGATCAAGATTTGTTTTATTTTCTAAAGATTTTTGTTGAGATAAAACAAGTACTGTATCAAGATCTTCGCCATTTAAACCCTAAAAATAAATTTAAATATTGATTTGTTTTTGTATAAAACAAGGTAACTCACAAGACGAAAACTTCCATATGGTAGAAATGCGCATGTAAAACAATGTAATGTATTTTTATTAAAAATTTCTTCAAAACAAATTGATAAACGATGAAATTTTTCTTGTTTTTGTTCATAAGATTTTCTATTTTCGTAAAGATTCATTTGATTAAAAAACTCTTCTAAATCACAATTGATATGACCGAATTGATTTAAACCGATTGGTTCAAGCACTGAACCTAATGGTAATTGGTAAGTTACATGAAATGATGTCGATTTTTGTAAAATTGAAATATATCGTACAGGAAATTGAACTGAATTTGGTAAAGCTAATAAAACATTAAATTTAGATATTTATAAAAGACTTTGTTTTCTACTCACTTAGTTTTGATTTAACTTGACCATCAAGTTGTCCAATTGTTAAATATGGATTGTAATTATCATCAATCGTCTTACACAAACATTGTGAAAACAATTGTTTAATTTGCGCATGTAGTTGTTTAATATATTTATTTGATTGGAAATTTAATGGCATAAAAATAGTATGATTTTCGATTGAAAGATCAATTTCATTTATTTCTATATCAAAAGATTCGAATTGAGCAAGTAAAAGTCTTAATGGTAGAAGAATAATTTCCTCATTATCATCTTGAGTATTTGCTAAATCAAAAAATGGCCAAAATAAACTAATATGTATTGGCCATCGATTACTTAATGAATCACATTGTTCACGAACTAATTCAGTTAATGGTTCCATATTTATTGCAGGTACTATTGCAAGTGCTGAGCAATCGCTGATTGCACGTATCTGAAAATTTAAAATTAATTGTAATCCAAAATGATCTGATTGATTCATACGTTTATTATTTATAGAATCAATAAGTATTGTATCAAGACCAATCATATTAAGATGTTCAATAGAATAGGACAGATTTTGTAATAGATGAAGCAAATATCGATCAAAACGATGGCTAATTTGTGATTGAGATGGATCAAATGTATAGCCAGGATTCTAGAGAAAAAAAACATACGATGCATTTCTATTCGTTTTATGATAAAAATGCCAAATTTTACCTCTTCGATATCATAAATATCTTTCCATAGATCATGTATTTGTAATTGATATTTTTGAAGTATATGTTGTTCTTTTATATGATTATCTCCAAAATTAAAATCTCCAATAAGCATATAATTTTGCATATTCATTGTTTTAAAAAAATATTCTAATGCTTGACAACGTTTTTCATCTACATCATCTAGCTGAAGATTAACAAGATCAATTGTTACTTCTAAATGTAATCCAAATCGAGCAATAATATATTTTTTCACTTCTTGTTGTTTTATACTTGGTGAATCTTCAGATAAATAAAGTGGACATATTGAAAATGCTCGAGCATGAAAATTCTTCGTTAGTATTAATTGTCCATAAGTTTGTTTTTGATTATGATCAAGAATATTCCCCATTATAATAATATAATAATTATTTTCTTGTAACCATATTTCATTCAATAGAAGATTAAGAAAATCGAATGTAACTTCTTGTAAACAAATAATATCTGGTAATAATTTTTGAAGTGTTTTTAATATTGCTTGATATCGAAAATTAGGAAAAACTAAATCAGAATGAATATTCCATGTTATAAATTGACAATGTTTTGGAATATACATATCATCAGTACATGAATTTTTCAAATCATCGGATATTAATGATATACATGGAGATAAAATCCATTGATGAATTGATTGATCAAAACGATACATTCCTTCAATTAGATTTAATTTTTGTTCCATATCTAATTAAAAACCAGAATAAAGTCGAATTAAATAATAAATAAAATTTGTTAACGAAATGGATCAACATGTACACAAAGTCAAATATTTAAGTTTAGCAGCATAAATATTAAATTTGAGAAAAATACTGCGAAAACATAAGTAATAAGAAAGAACGCATATTTTCAATATACGACCAGCTTAAAGTGCCAAAACCATTCATCGTGACACAATATCGAGTACATGTACTTCTATTATGGCATCCGTGTTTTCCCTGCATTCATTGGACTCTCCTAAATGGTAACCACACATATATGTAATATATAAGTTAAGTAAAGTGTTTACTTTTTAAATAAATAAAAAGTTAATTAATTTACTTTTATTTTTCTAGAAAGTAAAAAAAATATTTAAATGACTTTGGTATTATTCGAATTTTTTTAACGATAGACGTCGCTTGAAAACGAATATTCTTAGAGAACTTATCGAAAAAAAATTTTACTAGTTATTCTTTTGTTCACTGAGTCCAACTTTTATAAGTATGATTGCTATTTTAAAAAAAAGATCAAAATAAATACTCCGTAATATCATTGATGTTTCCTATCTACTGATAACAGCAGAAAATAGTTGCATATGATGCTACGAAAGCTTATTGAACTCTCATTCAATAAAATTATTTAAAATACAATAGATTTTTGTGTGTAAAACTAAAATATAATGGCATTGTAACGGATATAATCGCGAATAAATCAGACTGTTTGCATTTTTGAAATTTCGACTCGATTATCCTTTTTATTGACTGTGGTTAGAATAATAAACTGTTATGGATATATTTTGAAAACTCTTTATAATTTATGTAAGATCACTGATTTGTACTCTTTCCTACGAATGTTATTTCAATTTATAATACTTTGGTCCAGAGATGTATGACTAGTATAATTAATAAAAAAAACAATCAAAGAATATCATATAAAGTATTAAAAATATAATTTTTACAAAGAAAATATTGTATATACATTTTATTCAAAGCAAAACTTTAGGTATTATATCAAATATATTAATACGTCAGCTGGGAGTTTAGTGTACCCGCAAATATAAAAATAAATATGAAGTCTTATTAATGATATATATATATAACCTAGACAATGAGGATACTTGACTTTAAATAGCAATGTTAATACTATACGTAGATAATTCTTCTCATAGGAATAGAGTCAATAAAACGCTTTTGGATGATATAATTAATAAAAACATTTTGTGCATAAATTTTTAAAATATTAGTAAGTATATAGGCAAAAAGTAGAATTTAAAAAAAAATAACGTACTAATAAAGTTTAGTGTAAAAATAAGTACTATTTTTTTTTAAATTATGCATATGATGTTATCATAAATGTCATTAATTAAATGAGATTTTTTAATTATAGACAATATGAGATAAAAAAAGAAATAAGAACAAACAATTAGAATCATCTTTGTCGTTTCTTCGAATGAACATGCACGGAGACATGTTCAAGAATTTATTTGAGATTTTTTGTTATTTCCCAACTAAGTGCATATTAGCAAGAACAGTTTGCAACTGACAACAGAAAAGAAAAAGATTTTTCTTAGAGCATTTAAACTTAATACAAACAAGTGCATACTATCTACTGCTGAATTTGCAGACAATTTTAATACAGAATAATTAAGCGACAACAATGAATCAACAATCATCACCGAATCAAAACGATCAATTACCAGTAAGTGTAAAAATAAGACAATGTATATTTCGATTACTTCTAATATTTTAGTCACCTACTAATTCTTTTTTACAACAACGTCCGCCATTTCAAATTACTGGTGAGTCTTAATTCATTTTAGTTTCATAAACTTATCGATAAATTTTTTAAGAACGACGCAATTCAATAAATAGTTCATTTCGAACATTTACGCCAGTGGCATTTTTTCATCATAGTGTTAGAAACAACGAAATTAGATTACAAAATAATTTCATGGGTATGGAACGACGTGCTCTTGCTATAGCGACAGCACCTCGTCGAAAAAGAAATGACGACGATGATGATGATAAAGAAGATATTCAACAACAAAAAAGTATAAAAAATCTTATCTATAATGTATTTATACTATTTTTCTTAGATATGCTTGACCTTAACAAATCACCAACGTCACCAATACCTATTCCAACTGCAAGTTATCATCATCATTCATTACCTCAAACTCAGGCTGATTTAAATTCTTTACCTATATTTCGTATTAGTCCACCATCTCAAAATAACTTCGAAGAAATCGATCACTCATATATTTACAATCCACATCGGAGATTTTATTCATCTCTATCTTTACCAAATAAAAATGAACACTAAAATAATTAACCCATCACACACATATACAACTATTTATAAAAAAAAACTTCTTGTAATCCTTTTATTTGTTATTGTACACGAGGGAAAACATTATATTTAGTCACAAATATCGTAATCTTATTATTCTAAATCAATCAAGAAAACCTTCTTTGATAAGATTCAATAAACATCGTATATAACTCATACATATTTTATGTCCTTGAAATCTTAACAAAACCTTTTACAATTCCTACGATCAGTAATCTAAGGCACAATTAGGATGTAGCTGTTAGGAACACCTCCGATTCCATAACAGAGTATGCCTCAGAGTAGAGCCCATCGGGTCCGGTTCTTAAAAATTTGTTTTTACCGGGTCCGGGTCCGGGTCCGGGTCCGGGTCTCGAAGCTTTTAATGACCGGGTCCGGATAAAAAGAAATATATTATCGACATGATATTTTTATACTGCTCGGTGAACATGAGAATGCCATTTTGGATTTGAAAACTGGTTAATACGTTTTTAGAAAACTAAATCAAAGACCTTTTTTTTTTGCTACTTAGTTTTGGTTTTTGGATAGTTAAGACTAAAAATTTTTTTAAAGGTACAGCTCGAGTTTAGACTAGTGCTCGTCGAAATCGGGTCCAACCCGGACCCGGACCCGATGCCCGGTCCGGGTCCGGGTCTACCGTAATTTTTTTGAACGGGTCCGGGTCGGGTCCGGGTCCAAAAAATATTTATTGAGCGGGTCCGGGTCCGGGTCCGGGTCCAAAAAAACGTGGACCCGATGGGCTCTACCTCAGAGAGAATTAATCACTTATTTATAGTAGAACACATATGAATGTATATAGTACATTACACTGGCTTCGGATATCATGATTTTAGTGAGTCTTACATTTTGCCTAGAACCAGTGTCTTATAATCAACAATAAGGCATTATATGAATAGTTTTTTTTCTCTTGATCCATGTTTAGAATATTTGTATTTGTTTAAAAAGCAGTTTATTTATATTATAAGCAACATTAAATTTTATTTTTATATCATCTAAAATAAGTTTAGTTTCGCGAACTACATATAATTATAGAATTAAAATCTATTACAATAGACTAAAATAATATTATTTGCTTTTTTTTGTTGTATAAAAAATAGAAGCGGCTGGTATATTGCTATGGAAGACTCTATGTACAACTAGACTAGATAAAGAAAAATAAAATATTTCTATTTAGCAAAATGAGCGATAGACAAGACGTCCATTGAGTGGCATCACCGGTCGAAAATTTTGACTTATATTTCCATTCGTTGTACTATTCTCTCCTTTACATGCATGTTTTAATTGACGTAATTGATCAAACTAAAACACAAAACATATTCTATTCGTATTTAAATAATGATCAAGACTAACTTGACGTCGTGAAAGACCCATTTGTTCACGAAAAACTATCCATCGAACACTTTCAGAACACATAGGTGTTGTTAATGAACCATCATATGTATAATAATCTTGCATATTCTCTTTAAAACAAAACAAAAAAAGAATTATTTGAAATTCAAAAAACATATAAATTTATTTTTTTACTTGGCATTAATTTTTTTAATGAAACAGTTTCATCGTCAAGATCAACTTTTTCACCTTTATGAATAATTTTTGAAAATAGATTAAGTAATTTATCAACTTCTTGATTATCAGATGGTGCAATCTAGAGATTATTCCATATATATATATTCAAAATTGACAATTTTTCTTACTTTAATTAATATACCAAAAACCATTAAACCATCAAATTGTTCGGATGCAGCAGCGGCTTGTGGTGTTCGATATCTACTTGTATTCCATGTTACAATATGTAACTATAAACCATAATGTTTTAAATTACAATAAATAAAAACAAAAAGATTTCTCATCTTACTTCACCCGGTAAACGAACACCATCAACAACATGCTCAGCACCTTCGAGATCATTTGAACCCCAATGCATATGAAATTGAAGAAATCGATATTCATCCGGAACAGGACCACCACTAATACCTACGAAGAAAACAAAGATATTTTATTTATGTAAATGAACAAAAACTTATTACTTACTGCTAGAACCTTTACCGGATACTTGAAATGAATGACCTGTATTTTCAAGTGTTTGACAACAATTTTCATCCGCATGAAATACAAATGGGCGTCGAGTTAATTCCGGTTCATATTCACATTGATCAGTATAAATTCGAATTGGTGATTGAAATTTTTTACATTGAATCTGAGGAAATATTCGACCCCACATATGTGGACCTATTTAAATATCATTTCAATGAACTATTTCCTTTGAAATAAATTTATAAGATATAACTTTTTGCAAATACTGTTTTCAATATGTCTAAAAATCTAAACGTCTTTATATCATAGTAATATTTATCGACGTCATCAATTCCAATTTTCTATTTGTGTTTAATCATGCACATTACAGAATTTAAATAAAGCGGAATCGAGTACGTTCTAAATAGGGCTTTTTAATTATAAACCTTTTATTAAAGAAGTTATATAGTGCTCTTTGACTTATAAGTCCAGATATATGTTGATGATTAAGCTATAAGAATATATATAACTATAGATAGGTGTATTGTTGATTAAAATGACGTATTAACAAAATAGTGTCACTTGGACCTTTATTTTAGGAAATGAAAATAAGGACTAAGCATGCTATTGTCTAGGTTTATCAAAAATAATACGTTTTTTCTTTTAATAACTTGATATAAAAAGACCTTCATCCTATATATATATATACATGAAAAATTACGAAGGAAATTTCAATTTTCTTACCATGAGATATTGAATAATCCCAATGTGTCTGATGTGCATTCGGTTTTTCCTCTGCTGTATTCTTTTTCTCTTGATTACCATTTTGATAGGTAATCGGTGCAGATCGTACAGATGTTGGTAAACTAGCTTCTCTCTTTTTATATTGATCTGTTCCTTGAGCTGATCGACGAATACGTATTTCAATATCGCCCATTTCAATTAATATCGATGTTAAGAGAAATGATTGTGATTGATCCTGTATTATTTCATATTCGACTAACAATGAATAGAGATTTAACAAAACACTTACTACTGGCCCTTGTTTTAAATTAATAGCAACTCGATCACTACCATTTCCAACAACTATTGATTGTGTATCATCATTAATCGTGGCTGCCATAGTTATTTTATTGTTTAACTAATGAATAAATGGTTTAGAGTTTTTTTGTATAATCTTTATTTTGTTTTTATAACATTGAATGTAAATGTATATATATATATATAGTCAGACAAAGGAGGAGAGAATATGCTATTCTCGTTGGTATTTTTCGCTTATTGTTGGTGAGATTTTTCTTCTACGATCATTAAGATGCGTGCGCACCTTTACATTGTCCGGAATGATGAAAGTAAAAGAGAAAAAAGAGCGACAAAAATAGGACGAAAAAGAGATAGAAAACATCATAACATGCAGACTTCCTATATTCTCACGCACACTATTGATCAGATAATCATTTCGTTGAAATGGTGAAAAAAAAAGAAAAAGAAAGTCGATTATTGCCAAGCCACTTTTTTTTACAACTCTTCACGCTTGCATAAATGTAAACAAAATGTCATGAATCGTCAGTCATCAAGTTGTTTTTTCTTTCTTACTACAATAAAGATAAAACTAAAACATAAAATTGATAATGTTTTGACTTTTTTCCTGTATATGTCTATGTTACTTCATCCAAAACATTCCAATAGAGAGAAGAGTAAATCAATTTCTTTTTATGTCTATATAGATCTGTTTCTTATCAAAAATAGAAAAATTTTAGTTTTGATATAAATTATTCAATAAAAGAATATATGATTGAGATTATATTTTTTTTCATTTGGATAGATTACACAGAATTTTTAATAACAATTAAAATAAATAATAAATCATTAACATCTTATATTACTCATAATAATGAAAAAGATGCGTAGTATCATTTGATAAGATTTGTTTTTTCTTCTCATAAAGAAAAAATACGATAAGATCAAGAATAATTGTATTTATGGTATTTTGTCAATTCTTCGCTTCTTTTTTAATATTTAATCATATAGTTTTTTATTGAGAATTTTACCCTTGATAAAGTGTTTCTTAAAAAAAATATTCTTTATGTTGACAGTAATAGGTACTTTTCTTTGATGAATATGAATTATTTCGTTTAATCATATGAAGTGAGATTAATACTACCGAGAAGTTATTTAGTGTCGTCTATAATCAATGGACAACTACATCATTCATAAAGTAATAAAATATATGAAAATCATAAATATTATTCTAAATTAAGAATATTTTTTTATTGATTCTATTCTAGCTAATAGAAGATTTGAGTATCTATATAACCCATTCGATAATATATTCACATTAGTGTGTTATTGTTAAACTAAAGATTATTGATGTAAGATGTTTATACTAATAAATTTTTAATAATTACTGAAATATGATTTAAAAAGATGGTGTTTACAATGTATCAGTGAAATATTATCTTTCACTATTTCAATGGTAGTATTAAGAAAAAAACACTTTAATGTTCCTATGAATCAGAAAAATTGTAGGAAACAGTTATATTCAAGCGTTAAAAGACAATATATTGTCATTAGTAGAAATCTTTTTCTGTCAGAGAAATATAGCATAAATCATGATAAAAAATTGTGCTCTTTTTTTATATGTCAATTCATTTGTTAAATCTAATGGAAAACTCGAGTTTCTTCTGTTTTAATTAAAATATGTAACTTACTTAATATATATATCATCGTTTGAATATTCGGATTATCTCTCATCTAGATCACCGAATATGTCAATACACTTGGAATGTCATTTATTTTGTATATGTTTCGGTTTAGACTAACGAGAAAATTTTAATTTTGTTTTCTGATGACATTTCAAGTAAAAAAGGAATATTAGAAAAATCAGATTAAAAATTCAATTAAAATGGCATTATTTTTATTCTAAGAAACTGTGATTATTTTTTAACGATTTTAATCGAATTACAGCACTTTAATCAGTTTAAATTAATTTTTAATCTGATTTTTTTTTCATGGGATGTTATTGAATTTTCTATTCTAACTTAAATAATAATTTTTTTATTCATAAAATTCGATGAGTTTCCAATGCCTTAGAAGTAATAAAAAACATTTGTCATAATATCTGTTTGTAATTAGCATGCCTTATAGATTCATTACTAGGTCATCTTAATTGAAGTCACTTGATTCTATAAGAGCTTTAAGGAAAACTATATGACATACTGTTATTTAAATAATAATACTTTGTGTAATAAATGTAATGGGTCGCGTGTCTTTTATTTCAAAATCAATTAAGCATCTTTAAATGAAAAAAATATTAGTATTTATAGAAATCATTTGAGTGTTTAACAATATATCTATAGATAGCGAGAATGAACTATAATGTAAACACTATGACTTACATGACATTTTTGAAAAATAAAATTGTCATAACTTACTCTTTGTAGTAGATCTCTTATGGCGAACTACTTATGCTTTATTGCTTGAAGAGTATATAATAATATCAAAATAACAACTGTTGATTATTGATAAAAACTCCTGTGTTTCTGAGGAAAAAAAACGAGATGATCACTCAAAGGAATTCCTATATCCTGATTAGATGATTATTGATTAGAAATCTATTATTAATATTAATTTATAGATAATATCAAGAAGATAGTGTCTAAATCCAACAACTACATCAACATTTTTGTTCTGAAATATTATCATCTCAGTTAATAGTAAAACTTTTCTCATAATTATATTATATTATAAAATTCTTTGTTTTCGAATGAAAAACGACGCCTAGCAAGCGAAATTAGTTGTTTTCTTATTTAATTATTTGTATTAGAATACGATCTAAACAAATCATATCTTCATAAAATCCTATGGGATTAACATTGATATTTCCTTAAATTCTAAGCATATTATTATTTTTCTTCTATAATTTTGTGCAATTAAAAGACATGAAATACTAACCATATAGTCCAATATAAATGTTAAGACATTTGGTATAAATTTGTAGTCAATGAGTACTGTTGTTGCTGTTGTCGTCGATAAAAATCATTAAGAAAACATTCAAGAAATTGATCGATCTATTAAATACGATTATTATTGTTGTTGTTGTAGTTACCCGTGATGTAATGGTTTTAACATACTGCTAAATGAATAGCGTATAGAATAAATGCGAAAACAAAAATAAAATATCGTTCTATATTTTATTTACTCCACCTGATTATAGATTTATTATTACAAAAATAGTTAGATTTTGAGATGTTTTCGTGGTTTTTATTAGTATTATTATTTTCTTCTCTCCCTATCTCTCTTGCCTTTTTTTCCGGCTTCTGTTATTTTTCGTCCTAGATTTAGATTCTTTCCGTGTTGAATTGCTTGTTAATACTATTTGAATAACTGAACTATAAAAGAAGAGGAGTATAACAATAATGACGTTAATACAGCAGGAGGAGAACAAGAAAAATAGGGGATTTAAGAAAACATCTTCGGATTTCTTTCTCATTTTAGTATTATCTAAATGAGTTATCGTGGAGTATCGAGATATCTGATTTCGGTCATTGCACACAATTGCTTGTGGCGCAAAATCAAGAGAGACACTGGATTGACTCGCAAAACTTAGAAGAAAACAAGTGTAGAAGCGAACGAAAGAATAAGTAAAGAAATAAATCGATAATAGAATGAAGCCTGTAGAACCTAATAATGATCGTCAAACTCCATACTCTAAGCATTCCATCTTGCATCCGTATATTTCTTTCTTTTTCCTTTTTCTTATCCTATGACTCTTTGGTTTCTTCAATGCTTTTTCTTTTTTTTTTTCTGAAGTCAATAAACACAATTAAATATCCTTCACTATCTTTTTCCTATTGAGCATCAATTCATTTCTCGTTCGAAATAATCAATCATGAATATATTTCGAGTTGAACAATGATTATGGAAATCATCTTCTTAAGATGAAAAACAAATTGGTACGATCATTTTTTTGTTTTTTGATAGTTATTTTCTACTATTCAATCACTTTTCTAATCGATTACTCCGTAGAGAATTTAAGGATTGTTTTTCTATATCTATAAAAAGATTAAGAAAAACAACCAATCGATTAATCAATGATGATTAGTGTCGATAATACATGCATTCTAGACATCCAGAGTTATATGTATGATTATCATTTTTTGCAACGTGCCATCTTGCAAATATTAATACAAATATTTGTCATCTATGTATATACACATAGATTTAGATCAATTGGTTGTCTACAATTTCAGGAAGCAAATAAATAATTTCTTAAACTAACTGAAATAACTAAAGTAAACAATATGTTGTTGATGTGATTAATAATGAAAGTGATTGAAATCAAGTTGATATGCTAGACAATATCAGAAATAATTTTACTGATATTTGTAGAACGATAGAATAGATCACTGACAGTAGTAATGAAGAGATCTAAACTGTAATTAGTATTTGACATGTCATATGATGTTCCGTTGGCAGTTGATGTTGTCATCTTGAAACTTTCACATGATAATATTAAGTTAAACAAAATATTGACATGGAAAAACAAAAACATTAGTCTTATACTACAATCAAATATCTATGTATGGAAAATACTAATTAATGTTCATTTTAAATAAATTGAACACAGGGGCGTAAGTCAGATGTCAGAGCAGGGAGGGTGCAGGAGGGGCATAAGCCTAGTTTTACTATTTCAATGGTCAAAAAAAGTGAACTTTCTAGAAGCAGGGGGGGGGGGGCGCAAACCCCTTTTTCCTGTTAGTTTTCGGAAGTAGGGGGGGAGGGGTTATGCGCCCCACGCGCCCCTCCCTATTTACGCCACTGATTGAACATGATATTGTTAGAAAATATTCTGTGAAAGAATGTATATATAGAAGTACATTCGTAAATCAACAAATTCATAGATAACATAACAAGAAAAGCAACGTGTCGGATCAAATGGTAACTTAATACTTAAATGGTTCTGTATAAGTATTGTTGATTTATATGTATGTTGTCAAAAAAAGATGATAATATGCTTTTAATTTATATGAATGGTAAACAATAACTATTAGGAGGGAATCAAATGACAGGCTAAATTAATGGAAAATAATTTCAACAACAATATTTTTGTAAAAATAAGAAGAAAATATAGAAGACATATGGCACTTTTGTCGATCATTGAAATCTATTGAGATAATAAATAAATTCAATAATTGAAGTTGACAACTAGTTATTTAGAAGATGTATAGAGATTTGACATTACAGAATATTCTAGAAATCTGAATAATAATGTGAATTTGCTTATATCGCTAATCAATATAAAACTAAGAAAAGAATTTCAGTTATTATTATAAAATAGAGCTTAATTCACAATATGTTGATACGTGAAACACTCTATCAAGGACAACAATGCATAATCAATATGACATAAAATAATCTGAATTGTATTTTGAATACTGCACGATACATCAAACGCGCTTTTTACTAGGGTAATTGAAATAAATCTACATTCGAAAAAATGAGAAAAATATGCCCCTCTTTCAAACGCGTAATGAACTGTTATTATTTATTTCAAACGATTTCTCTTTTTATTATGCAGATTAATTGTTGTTTTAAATAATTTTTATTTTGATATTTAGATCAAATCCAACAGTGCAACAAAAGTAATTATTAAATTGCTTAAAATAACTTCTGTTTTTATTTAAAACCAACTCATCGACACAAGAACCAGTAAATATTATTTTAAAAGAAACAATTTTCTTTTTAACTAGATCAATTCTAACGATACGACTAACAGTAGGTACTATTGAAAAGAGGCATGTATTAACATCAAATATTAAAATTTACCTAATGTTTTGATAATATTCCAAGGTGATCCGGTGGAATCCGACATCCTACACTAAGGAAACGGTTATCTTCCGATAGGATGCAAAGTAGAGATTCTTCGCTCTGGGTATATCCGGTGAGATCATACTTTGACTAAAAGCAAATATAGACATATAATAGTATAATTATAAATAATCTACTTTGAAAGAATAAGACCTTCTGTACAACTTATCCTGAAGAAGTAGATATAAAATAAATTTATGAAACTTACGTCGTATTTGCATTAATATTCTAACATATGGTATAGATTTTGGTACTTCAGACACCGATAAGATTTTTATTATTATAACGTTTATTATAGAAGGTTTGATGTAGTTTTTCTCGAGCTACAAAAATATATATTAATCATCCAAACAAATATGACTCGACCCGTTGAAGTATATAATGTGTCGACTTGCGAATAAAAGCGAATACTTAAGATAATATCTAGTATTTTTGAGTTTCTTAAACAGTTAAGATATGGTGGAACAAGAATATATTTTTTTTGCCAGAGCTAATGATTAATAGAACTGATTTCGATGCCAAATGAAATTTATTACATGTGTACAGCATCTAGTATTATGCATTCCAGCCAAATAAGTTCAAAATCTTCTTTAAATTGGTTCATGTTCATCTTTTGCGTCGAATTGCATATTAGCTACATATTTTTCAGGATTGAAATGTCTAATAGCAGAATATTTTCGTAGAACATCATGATATTTTGATGAAAGTTCAATAATAAATTCATCTAAACTAATATATGTTGTCCAATCTTATCATCGAGATTTAACCAACGATTACCCAAAAACAATGATATTTTGTACATCATTTGTGCTTTGAAACTTGTTTCAATGTGGTTTCTTTTCGTTTCTATGGATTTATTGTAAACACATTTAGTTAATTTTCTATTTAAAGAAGCATTAGCATTTATGCTCTCTACTTTTTGTCGTTTATCAAATCGATATTGTTTATTACTCGATAAGTACCACTTGAGTATTCTTATTTTTCAATAGAACATCGTATGACTCCTATTTTGTAGTTTGTGAAAAATAGCATCAAAATTTATGTACCAAACCTCTTCGTAAAGAAATTTTTAATAATCTATGAAACATTAGTATCAATAACATGCATTAAAATATTGACATAAATATCATTCGTATCTCATAAATTTATTGTATATCTACTTTTTGAGAATGGTCTATGTAAAGATTTTGCGGAATTTCTCATTCTTCTGAATAGAACTATGTTTATATTTGCTTTTAGTTTAAATACGATCTAATTAAATACGTCTTAAAAAGATTTATGTATTATTTCAGATATATCTTTGATAAATTCAAGGATCGATCGATTTGCATTCTTCTACAACTTAATCTTTTGTCACACAAAATTTCAGCTCTTTGACTGATATCGTAGCTGAGTTACAACGCTCTATCAAAGTATATAACTGATTTTAATTTTATTTCCCATTGTTTCTTTGTCCACTGTTCATACTAGTTAATCAATACTTGTACGCTCCTATATAGTATGATGACAACATGATTCTAGCTCCGCCTATGTGGAAGGGAAGACAATTCTTTAATTCACAGACGAATGAGGTAAAGTTCCTTCTGATTGAATTTTTTATAGAAAAAAAGAATTGTATTCACTTTATAGACTGCTGATTTGAACATTGTCTGCTTAGTCAATCTCCAATAAGTTGTCTGGTTTAATTTAAACTTTTACAGAACGTGACGAAAAACTCTATTAACGGTGGAAACTTCAACCTTTAATAACTCAAAAGTCTTCCTTTCAAGTATAGTGATCATATCTATAGACTGTGACATGACCTCAATTTCTAGCCTCTATCCTTGTAATACTAGTTAAATGATTCAAATCTTTTGGCTATTGATATCAGGAGACGATGACCTAGGTATCGTATGTTTCGCTCATTAAACAATACCATGTCAGAAACCTTTTTATGTATAATACAGACATGGATTATAACAAAAAAATAACTCAAAAGTTGTTTAGATTTACTTTCATTTTTTTTTGTAATAATCATACGATATCACTTGAAACAGATTATTCATTTTTTCGTTACATGAAAATAGATTACTTTATTTTAAGAAAAAAGAAATGTTTATATACAATTAACGATATCGTTTTTACAGTCAAAATTAATATAGAGACAAAGATGATGTCATTGTCTATATTGATTATTTTGATTCGATTGTGCCGAAAGGTATTTTTCGATGTGGTGATTGAACATTTCGAATAAGTTGTTCAATTTTAAGATTATTAATATGTGTCAATGGTAGTGTCTGTCGATAAATTTCTAAAGCTTTCTCATAATAGAATAATGCTTTTTCACTTTCACCTTTTAAAGCATAGACAATACCAATATTTCCCAATACTTTAGCAAGATTTGGATGAACTGGTGAATAATATTTTTCTAAAATTTTAAATGATAAATAATAATGTTCCAAAGCTAATTCATATCGTCCAAGTTGTCTATATGTATTAGCAATATTACAATGTGATTTACTTAAATCAAAATGATTATGTGAAAGATATTTTTCTAAAATATTCAATGTTTCTTTAAAACAATCTAATGCTAACGGATAATGTTTTTCTTGTTTATATATTATTCCAATATTATTCATACATTCAGCTATTTTTAAATAATTCTCATCAGTAGATTGTTTCCATATAGATATTGCACTATAATAAGATTCTACTGCTGATTTTAACATATGTTTTGCACTATATACATGACCCATACTATTATAAATAAGTGCAAGAAACATATCATTAGATTGTAATGTTCGTAATGATATATCCAATGATTTTAATAACCATTCTAAACTTGCATCATAATCTTTTTTAATAAAAGCTATATTACCAAGATTTAAACAACAATAATTGATACGTTCATCATCTTCTGATAGTTCATTAAATAAACGATAATAATATTTTTCTGTGTCATTTGATTTATTTAATTTTTGTAAAATATAACCAAATGCTAAAAGATTTATTTCATCATCATCATTTTGAAAATTATCAAAAATACTTTTTAAATATTGATTTGTTTTACTTGATAAGGTCATTTCAATAATCCATATATTATTATCGTTTAGATAAATATTATTCAATTGAAATATAGATCCTAACATGAATAATATTTCACCTTCATCATGATTGAAATAACTATGTGAAGAAATATCAGCAAATGCTTTTATTTTATTAAGATTAGGATCTGCAGTAATTTCAAATAATATAGGTTGATAATTATTATTACTCAATGAAACTTTCGATGACGGAAGTGTTGCATTACGATTAATATTTGTTAAAAGAAAATTATTTATTGATAAAAATTGTCCAATAGAATTTTTTAATATTTCCAATTTATTTACGGACATTAATTGATATCGATAAACTTTTATTGGTAATAAACATTGATTTTCGATTAATTGTTGTTCAATATCTCGAAGAAAAAATCGAAATAAAAAAATCATATCAATATTTTCAATTTTTAAAGCTTTATTTAATATTTGAGAAATAAATATATCTTTTGTTAACCACCAAACAGCATTATGAGTTGAATAATTTTGTTGAAATTCACGAAGAATATTTAATTCAGTTTTATTTCCTTTATATTGATTACGACATAATGACATAAGATCAGTAATATCATTTGATACTGAATCCATTTGAAGTAAAACATCAATTAATATTTGTGAATATAAAAATTTATTATTTAAATCAGTTGATTGATCAATACGAAAAATATCAAATAATATTTCATCTTTTATATATTTACATTTCATGTGATCAACTTTTATTTGAGTAATAAGTTCATCATAATCAATTGAAATGGATTTTACCTGAAAGAATAGAAATCTTCGAATTTTATTTTTTCTTCTATTCTAAATCAATCTTAGTCATATACCTTGTTGAATTGATTAATCCATTGTTGATCTATATTTTTATTTGGAGAATAAATATAGATAGAAAATAATTGTTGTAGATGATGAATATTTGGAAGAATTTTTTGTCCTATTTGATCATTAACAATCAATATAATATATTCATCTTTCGACATTTTTTGAATATATTTTTCACAATCATCTTCGTTTTCAAATGTTTTCAAATAATTAACGATTGTTCGAAGTTGTTGTTGAATCGAAATAGTTTTTTGAGATTTAGTTTTTGAATCATCAAGCCAAATAATTGTAAACATTTCAAGATTTTCATCTTGAATTAATGTTTTATTTGAAGAATTATTGGCACCATGACATGAACCCATCGTAAAATAAATGTTCTATTGTAAATAAATGTTTTATGAAGTATATAAATGTATATAATCAGTCATTGGAACGAAATAGAGCGAGACAGAGAGAGAGACGTAATAAAAAAATTGACTTGTAATTATTCAAATCGAGTCATAAAACTGGTTTGTTCTCTTTCATACTTGTTTTAATATGATCGATCACGAAAAAATATTTGATTTCTTGATAAGAAATTGTTATATTTATAGGTACGCCATTTAAAGTATGTGTACGTAAAAGATAAGGTATATAAAAACAATGATTTGATCAAACACATACGCATTGAGTTGGAGGATGTTTGTCATTTATACCTGTATAAATACGTAAATCAAGGTTATTAATGTATACTAAGCAAAACTTACGAAAAACAAATTTATTCATGATTAATAAAGCATATACTAATTGATGTAACCATTATGTTCTAGATCATGATTATGAGTCAATGTGAATGACTTGATTTATTTATAGATAACAATAGCTTGTAAACTTGAGAGATGTGTAGAATAGAATGACGCAAGTAAATTTTGACAATGTCTTTCTGTTTTATTTCTCCTAGAAGTTATTCAGTATTCGTTGCAATTACATAATATTTATTTTTCTAAATCGTATAAACTATATTTGCGAATGAAAATTTATTTATAGTGACAGACGAGTATCAATGCAAAAAAAAACAAATTAGTTCATTTGATTCTCGAAGAAAATTTGAAATGAATTTTATTGATAAGATTTATTATTTTATAAACTGATAATTTCAAAAATAATTGTTCAAATAGAATTTTAGTTAATCAAAATCGAATCGTTGCACTGAATTATCCATGAATTTTGGAGAATCTATAATATATGTTGGTACAAGTGCTGGGAGTGAAGCATTACGATAACGTAGCATCGATGGAGTAGGTACAGATAAACTTTGTCGAAGTTCTAATTGAGATGAACGGGATGAATGTACAGTTGGTATTTTTTCAGTATTGATGACACCAACAATATTTGATGTTGGACGAGTATTAAAAAAATTACTTGAAGGTTCTAAATAAAAAAAAACTAATGTAATTCTTTAATTAAAATTATTATGAATATACTTTTTTTTGATGATTTATCATCGATGGTTTGTTTACTTGCATTAACTAAATTTGCATTCTCATGATTAATCTCGTTCGATTCTGATGATCTATTTTGATTATTAGGATGAACTTGAATTTTACGTATCCATGATCGTTCTAAATAATTCACAACCTAAATATTGATACTTGTAAAACAATTTACCTGGACTTTGTCGTCGTATATGTCTGCCAGAACGATGATTACGAAAAGGTGAAAGAAATTGAATTGTTGTTACTCGAAAACGATCAACTAAAATAATAAACGACCTTAAGGTTTCTCTTAAAAATAATATGTTGAAAGACAACAGAAAATACTTACACGATGATGGAATATCCGATGAACGATTTGATGGCATTGTGTATGACTCTATCACGAATGTATATCTCTCATTTATATAGTTCAATGTAACGTCTAGCAATTCTTTTTTTTTCTAATTTTAATCGGTGCGGAATGAAATCTTATGGTTGATTATATCTCATCATTCGAAAGAAAAAAGAAAGGATTCATGATGACGTATATAAAGAGAAGAAAAAAAAACTCAAAGAGATAGACCGGATTCTTAGTTGAATAATAAAATGACAGGCAATTTTCCAAGCTGACATCCATAAAAATTATTTAAAAAATATCTTTCTATTTTTGGAAGATATAAATAAAAATTTTTGCTATTTAGTTCAACGCGCCATTTGATCTCAAATAAAAGGAGTAATTCAGCGAAATAAAATATATATTTGATTAAATAGAAAAAGACTACGAATCATATATTAAGCATAAATATTGTTTAGTTTTAAAAAAAAAGACGGAATGAGATTATTTTATAATTTAGCGATTTCTTGGAAATATGCACCCATCACTTTCATTCCATTCATATAATTGATTATATCAAATTTTTCATTTTGAGAATGTGCACCATCATCACTTGCACCAATTGGTAATAATAAAACATTTTTTCCTGTTTGTTCTTGGAATGTTACTGAAAAAAGAACACGGAATTATTTTTTAATAAGTTTTTATTTTATTTTATTTACATGTTATGGGAATTGAACCACCTTCACGTGTGAGATCAGGTTCAATACCATGAACAGCAACTGTTGCTTTACGTGCAGCAATATATTGTGGATTGTTTGGATCAGCAACCCAATAATCACCACCATGTTCTAATTTAACCGAAACTTTATTTGGAGATTTTCGTTCTTTCATTATGTTTTGAATATGTTTTTCAACTAATTTTTCTAATGTAGCAATTTTCATATTTGGAACAATACGAATTGAAAATTTTCCAATAACATGACGAGGTATAACTGTTTTACAGCCAACACCATCAAATGCACCTAATATAGAATCAAATTTTATCTATAAAAAATTATGAAGTTTTTTCTTCTATATTTACCTTGAATTCCATGTAAAGATAAAGATGGATATCTCCATCGATGCATTAAAATTTGTTCTTTTTCTTTTTGAATTGTTTTTTCAACACCGGCTTCAGAACAATAAGCTTTCTATTAATTAACAAAAAAAAATTCTGATTAATTTATTTTCAAGATTAGAAATCAAACATACCGTATCAAAAGTAATAGGTTTGTAGAGTTGTTCTTCTTCGGGCAAAAGTGGTGCAACTTCATCATAAACACCATCAATCAAAATATGACCTTGATCATCGACTAATGTGCTCATTAGAGCAATTAAATCAGTCATTGCTTCATGACTAAAATAATGGAATTGATTTTTATTCGAAATAAATAGATATTATATTTTGCGAGAGAGTTCAGAATTGTTCTTTAATTTATGTACCATCACTTCCGAAATCGAGACAAAACTTATATCTCTCTCTCACTCATACACTTACATTGTACCACCAAAGCAACCGGAATGTAAATCTTTTGTTGAACATTCAACATCAAGAAAGAAATAACAAATTCCTCTAAAGTATAACAAAAAAAACGAAATAATATATTGAAATTAAAAATTCTTTATTCATACCGAAGACCATATTGTAAACATGGTTTTTCTTTACCTAACCAATAACTGTCCGAAATAACAACAAAATCAACATCAGAAAGAAATGTATTTTTTAAAGATTTAAGTAAATCTTCGAGACCTTCACTACCATATTCTTCCATACTTTCAAGACAAAATTTAACATTAACTGGAAATGGTTCATTTAATTGTTGATAAGCTTCAATAACATTAAGCCAACTAAGAACTGGACCTTTATCATCAGTTGATCCACGACCAAATAATTTTCCATTTTTTTCTGTTAAGACGAATGGTTCAGTATCCCAACCATCTGAAACTTGAGCAGGTTGTACATCCAAATGACCATAAATTAGTACTGTTTTTTTTGCTTTATCATTTCCGTAAGTGCCTAAAATTACGTTTGGTAAATCGATTTCCTTTCCATCAGCAATTTTTTGTTTTCCAACATCAGATAGTTCAACTTTAACACCTAATTTTTCTAATAAAGATTTTGTCCAATCAACCATACGAACAACTTCATGTCGATGTTCAGGCCATGCTGATACAGATGGAATACTAACAGCATCACTTAATCGTTGAATATAATCTTTTTGATGATCATCAAGATGTCTAATTAATTATTAGAATAATTAATACTATTTGTCTTTTTATTAAATAAAATCTTTACTTAAATAAACGTGTATTGAAATCGTTGTTCGACATAGTTTTCGGATTGACAAAGCAAATCTTTTTTAGTCTATAAGTATGAAAGAACAAGTAGAATAGATAATAATAACAGTTTTTATATCACAATTTTATTTGTAAATGATAATGCACTTTTTACAGTTTGGTCAAAGTTTCTAATAGATAAAGATTTAAGTATATTGTCAAGAGGCAAAAAAGAAAAAGATAATGTATTCACTGAGAGTCATCTAACTCTGTGTTATCATAGAGAATATTGTTTAAACAGAGATGTGTTTGTTGTAATGAGAAGATAAATGTCGAATGAAGTTCGTGTTATTCTAAATCATATAAGCGCAACTGTAAAGTCAATAACAATCAATTCCTAAAAAAATGAAGATCGAGATAAATGCATGGGAAGCTTGTTCGAGTTTGGCACTTTTCGAAATTGAAAGATATGTATTTTTCAGATAAAAGTGGAAAAGCTTTTCGATTCCGACTCATTCAGTATTTTTTACTTATTAAGAAAAACATGTAAAGACGTAATAGATGTTAGAGTTTCTTTCTAAACTAAACATTGTTTTCATTATACACATAGCTACCTCTATAATTATTTACTCATTCTTTACGAGAAATGTGCGATCTCTTTTCTTCATTAAACAATGGAGGTATCGGAAAACACGGGCTCTATCATGTATCGCTACCTGACAGACTCTATAAAAAAATTTAATATATCGAACGAACCTAAGTCAAGAAATCTGGATTGTCACATGAACTATTTTTCACTCTTATTAGATGAATATCTCGTTCAAACGCAAATACGTTCATGTTACAGTCCTAATATTTTGATAGATATTCTACGTCTCTTTACAGCAACTACAAAACAACACTCTCTGTATATTTTTTTTTGGATATTCATCGACAATAAATTACAAGTACTTGACATTTTCTAGCTTATCTTTTAATACAAAAGCAAAATTCTTTATGTACTTATGATTTATTGCCGACAGCACATCTAAATAAAAACATAAAGAGTATTGTTTTGTAGCCGCTGTAAAGAAACATAAAGTAAGCTCTCTCGATTGCATATCTATCAAAATATACACGAATCCTGGGGCTATAATAAGAAAGTATTTACAGTCAACGCCCACTGGATTTTGATCGATTTTTGAAGGAGAAGATATTAAACTGTCATAGATGTAGAAAGGTTTGTTGAATCTAAAACTCTCAATTGTATTGACCATCATCTGTATTCTCGATTGTAACAACAGAGTGAAATCATTTGATATACCAGTTTTCTTGTCATATTTTAGTATATGTAGAACGAATGATTAAAATAGAAGTTTTTCTTTGAATATAAGTGCAGATAGTTGACGAGTAAATCCTTATAAAAATTCTGTCTTTAAAGAAACAATAAAAAGTGTCGTAGTTATGTATATATATATACATGTATATTGTGCCACTTTCTCTCTGTTCATCAAAGCCAAGTTCGGTAGTTCTACAAGAACTATGCTAATACGAATAGAACGAAACGAAACAAAACAAAACCCTAACAGTATACACAAAAAAGGCACAGAAGAGACGCAAAAAAATCTCTCTATATATACAATTTAACAGAACTAAAAGAAAATGAAGAGAAAAAAACAAAAACGGAAGTCTTCTTTTTTTTTTGTAAAGCAAAAATGAACGATGCTGAACCAAGAAAAACAAAAAAAAACGAATGAAATAGTCAAAATATAATCGAATGTTCAATATATATGAGAAATCTATGGCACAAACTTTACAATAAAATGTTTATGTCTGTACACTACGTCGTTGTCGATTGCCGGGAACAATATTGTCAAGATCAAGACCTGAACCAAGAAATAATTTCGTCGTTTTAATTGTCGATACAACTGGAGAATTTTTTCTTGATTTCGTTATTTTAGTTGGTTTTTTCGATGATGAATTATTCGTTATTGATTCACTATCTTGTTGAATAGGACGAATTTTTGTCGATTGAGATTTACTTATTTTGACAGGTTTGGTTTCAACACTACTAGTTGTTGATAATTGAAGTGGTTTTGTTCGACGTAATTTTACACGTTCTTCAATAGATAATGATGGTAAAATATCAATAGAATTATTTTGAGAAATATTAATTGATTTTGTTTTGCCACGATTAGTTATTTTTTTCTTCTTAGCAATGCTACTTTGTGTCGATTTGATACCAGTCTAAATTTATTTCATAGATTCTTTCTTTTCACAAATCAATTAGTACATACTTTTGCTCGAGTTTTATTATCTTGTTTATTTCCTGATTGTGTACGTGAATTAGTCATAGTTGTTTGTACAGATAAACGAGAACTTGTTTTTTTTTGTAATCGTATATCTTTGGATAATTTAGTTGTATTTATTGCAGGACTTGTCGATGATAATGATACACGATTTAAATGCAATGAAATTAATGAATTATTCTCTTTATCACTTGAACTACGATCAATTGATACAGTACGATTTGAAGTTAATGTTGTTTTATCTAATAAAGTTATGAAACAAAAATGCAAAACAAAGTAAGAAAATCTATTCATACTAATGCGATTTGATGATCTAGAACGTTTCTTAGTTTTTCCTTCACGTTGATTCAATGGCAAATCATCATTATCATCAGCAACAGGTCGTAGAGAATACGAATGATCGGAAAGAAAGGTGTAATCACTTAGCATAATTATACTATGAGTTCATCGAATTACTACATGGATAGATTATCTATCGTTCGATATGAAAATAGTAAAAAAATGAATAAGTTTTCTAGAAAAATTAATGATTTTAGAAGATAGATAGCTTAAAAAGATGAATTAAAATAAATAAATAAACAATAGTCATTTGTGTTCATACGACTCTCAATTGGTTAATGCATTCGTTCAGTCAGCTTATGAATTCATCGAATTAAATATAAAGAAAATAGAATTTAGAATTAAGATAAAAATATTTTTTTTTCTCATTATTTTAAATATTAAATTGAAAATATTTTTAATAGTGTAAATTTCTGAGACGTATACTAAGGACATCTATCGCATAGAACGAGAGAATTAAGATCATGTAGAAAATTGATATAAATAAGATTCTTTAATTATAGGAATATTCTTCGAAAATTAGTAAACCCCCCTTCGTAATAAAAGACCCGGGCTCTTCTATTGTGGTTCGAGAACTTGCAATTTTGTTTGTGAAAAAAACGCCCTAGGGGGTAGGGAGATTTTTCCAGATTTTTGCTCAAAGGGGACCTAATATTGGGGGGGGGGGGGGGTCAGGGGGGTACCCCCTCCTGCTTTTGGAAAAAAAGACTGAATTTTCTCCGATTTTTGAGTTGACTTTCTGGTTTGGGACCTATTTATTTTCTCCTTTTTGGATTTGAAAACTGGGGTTAGGTCTGCAGAATCCCGTAAAACCTAAACCACAGACCTTTTTTTTTTTTTTGGTCATCAGTTTTGGTTTTTGGGTAGTTAAGGCGGAAAGTTTTACAAGAATTTTAAAAATTTTTTCTAAAATCCATGAAAACTGAAACTGAGAAAATTTTTTTTTTCTTTCTCCTTTTTTGTGATTACCCCCCTCCTGCTTTTAGCTCTTCGCGCCAGCACTGATAATAGTTTATTAAATTTTTATTACAATTCTCTTTTTTTTTTGCAATTTCAAATGATGTTTACCAGTAATACAAGTATATATCATATTACATTTTCATATTTACAATATAATAGAAAAAGAAAAAAATATATGAAGGATGTTCGGTACTTTTTATGATTAATCATATTCTCATCTATATATGCAATAATGTATATACACCTTTGTAGATACGAAGAATATGTATATCAGCTGTATACAAAACGTTAACATATATTAGATAAAATCAATGAGCTCGCTTATAACAACTTTTTTTATTAATTATTTTTCTTTATCAAAATATCAAATATTTTCTATATTATCAAGTATGACATGAACGATAAATAAACAAGGACATCGATTATATCAATTATTGAATTTTCCTCTAATTATCATCGAATTCAATCATAATATATGATGTTTTCTAGTCATGGACATCTAGTAGACAAAATACAAGATTTCGACATTGAAATATGATGTATTATTATAACAACGTTGCTTGTCTATATACAATTAGAGAGTAAATGATAAATTAATGATTACATCTAATTTTCTTTCTATTATTATAAAACTAAGTGAAAAAAAATAAACGAACATATGAATCAAAAAAGTTTAGAAATCATTTTTTATTGTTAAATTTTTTAATTCTTCATCATCAAATTTTGGTTTAGGTTTTTTCCGAAATGAATTTTGACGTTCGCCAATTATTATCTCTTTATGTTCTTCAATTTCTTCTTCAGTATTACCTATAATTAACACACATAATATATAAAAGAAAACTAATTTGAAAAAAAAAATCGAGTATATATGTCTGTCTACCTGCATGACATTCTTCACTACACTCTTCCTTACGAGTGACTGGACATTTCATTCTTTGCATACATTTATTATAAGATAAAAAGTTATTTGCTTTTGATAATGAATAAACTAAATAAGGTGAAAAAATCATTTGTTTTTGTTATTCAATAATTATATAAATTTACCTTGTAATATTTCTTTCTCATATTGTTTTTCATTTTGTTCTCCTAATTTTTCTAATTGCTTATCAGCTTGATTTTTTGTTCTTGATTCGCTTTGTACATGTTGATATATGTAGAGAATAAAAACCACCAATATAAATCGATATCGTTCTATGAAATCTACCTAAATAGAAAGAAAGAAAGTAAAACGTAAGAATAAAAAAAAACAGTATCTTATACAATTGAAAATTAATAAATTTTTTATTTGTTTCTTTTGATAATTTTCGTTTTGTCTATTTTTGTATGAAGAAAAGTTCAATGAATAATCGCGTAGACATCTGAACGCTTTAAAGCGGAACGCAAAACAGATTAACGCCGTACGCAATATATCACATATGTACACACATACAGATTGACACGCGTCGTATCTACTTTTTTTTTTAACGTCTCTTTTCTCTCGCATTCTAATGTTGTTGAACAACATCGCCTAGACGCAGTGAGTTAGAAACGAATGATAATAGTAAAATAGTGCATCGTGTTCTTTTTTTCTCTCCCTCTCTCTCTCTTATTCTTCATCATTTGTATGCAAAATATCCCGCAAAGGGATGTATCGTGCATTTACCGTGAAAACAAGCGTTACGGACGAATATTATTAAAATTAGACGTACAAGGATGTTTGGAAGAGCAAGGATTGAGTAAAGAAAGGTCGACCTGCATAATCAAAAACGTTTCTTTATTCTGGTTATAGTTTTGATCAAGAAGAAAAATGGGTAGCAAAGATTATTATGCCATATTAGGTGTTAATCAATTGGCAAGTGATGATGAAATTAAACGTGCTTATAAACAAAAAGCACTTAAACACCATCCAGACAAAAATCGTGGTGATGTGGATGCTGAGAAAAAGTTTATGGATATCAGTGAAGCCTATGAAATCTTATCTGATCCGTATAAGCGTTCTCTATATGATCGTTTTGGCTCTGAAGAATTACGAAACTATCTAGGTACAGATCCTCGTACTCATTTTCGTTCGTCCGGTAATCATTATCCCGATTATGGAGCTACTGATCCAAATAGTGATTATACATATGATCCATATAATAATTATTTTGTACGATATAAAGATCCCACAACTTTCTATGATTTATATGTTACATTAGAAGAAGTAAATAAAGGTGCAACAAGAAAAATGAAAATAACACGTAAACGATTCAATGCTGAACATAATACAACTGTACGTGATGAAAAATTACTTGAAATTCAAATAAAACCTGGCTGGAAAGAAGGTATAGAGAAAAAGAAAAAAAAAGCTAATTTGTGTATGATTAATTTCTTTTGTTTTGAGGAACGAAAATTACATTTGAAGGTGAAGGTGATGAAGGTGATGAAAACACTATAGCAGGTGATATTGTATTTATTATTCGTGATAAACCCCATCCAATATTTGAACGTTCTAATTCTGATTTAATTTATCGAGTTAAACTCAATATAAAACAAGCATTACTTGGCACATTAATTGTTATTCCATTTCTTGATACAAATAAACCACCATATCAATTACGTTCTCATCAAGAAATCGTAACACCACAAACAGAAAAACGTTTTCTTAATGAAGGCTTACCTTATCCAAAAGATCCATCTAGACGTGGAGATCTTATTGTTAAATTTGATATTCTTTTTCCTAAAATACTTAGTAACGAACAACGTACACTTGTAGATTGCTGTTTTTCAAATTCTATTGATTCTTATCTACCATACAATTCGGTGCTTCATACTACAATTATTGAACAGACACAACAACAACAGCAACAACCAGCACCACCGCCACCACCTTCACAACCTCCACCACCACCACCTCCTCCTCCACCACAAGCGCAACCCTCACAACAGCCACCGCCACCGCCACAATCACAACCAACACAATCAAATTCGCAATCACATCAACATCAACACCAACATCAACATCAACAATCACAACAATCACAACAACAATCAACATCATTACCACAGCAACCACAAGTATCACCACCACAACCACGATCTGGTCCTAATTTTACATCAACTGGCCCACTTAAACATCAAAATGCTCCACCCAATACGAATACTGCTACGAACAATTCTAATACTCAGTATCAAAAAGTTTTTAATCGTTATGTGAATCGTAATGGACATCAAAAGTCACCAAGTTCTCCAATTAAAAATCCTAATAAAATAAAAATATCACCTGTACGCGCTTCTGTACCGGTACCACCACCAGCACCACCATCATCACCTGCGACAGTATATTCCAACGAAACTGTCTTTTAAGCTTTGCTATTTTCATTCATTATAATGTTCTTCTTTTCTTACAAAAATTTGAGTTTTAATTGTTCTTATATATGATGTATTATCAGCAATGATGAGGGTAGCGAAATCATTTTCAATAAAAAAACACAACAAAGCACCGTCTATCCAACTGTTTTATCAATGAGATAAATCAATTGTATAAAAATAAAACTCTAGACTACATATATTTGTTAACTTAATTAAATCAGCAACATATGTACGTATATATCTCTATATATCTTACCATTTGTATGTGTGTATTGAGTTGCTGAGAAATTACAACAAAATAATGGATAAATTCTTGACATCCCGTCGCTATTTTTTTTTCTTTTTCCGATAGAACGACTAATAACTTTCATTATAAACACGGAAATCTGATAGATATGTATATATATTATCTATGTATACGGATCCTAAATAATCAATCTTGGCAGCTGCCGAACGGGAAAATCAGTATAGTACTACATAAATAATGAATTAAAGATGATAGTGGAAGGAGAGAAATCTGCTTGTACTCAGTGATAATTCTTAGTGAAATTAATTGTGTTTTGTACTTTATAAAAATCATAGATGATTTTCTATATAGTTTATTGTTTTTCTTCTTTTTATAAATTGAAACCAATTATTGACGACATCTATCATGAATAGAAAGGATTAGAAAATTGTCTAATGGCTAAACTAAATTGTAACATACGCAAGAAGGGTAGGAAAAATTTTCTTTTCTTTGCTTATTAACTCAGTCTATTATTCTTCTCAGTCAGTTGATCGGATTATGGTTGAAATGCAAGAAAATCGATCAATCGATATATCAAATACAATTAATACAGTTATCACAAATTGGTCATCTGGTGGACGAAATCAATTGTATAAAAAAATTTTATTATTTATTTTTTTATTTATTTATTTATTTTCTTTTAAATAGTAATGAACTGTATAAACAATTACTTGAAGATAATAAAAATAAATATGAAGCAGAACTTGGTAATTCTATTTTATTTAATATTTTATTATGATCGAGAAAATTTATTTTTATAGCATTGAAACAATTGCTTCTTTCTTTATGTAAATCATGTTTACAAGGTAGTCAATTAGTCGAAACAATTATTCCAATATTTACTGAACTTCAAGTAAATTATTTCGTTATAAAAATATTTTTTAGAATTTTTCTTTTTCTTTAGGAGATTGTCACTACTCCAGAAATAATTGGAGATCTTCTAGCTGACATTTTAGCAACTCTTGGTTTGTCTTGTTTTTTTTTTCGGTTAAAAGTAGAAGAAAAAAATTTCTTTTATTTTTGTAAAAATTTAGATGTAGAATTATTTCCAAATGATGATACAACAACAAAAGAAACTTATAAACAACGATTTTTTCAACTTATCAACAAATCGGAAGTAAGAATTGAAATAGGATTTTTCCAACATTATCTCTTAGCCCTGCATTATTTTCATCAACAAAATCTGTTTATAATGCACATTACTTTAGATCTCTAATTGATATATTTGAGTTTGTAACAAGATATTAATCTTGGTATCCATTTAAGGACATTTTGCATTGCACAATACAGAAAATATTCTATTTTAAAAGTGCGAAGAAGATTTTTAGAATAGGTAATTAAAAGAGTTTTCTTTCATATAAAATTAAAGATATTCTCTTTTAAATTTAGTAAAAAAATCAAATAGGTTATGGCGTATAGTTTATTAAGCGATATTTATCAAAGTCAGAAAAATGGGTCTTAGAAATTATCAGGATTTGCATCTCTTTCTGCTTAAATAATTCTACTTTTTATGTTCATTCAAAAACAAGAACATCTACATTTGTACCCTGCGCTATGTGGCCATTCTGTTGTGTGTATTGTCTCCATACTATACTTAACAATTATTGTTATTACAGTTTCAATGTAACTTCCAAAAGAGAGACCCACACTGTATTTAATATCGCTTTTCAATAATCGTAAAAATTATTTAATGCAATCATTATTCATATCATATATTAAGAGTAGAATGGATCAACTAGTATCTACGCAATTTATTAGACTGATCAAATGAGACCTATTGAATGGTAACAGCCTATCAATGTGAGAATTATCAGTGCATCGCATAGATATTACTATAACTTTTGATCGGAGAATGAACAATCGAAACTTATTACAAAAAAAAGACGTCCATCTATTCACATACACCAGTTTAACTGGCCATAACGATATTTCTAAATAGTACCAAACAATTACTTCAGAAAAGTACTCTCTTTACAATACGATCAAGATTTAATAGAAGTTTTAAATGTGTGTTTGATAAAATAAAATAAAAAAAATTATTTTTCTTTTAGCATATTGTTTCAACAACATTATTGATGGAACGTCTTGAAATTGATACATTAGAATATCTTGATTTAATTATTAGTCGTGATCAATTCAATCAAAAATATGTTCGAATAAAAACACGTCTTTAGTATGTTTAATTTTTGCTAATGTAGGAAATATTTTTTCAAGGTTATCTTTTGTTTTTTCCATTAGTTATAAACAACAAAAATTTAATTTATTACGTGAAGAAAGTGAAGGTTTTGCTAAAACTATAACTGAATTAAATCAAAATTTTTCAATAACAAAATTAAATTCACAACAATTATATGATCGTTTAATGGCATTAATTGGATATTTTGATATAGATCCAAATCGTGTACTTGATTTAGTTATTGAATCATTTGAATGTCATCTTGAATATACAAAAATCTATGTGGGTTTATTACATTTACTTCATTTTGATCGATTAACATTATGTCAATTAATTGGATTTAAATTTCAACAATATCAAGTAAAAATATTCCTTTTTTCTTCTTAAAAATCAAATTTATTCTTTGTATTTTTAGCTTCAAGAAGATACAGCTAGTTCATTATATTTCTTAGCTGCTCAACTTGTTTCAAATAAACTCATTGAACTCGAAGATTTATTACCACATGTAAATTTTAGATATCGAAAATTTTTTATTGTTTTTTAATTTTTGTTTTATTTTAGTTATATCCATTAATAACAGATTTTTCGGATAATTACACAAAAGAACTTGAAAGTGCACGAGGACCAAAAAAAAGTTCAACATCAACTGATGCCAATAACAAATCAAAAGATTCAAATACATTGGTGAGAACTGATGATTGATTTTAACATCCCGAGAGTTTAAGTGATCATATTAACGGAAGCCAAACAAACCGGCCATTCACAAATTAATAGTACTACAAATAGCCTTTTCGAAAATTCTATAATTCTACAGCATGGCTTTGTAATTTCCATATAATAAATTTCTTTGTTTTCTTTTTCTAGAAAAGCAATAATCAATTATTACATTTCATCCAAGCATTATTGAGCATCGGTGATTTAGAACATGCTTTATTTTTATTTGATAATCTACCACGATGGTCATGTACATCATATCGAGAAATAAATACACTCTTAACAAAACTTATTGCTTATATTATTGATCCACTTTATAAAAAGTAAATAAATAAAAATATTTATTTTTATTTTTTATTTATTTTCTCTTCTCATTTAAGTAATTCGGATCTTCATGCTTGTTTCCTTCAATATGAGTTACATAATCCATTGAATTCAGTAGTTTGTTCACGTGAATTAAAATTAATAAATACATGGAATGAATTTCGTGAAAATATTTTTCCTTTATTATTACATCTTGGTGCTTATTGTCAAGATCGTCTTTTATTTATGAAATTAACACGTTTATGTACAAATTTAATAAAAAAATCAATCAATGCAGATGAACAACAAGAAGATATACTTTTATTAATTGATGAAGTTCTTTTTCCAAGTCTTTCATTACTTGATGTAAATGGTTGTTTATCTATTGAATTATGGGCATTAATTAAATTATTTCCATATGATATACGTTATGGACTCTATGGACGATGGCATGAAGAAACTTATCGAAAAACACCACAACTTATTTTCGTTAAACAAGATGTTGCAGATAAAAGTCGAGCTATACTTAAGTAAGATAACTATGAAGAGCGCGAAGCTTAAGCAAATATAGAATTACACATGACCCAAACCCAAACTGTTTGAGTTGGGTGAGTTTGGGTATATGAGTTCGAGTTTGGGTTTGGGTTTGAGTTCGAGTTTGTGCTTTTTTAATCTGTAGAAGACACTATTTTCGATACATTGATGGCAATTAAAAGAAGACCCAAACCCAAACTCCGAAACGGTTTGAATATGAGTTTGGGCCATGTGTATAATAGAATAGATCATTCTTATCTTCATTAAGAATGGGAATTTTGATTTAGTGTATATTAGAGACACATTCGCATCTTTCAATATATCAGATTCAAAAAACATTTAAATTTACGTATTTTCAGTATTTTATTATTCACAAGCCTTTCTTTTATAAAGACAAATATCTGTTTCTTGAAGAATTCACATACAGTATATGATGAAAATAATCTCTAACTTCCGATGAGAGTTAATACTTGCTAAGTTTTATGTGAACTAGATCCTATTTCACATCATTTACTAAGATAGATTACATTTTTTTCTTTTAGACGGATTACGAAAGATAATGTTAAAACCTACAGTCGTCAAATTGCAAAAATTACACATAATAATCCAATAGTAATTCTTTCAGTTGTAAGTGATATTTCATCCTTTATCTTTCGATAATTTTCATTTTTTGTTTCTTCCACATTAGATAATGGATCAAATTCAACGCTATGATAATTTTATAACTGTTATAAATGATGCATTAAAATATTTATCATCACTTGCATATGATATTGTTTGTTATACAATTTCACGTTCATTAACATCTGTTTCACCAGATTCATTATCAGCTTATATTGATGGAAAAATGAGTCGTGAAAATGCAACACCAGTTCAATCATTTCAAAATTTATGTGTTTTCTCAGCAAATGTATTTAAAAAGTATCCAATTGATTTTACTTCAGTACTTTATTATATTTATGATCAATTACGTGTTGAAAAAACATGTGATTTATATTTATTACGTGAAATAATAACAAAAATGAGTGGTGTTGAAGTTTCACAAACAATAACACGTGAACAATTAGAAGCTGCATCAGGTGGAGAATTATTACGTAATGAAGCTGGACAATTTACAGCAGCCAGAAATGTTAAAAAACCTTCAATACGTTTAAAAGAAGCCTTATTAGATAATCATTTATATTTACCATTATCAATAATTATAGCTCAACAACGTAGTTGTATTATTTTTAAATTTGGTGCACAAAGAATTGAACATTTAAAATTAATTGGTAGTCTTTATGATCAAGTTCGTTATTAAAAAATAAAAAATTATTAATTAAAACTAAAAAATATTTTTTGTTTGTCACATTTAGTGTCAAGATACAATGGTACAATTTTTTACATTTCTATCAAATGTATTAACAACAGAAAATTTTCATCATAAATTTCCATCAATTGATGATCTTGTACTTGGATTTCATTTACAAGTCGATGCTGCTTTTCATATATCACGACCATTATTTAATCTTAATATTCAAGTAGAAAATAATTTCATTAAACAATGTTGAATAATAATATGAAATACGATAATTTATTTTCTTTTTATTTAGTCAAAATTTGATGAACTTCGATCAGCAACAACAACAACATTGAATAGAACTGCATTGGTAAATAATAGTTGAGAATTCATTTATTATCGAAATGGAATATAATGATTATTATGGATTTTTAAAAATAGTCAAATAGAAATCGAGTTTTAATCTAAAGAAGATAAAATCAGTTGCGATTTATATACTAAATAATACTATCATAAATAAAGCCGAAAAGAATCTGTATGGTAAGAAGTAAATACACTTCATTTTAAAATTTGCCTATAATAGTAGATTTCCAATACTTTTCTCTTTTGATATCTATGTTGTTACTGTATATAGATTGAAAAATATATTGAAGCAGTGACAGTTGTTATGTCACCAGTACTTGATTTTGTTAAAACTCTTCATCCACAACGAACATGGGAAGAGATGACGTATGTTAATATTTCTTGTTTTTCGTAATACTCATTTTCAATTATCTATTTGTATATTTAGACCACAATTTTATTTAACATTTTGGTCTTTATCAATGTCGGATTTACAAGTTCCTGAACCAGCATATATACGACGTGTTAAATTACTTGAACTTGAAATGACAAAAATTGATGAAAAAGAATTGGTTTGTTTTTATTCTAAATATTATAGAATATATTTATACAGATTTGATTTAATTTTGTAGACAGCAGGAAAAAAACGTAAAGAAAAAGAAAAAATTCATATTATTATAGATAAACTCCATGAAGAATTAGCAAAACAAAAAGAACACGTTGAACGAGTACGTGCACGACTTGATAAAGAACGTGAACATTGGTTTAAAAATCGTATGCTATTAAATTTGTTTTCGTTTCTATTTATTAATATTAATGATTATCTTCTCTTAGGAAATAAAACTAAAGCCGAAACTATAACTGAATTTCTTCAATTATGTATTTTTCCTCGATGTTTATTAAGTGAAATCGATGCACTCTATTGTGCATATTTCATACGTGTTATACATGATTTAGTAACACCAAATTTTAGCACAATTATTTGTTATGATCGATTATTTTCTGATATATCATATTCACTTGCTTCATGTTCAGAGAATGAAGCTATACGTTATGGACGATTTCTTCAATCATTATTAGAAACAGTTATGACTTGGCATGGTGATAGAAATAAATTTGATCAGGTAATTTTTGGGTAACTAAGTAGAAGTTTACGAAATAGAATCTAACTATATTTGAGTTTGAATAAATTCATTTTAAATGTAAGCTCGATGAGTTCTAGTCAGAAATAAAAGTTTATTCGAATTTGTTTATTATAGAATTACTATTAACATTGATAAAGTTTATAGTTAACAGATGAGAAAATTAGAGGAGAGATAATGAACTCTGTGCAATTATTCAGATTGATTTTCTTGTAAATCAAAATTAATCATATTCAATGAAATAAATTATTTTAAAAACTTTTAGGAATGTGCAAGTCATCCGGGTTTCTTGACTGTTTTTCGTAATGCTGGTAATGCAGCATCGAAAACAACAGGTACAACACAAACACCGGAACAACTTGATTATGATAACTTTCGTCATGTATGTCATAAATGGCATTATAAATTAGCTAAAAGTTTTATTGTTTGTCTTGATTCAAATGATTATATACAAATACGTAATGTATTACAAGTCTTAACTGTTCTTTTGCCTATATATCCGAAAATGACAACATTTTATGCGGCACTTGAACGACGTATTAAATCTATATGTGTAGCTGAAAAAGATCGTCGTCATGATTTGTTTGCATTAGCTAAATGTTATAGCGGTCGTTTAGCAAATAAACATCGTGATATGATTGAAGAAGGTCAATTTCATTCTGTTCCGGAACGATCAACACCATCATCAACAAGTAGTAATAGTAACAACAATAATAATAATAATAGTGCTGGTACGAATATGAATCCTATTGTTACACCGACAATCGGTGATACAAATAATGTTATAGATCATCCTATTTTATCAGATTCGCAATCATCACAATCATCGACAACACGTTCAACAGCAAAGGAATCATCTAGTAGTAGCACAACAGGTACATATGAAAATAAAAATTCTTTAGTAAAACTTATAAATAATTATTCTTAGCACGATCGTCGAATGATAAAACGGTGAACGCTGCAGGAACAAGCAATGGAACGACAACATCACAAAAATCATCTTCACCGGTTCCATCATCTCAATCAACTGCACCAACAACAGCGACATCGACAACATCTAGATCAGCAACAATAAATAATACTGGTATGATGCAACCTTGCCATCGGTGCCCATCCAAATTGGCTCTTATTCTCTATATCTACGTGTAGAAAGAACAACTAGAAGCAAACATGAACATGTGCCCACCAACAGCAGTAGTAATACGAATGCAACGACGACGACGACGACAGCGCCTACGACATCATCGACAAGATCTAATCGAATACCACTCGGTCCAACGTTACCTTCGTCTACTCCAGCGTCTAAACCTCAAGTAACATCGACGACACAGAATAAAAATGAGTCCAGTGAAACGACGACAACGACTGGAGGGCGAACAATTAAATTGCCGAATAATGGAACTGATCGTCATGAGTCTTCTCAAGCGCCGACCGTCTCTACAACACGTGAAAGTCCGCCAACAACTAGAAAAGAATCATCGACAGCAAGCGATAGGTAAATATATTTGAATAAAAAATGAAATGAAAAACAAAAACCATCTTTTTCTTTTATAGACGAACGGCTACTTCATCAACAAATGAACCACAACTATCATCGACTAAAACATCCGCATCGCCTAGTTCACGTACTTCTTCATCGCGTACTTTTACTACATCAACACGTAATGTTACCGCAGCCAGCAATAACACTGATGATTCGATTCGAAGGTAAACTAAGATAGTTTTCGTTTATACTTTAATTCATTGTGATACTTTTAGATCGGATCAAACGGCTACGAATGGAGCGAATAATGTATCATCAAAAACTACACGAACAGAGTCACCTCATGAAAATGGTTTTATTTTTATTTCATTTTTCTTGTTTATTAGAATTAGCTTGTTTTCTATCTTTAGCACCAGTGGAAAAACGATCACGTGGTGGTTCATCAAAGGTAACAATTAAAAAATTTGTATAAGATAACCTATATATTATCTATTATGAAATAAATCTATTTGATCGATTCTTCTATATATATATAAGTTCGTAGTAATATTCTTATGAGTACAATATTCGACATAGTTTTGTAAAAGCGCATAAATATTCGCCTTTTTGACTTGCGCAACAATATCAAAATAAACATATGGATATTTAATTTTAGGGCGATCGTAGCACTACATCGCATGTAGAAGAATCACGTAATGGCAGTTCACGTAGCGCTCATCGTGATCATAAACATGTATATAATATTGATTAATTCTTTTTTTTTCATCTTTCTATTCCATATTAATCAATATATATTTAGGAATCAAATAAACGTGCACGCTCCACGACACCTGACAAACGATCATCAAATGGTAGTGGTAGTAGTACTTCAACTCGTCGATTGAATCAAACAGCTGAATCAACATTATCAACAACACCTGTACATCAAGATAATGACTACAGTAGTAGTTTAGGTGTTGTCGATGTATCTCCATCAAGTTTATCATCAAAAAGAATTAAAACAAGTGATACAGTTTCAAATGGACGATCAGCACGAAAAGTAAGAAGAGAAAATATAATCTATTATCTAAATTATTATTGTTTGATTTATTTAGGAAGCACGTGAAGATCGCCATGCAGCTTCATCTTCACATCGAGTATCATCATCATCATCTCGTAGTGAACGTCGAGAGAAATAGTAAATAATGATTTCTTTTTCTTATTAAATATACTTATTTAAATTGATTCTATTCTAGTCACTCAAGCAAAGAAACTAAATAAACAATATTTGTTGTTCTTCTTTTTCTATTTCGATTTATTTTTGTTTCTCTGTGTCTACTTTTTTTTCAATCTATCTTTGGTTTTTCGTCTTAAAAAACAAAAAAAAATAAATTTATGTGTATTTGTCTGTGTGATGAACAATTGATATGAATATCTGACAACAGAAACTATCAACATTCTTTTTGCTAATTTTGTCTTTTGTTCTTTCGATTTTGTACATTCTATATAACTTTGTGTACATGTGTGTATCGATATTTAAGGCAATTGTTATTTTTCTTCTCTTGATTGAAATCAACTTGCTTTGTGATCATGCCATTATACTGATCGACTGCACAAAAATAAAACAGAAATGCCTGTCTATGTGAGCACAATTAACAAAGAAACTTACCTATTCTATTTTTGCTTACTTGTTATTATCATATCATGAAATAGTTACATTAATAATTGTCTAAATTGATAGACTAGATTTTAAGATTCATGCTTATATATGAAGAAATAGTGGTATACATATTTATTGTTAGTATTCCTATGTATCAAAATATATAACAACTATTCACATCAATGTTTTGAAAACATTTCATCATAATCTCAGATTTCCATTAGAACTTTAAAAAAAGGATAATTTTGCTTGTATATGAATATACTAAGCTTTGATTGATGACACCTAGAATTGGTTTTCTTCTTCTTAATTCTTTTCACGATATCTATCATACTTTAATAAAAGTGCAGTATGAAACTACAGAAAACCTATTTTCGTTATACATTTCTATGATGATGCACGGAAAGTTTCAACACATTTTAAGAAATTCTAAAACTATATACATGAGCACTTATTTTATTTGTTCAGAAATATGACGTATGTTCAAATTGTTATTGCTAGAAAATATATACAAAAAGTAACACATAGGCGAATACTAAGAAGCATACAAGTACGATTTTATTGTTAGCCGTATGTGATCCATATTTTACAGCAATGAAAGACAAAAAAAAACACTATCCAGGTCTAAACGTACAGCTCAGTAACTGCCAGTTCTCTGTCGGTTTTTGGTAGGAATTCACAAAATACTGCATCAGAAACCATCGACTTGGGTAGATACTGTAGTAATGGTGGAATATTAAACATGTGAAAAAATATCTGAACTTTTCGATACTGTTGGTTGTCCATTTCTTATTAATATTTTAGTCGAATATAACGTAAATTGCTTGAATTGATATTCATTCATTAGGGTACTTTCATTTAACTTTGCACTGTCTAAAATTGCGAAAAACGAATGAAACGTTAATGAAATCACTTTTTACTCACGCTAGCTGATATATATTCATCGCTTTAGTAACGCCAGTAAAAACCCAAATTTAAATAGATATAAGAAAATTTTTCGATCTGTTGTTTTCTATTGTCGTCATAATTTAGGCCAGTTATCCTTATAATATTAAACGCGATCTTGTAACAATCTTCGGGATATACGCTTAATCTAAGTTTTTATTTTGCTTCTTTTGTGGTCTCTTTTTCTATCAGTGAATCTAATAGTTGTCTTGCGATTCTTGACACAAAGTCGTAAAATATCAAAAACTTTACACTGGTTGACACTTCTCGTAATAACGGACGTAGTTGATTGCTTTCTACTGTATACCATCATACACTGCCAAATCAAGATTTATTAATAAAATCCAATGGTGAGCGATTGTATAACCCTTTAGTTTATAATGAAACTAGATATATTTCGATTATTTGTGTTATATTTCGCTTAAAATGTTGGACAATATAATATAGTATTCAGTCACATGTTCACAGTTAGTTGCTATGCTATCATTATTAAGAATAAATGCGATATGCTTAGAAATCAATCTAACATCCATCGAGCATCGTTAACCGAGACATTCGAGGATAGAGACAGATGAAGACAAAAGAAATACACGTGGATGGAAAAAATCAATAGACGACAAATGCATTATATAGATGAACGTTAACGTTAAATTATTCTAACTTCAATAGACTTTTCTTCTTCATCGACTGTATGATTTTGAATAAAAGAAAGGTAATATTTTATCTTTATCAAATTTTAATAACTAATTATTTTTTAAAATCAACGAGTTTAGTAGTCGTAAAAAATTATGATGAAATACATATTAAAAGACATAAAATAACTAAAAAGGATTGATAATATACGGTAGCACGTTCGACCGGTATTTCATATAGATTGCAGCAGTATAAAGATATGAATTGCTTTTGCAGATTTCAGAGATATTTTAGTTTTATTCAGTTGATAATGAACGAATCATTATGTGATTGCCTTAGGGTATAAAATAAGAATGGAGCGGAAAAATTTTGATTTTTTTTGTCATATCAACTGACGAGAATAATTATCATTCTTTGCATCTTGTCACATTTTTAACACCCATACTTGTTATCAACACTAGGTGGTCTCTTTTATGAACTTCCACTATCATTTTCTCAATGCATGCATCAAATAGAAGTGTCGAGCAATAGTACACACCTATTTTACTTCTCTCATATATGAGGTTGAATGATCACGTTTCGCTTTTTTGTTTTATATTTTAATAAATTAAAGTAAAAATCTTGATCGTTATAAAATGTGTAAAGATTTATCATAAATAAAAAAGTATCATCAACGAAATCTTTAATGCTTTGTTACTATATCGAAAACGTCTCATTTCACTCCCAATTAAAAATTGATTATATTATTATCTTCTATTGATTCAATTCTGTATGAATGCAATGATTAGAATGACTTATAAGTTTCCTAAAACATTAAGAAGTTGATAGTATTCTCCATATCTGTTTATATACTTTTGAATAATATATTCATTAATATTATATTTTACTATTAATATTAATATATATTTGACATTTATAATCATTTGACAGTGATACAAAAAAAACTAGACTACAGTCATCAGAATGAGAGTAAAATAAGCCTACATTTGACAGTACAATAAACAGAAGAAACAATACATCCATTTGAACTAACATGCGTAATTACCTATCTGAAATTAAAAAAGTCGTTTTTTTAGAAACAAAAGAATATATATATAACCAACTCACTTTGATTCAATTTCAGTAGCAGTAGTGCCATTAACAGCAAGATTATTTTCTGAATCTTTTATTTCAACAGTTGCATTTTCTGTTGCTTCACTTATTTTAATTTTTTTTGTTTGATCATCATTATTGTGAACTTTTTCTTGAATTTGATCATCTTCATTATCAAGTTCACGTTTTTTATTATTATTCATATTGTCTGTACCATTAACCGGAGTTGTATTTTCTTCTTTTTCACTTTCATTGACTTCTTTAAATGGTACATTAACACGACCAGGTGAAACACATGCTGGTATATTCGTATTTATTTCAGTAACATTTTCTTGTTCTTCAGTTTGTTTCGGTGTTGTTGATGGTACAACTTCATCTTCATTTTTATTTTCTATAATTTTTATTTCATCATTCGGTTCTTCAATCTTTTTTGGTACATCATCAGTTATTTCATCAACGACCTTTTTTGATTCTACCGGTACTTGCTCTTCATTTTCAATTGAAATGTCAGTTTTTTCCATGATTTATAAAACTAATATTTATTCAAAGAAATGAAAATTAAATTGATCTTTTTTTTTTTAAACTTACGTAGATATCAGAAAGTAATCTTTTTCTTTTTTATATAAATGACCGATCGAATACTATGATATATAGAATGGATGTATGAAAAGAAAAAGATAGAATATATATAGCGAACGGACGGATGGATAGACAAGGCACTATTGTTTGACAATAAGGTGAATTTTCTATCGAGAGGTCATTGCAAAGGCAACATCTGTGCTATATAGAATTGTCAAAACATAAAATAACGAGAGAAATTTATTGAATCATGAATTCTATCTATGCACATTTCTATGTTATTATACCATTAACTAAGATATAAATATCATACGAAAGATGGCGTCATACCACAACGTTAGAATTTCTAGTAAGGTCAAGGTTGTTGTCAGATGTCACTGAAACTATGTTTAATGAACTTTGATTAATGTAGCCGGTAATTTACTAAGAAATATTATACAAAATATAAAAAATGTATGTATAATCCTCGTATACATATTTAATATCTATAAATATGTCATAAATCATTGAAATGTAGATTTTTAACTGGTGTATATAAGTAACCAATGAAAAAAAGAATAAAAAAACATATATAAATAGGAGGGATCTGCACATCCTCTTTCTTCCTTGTCACGAAGTATATTAATAGATCTGCCAGGATAAAGAAAAAAACACAAGAAATCATGTCAAGTGATGAACAAATACCTGTTGTTGCTGATGTAGAAAATGCTAAGAAATCTGATGGTGCAAGTACAGCTGATGAACATAGTGTGGATAAGGTAAATGATGATGAACAAGTTCCACAAGCAGATGAAAAATCACCAATAGAAAAAGAAGAAGATAAGGAATCAGAAACAACAACTACTACAGCAGCAGCAACAGCAGAAGATAACAATATTAATGGAAAAGCCAATAATAATAAACGTGATATTGATCATGTTGACGAAGATGATGAGAAAAAAAATGGTCAAGCAGAAGAAGAAGAAGATGATGATGAACAAGCTGTTGTATCAACAACAACAGCAACAAATAAAAAAATAAAAATAAGTGATCCATTGGCAAATGAAAATGGTGGTGATACTGATGAATCTTCATCAACAAGTGCAAAAGTACCAAATGAAGAGCTCACTGTTGTTTAACGCAATATTATGTTTGGAAATCTCATATCAATATGAACTAGTCCATTCTGTTTTGTTTATTTATTTGTTTGTCTGTTTGTTTACTTGTTTATGTGTATCGCATATCTCAGCTTTGAAATCTTATTCAGATATGAATAACAAAAAAAAATCATCGTCAATCATTTTTATGTTGTAAACATCAATTAAAAATATTTGTCAATGTAATAAATATTGTTCTTGTTCTAGATTATTTCTTTGTAGCTGTGAGTATGGCAGCAGCAACAACAACAGCAGCAAGTTATGTTGAAATTCAGTGAGTTGAAACGTATTAGATGCTAATCTCTACAAAATACTTAATAAATTCCTGATAAACATTTCTACTGTGATGATAAGTTTATTTTCGAATATTATAAACAACATAAAATTTGTTTAAAAATCTTTGATAAAGATTTATCATGTTATGAATTTCTAGTACTTTATAATAGTTTATAAATTGAACTTGGATATATATATATATATGTTTATTATTATTTAAAAAAAGACTTGAGTCTAGTTCATTTAGAAAAATTATTGATATCTAAGATAAATATTTACATTTCTTCTTTAGAGATGAAGAAGCTAATTCCTCGTTCATGCTTGGTAAACGAGATGTTTTATTAAATAATTATCAATCTGCATGTGATCATTTATCCAAAGCATGTGAACGAATGTGAGCAAATTTATTAATATCTTTGCTCTAAAAAAAACATTCCTGTAAATCTTTCAGTGTAAAATTACGTGGAAGTGATACAGTAACGGAACTTGCTGAACCCTATTTTTATTATGGTCAAGCTTTACTTTATCTTGGTCTTAGTGAACAACAAGTATTTGGAAGTGATATTGTTAAAGGTTAGTTTAGAAGAATTATTGATCGTATTAGATAAAATATGTCTATTTTTTTTATTTTGACAATTTTATAGATGAAGATAACGATGAAAATGAAAATGAAGAAATCGAAGACGATGTAGAAGATGAAAAAGAAGAAGCAGAAGGAGCAGGAGGAGGAGAAGAAAAAGGTGATACTTCAATTCCAGATGATGAACAAGTTAATGATCTTGAACGTGCTTTTGAAATTCTCGAATGTGCACATATGATTTATTCGAAAATGTTAGAAACAGACTCAAATAATGCACATATAATAACTCGTTTAGGTGATATACATGTTATGCTTGCAGATATATGCAATGAAAACGGTGATCATGAAAATGCTCTTTCAAATGTTCTTAAAGCAATTGATTTACAAGAAACAATCAATGAACAACAACGTTATCGTTTACTTGCTGAAAGCTATTATAAATTAGGTTTAATCTATGAATTAATCAATAAATTTACTGAAGCTGTTGATAGTTTTGATAAAGCTATTATTGCTCTTGGTAAAGCAATTGAACAAGCTAATGGTGATGATAAGGAAAGTGAACGTGAAGAACTGAAATCACTTTTACCAGCCATTGAACTTAAACGTAATGATGCACAAGCATCAATTGCTGATAAACATTTAATTGCACAAGCAAGAAATATTATTACAGGAACAAATGGTGCAAATAATAATCATACAACTGATAATAGTACAGCAGAAGCACCAGTAAAAGATTTAACATTAACAATTCGACATAAACGACCAGCAACTGAATCACAAAATACAGATGAAGAAAATAAAAAAGCTAAAACTGAAGAAAACTAAATTTTTTTGTTATATTATTGTGTTGTTCATATTGTAAAGATTAGACTTGAAAAAAAACGAACTTTATGTTTTTTTCTGTTGAATAAAAATATATTTCTTTATATGTTTTGTTTATTGATCAATAACATCAACAACAAAAATCTCTTATAGAAAAACGATAACTATTTTATTTTCTATGCGTAGAAGAACTAAAATGCCTTAATCGCTCAAAGATATTTTTGCACATATTTACTAATAAATTTTCAAGTACAAAAGAATTAGAATATAATATTTTAGATTTGTTGTAATGTCTAAAATTACAATTAATATTTTATGTCCAAGTGGACATCGACGTAAAGCACAATTGATGCCGAATAATAATTTATTTCAAGTGAGAAATATTTTTTTACAAAAGACACAATGATAAAAATTTTTGTTCATTTTTCTTTGCAATAATAACTAAAATATGATTAAATTCGTAGGTACTTGAAGATATGTGTAATCAAGAAAGCTTGGATTCTTCCGAATGGGCACTTATGTAAGTATCATATTTTATTATTCATTACATACAATGAATAGTACTTTATAGGTATCAACATAAGAAATGTGATTTAACTATTCCATGGCGTTTACAAAACATTCCAACTAATGCTACTTTAGAAATGTCTAAACTTGAAGATCGTCGTCATACTGATGATATTAATGTTCATTTACAATTACCTGATAATTCAAGATATTCTGGTTGGTTTGAACCAACAGTTACTCTTCAAGAAATGCTTGATTGGTATCGCATTCAACCTGAAAGGTGAATATTAATCAAAAATAATTCTTTGACTTTAAACTGGTTTATATTTGAAGTATGGTGGCTGCAATTGATATTTCAATGAGTGATACTTATAATTCATGTCCAATATGTACATATATGAGCGAAGAGGTATATTGAACGATTATTTATTTTCTTATTCTATTTATTATGTATAGATTATTGGAGAATATGCTTTATCAAATACATCATTACGTGACCTTGGACTTACTAGCGGATCAGCAGTTATTAGGTAAGCAGAAACTTGACTTAAAGTGATCTATATACTCATTTTAAATATTTAATATAAATTTTGATATTTTCAGTTCTTATTATGAAAAGAATTAACATTGTGATGATTATTATTATAGGTATCATTTACGACCAATTACTGATGATGAATTGCAAAAAATCAATAGTCGTATTGACGATAAGATTGTTCGTCGACGTCAACAACAACATCAACAAAAAGAACAATCAAAACAACAAACAACTACACAACCTACACCTATTCGTTCTAATAATCCATCAACTTCTTCAAGAAATGCAGCTGCTGCATCATCAAACAATGAAGAATATTCGATATTTAATGATCCTCCAACGAGAACTTCTGTTCCTGATGCTACGACACAAGTAATTTTCAGTTCGTTTCCTATAAATGCCTACATTTCTTCCACTAGTCAAAACAACGGCAATCAAGAACATTAGCTGAAGAACTTGGAATCAATATATCATTAGATCCAGAATCGAAATTTGAACAAGAACAATCGAAAACGAATTTTCGCAATTTTAAAGTAGTTTTTAAATCAATTGAGAAATTGTTTTATTTCTTTAATTTTTAGTTTCCTGCAACAACAAAAGGCAAAAATCTTTATCAAAATGAATCTGATGAAGATTATCAACGTACACAAAAAGTTAGAGTGAGTTACTTTCATTCAATTGAAAATAATAGTCAATCCGTACCTCAAATAGCCATGTGAACGACGTCCAATAGCTTATGATGTAACAAAAACTCGTTCAATACGTGAAAAAAAAGATACTAAAACAGGTGAAGTATCCGATAATTTTTATGAACTAACAGCTGAAGATCTTCGATCAGTACTTAATGGTTTACATCAACAAGGGTAAATTATTTCTCATAAAAATAATTAGTTAAATAAATTAAATTGCATTATTTAATTAGTTCTGATGAACAACCATTAGAAACTCGTTCTATGCGTGAGAGAGCACAAACGGCACGTCATATGTCTTATGAACAAATTGCTATTCGATTTGTTATAAATTCACGTTATATTCTTCAAGGATTTTTTCGTCCTGAAGAACCAACTTCTCGTCTTCTTGAATTTGCTCAAACACATATTGTATGTTCACAGATTGGACAAACAGATTTTTATTTTTATACAACACCACCACGTGTTGTATTATCTGATTTGCGACAACCATTATCAACATATGATTTAGCACCGGCTGCTTATATTCATCTTGGTCATCGAACTATTTCACCACTTAATGTTCAACTTGCATCAAATATACCAATACGGACAATTGATGAAGCTAATCAATTAGCTTCACAATACGTTTTTAGTCGTTCCAGACCAATGAGTGAGCGTGAACGTGAACTTAGCAATACATTATCTAATGAAAGACCAACTACGGCTACAACTCTTATGAACCGTCCAACAACGAGAAATCAGCCGACTACTGGTAATTTAGATGATAAACAACTGCGTGAAAAATTACGTAAATTTTTACCAGGAAAAAAATAAACATTTGAATATTTTATTTTATACTTGATTTTTTATTTTAATCTTGAAATAAATTGTTTATTGAATGAAACATTGTTTGATTGGAATTTTAGAAAATATATTGAAATAAATCATTCCAAATCAGAAGTGAATATTTTACATGTGTGATAGACATTCTTTTGTTGGATTTCTATTTATAACATACACATATATTTATACTGTGAGTGCATTTGAAGAATAAGGACAAAATCTCTCACATATATACTTTCTAATACCATAACTATAATAATACAATTTATTATAACTGACATAATGTCAACTGATGATAGATAACAGTAATATCAGAATAGAAATGATTAATATGATATTTGAATAAATTGTTAAATTCATATGAAAAAATTATGGTATCAATAAAAATGATACTTTTATTCTCTAGAATTATTAGCAAGTATATAGATTCGATGTTTTATTTTTGTTCTTGGAGGTTTCAAAAGAATTTTTAAATGCGAGTAGATTTTGTCAAAAATACTGTGAGGTTTTCTATGCTTTTTATGAAATTTACTAATTAGTCTTGTGACTTCTAGAAGGATAATGCTATATCGTATATAGATTATTTGTTTCTGTTATATTCGGAAATGGCCTTGATGGTATTCATCACCTTTGTCGACAGACGGAAAAGTATACTATCTGATGTTTATTTACAATATAGAACCTTTGTAAAATATCAATTATTTTATGACGCACTTGTTATCTATTCACAATGTATTATGATGTCCGATACAAGGTTATTTGATATTCTTGACGATTTTGAGTCTTCAACTAAGATTCATTGAAAGACTCAAGTTTATTGAAGATGATACTATCGTTATTTTTCAAAAATCGATCAATATTCTATTGTATATATGTAGTGATATATTAAAATTATCATTCATTATTTTCTTTATAGTTTATTCAATTTCGAAAATAAAACTGAAATCTATTAGAAATGTACATTTATTAAAGATATACATAAAAACAAAGAATAACTAAATATGAAAACAATCATAGGAGTTTTATTGTTTATTAAAATCAATATACAATCTTTGATTTTATAAACGGCCATTGTCCAAAAGCATTTGGATGTCTACCAGTGCATGTATTCGATGGTCGACAACGGCAACTTGGGCAGGCCTTTCCATCAAGAACATATCCACATGGACAATAAAGGTTACATGGCGGGCAACGTCCAAAATTATTTCGTTGAAATGGATAAGCCTCAGTACTAGTTGGCATTAACCAAAGACAAACACCAATGGTAATAAAAATGAATAATAATAATATATTGCTTCGCATTTTGTACCTACTCTTAATATTTTAGATTAGTTGTAATGTATTTCTTCTTCTATCTGCTACTATCATAAATGATCTACTTTTATAGGCGAAGAGTATTCTATCGACGTAATACGCGTATCTCGCTTTTTTTTTCTTTCTCTACCATAAATATTGTACAATGAGTACATTTCCGCTTTTCTCAATTACCAATCAAACATTCGTAAACTTTGTTTATATGTTATACATAGATAAAACCTTATCTTTTTTCTCTTTTTCTTGTTTGTACTCGGGGAACAAAAAGAAGATGTCAGTGAAGCACGAAACTTTAAGTGCGAAAGTCAAATGGTTTATAAATACTAAAAAGAATGTATAGAAAAATATAATGGAAAAAGAAATGTAATATTCATTCGAAAATATTTATTATGAAAAGTTCAATACAATTTTATGAAATAGAAACTGGATTGGCTAACCGTTGTTAATCAGTGACTCATAGGTGAACATTTCGATCAAGTGTTCGCTCATATTTTAATACGATATCATGTTCGTTCTATTTTTTTAATATTATCCAATCAAATGAATAGATAAGAAATATTTTTTATCGATGATGATTATACTTATAAAATTAATATTATCTTTAATTAATAAGTAGGAATTAATCAAAACCTTGAATATAAGGAAAAATAGATATCAAGGACTTTATTCTTGTACTTGAGAAAAAAAATCATCGACAATTTTTAGTGAATATATTTTGAATTACGTATGTATTTACAACGAAAAAAAATAGAAAGATTATAAATGAAAAATATCCACGTTTGAGTGTTGATTAATTAAATTAGCGTCATTGAAAAATATTTTTATGTTTGATTTTAGATAGATTCATCTCTCCAACGTTTATTCGAGCATGTGTAAGTAGTATTCTCGATTATATAGAAGATCAGTTTCGTTAAGAATCATTTCATTCATGTTTTAATCGAATAATTACAGTTATTTTTGACAGAGATTGAATGCAAATACTTTATTCTATAAAATCTAATATTTAAGTATGACGTTGTAGATATGCAACTATAATATTGATTAGATATATCATCTTACAAACTGCAAAACGGTACGCTTTTGTATTTTTTCATTCATCTTTCTACGTACGGTGAAACAAGAAGTACTTGATCATATTCCGTAGTTTTAAAAGAACATGCTTTATAATCTCTATTCTATCGTGTCTAATAATATCTATGCTTGCATATCTATAACGTGATATATAAGTCTTAAATATTTTATAATGAAGTACGTAGAAGTATTTACTTTCAATTTTTGAACTTTTAGTTCAAAATATGAATTATATCATAAATTTTTCATCTATTTAGAAATGATCGATGCCGAATGTCGAGTATATTTATTGCCAAATGCAATTGGCAAAGGACGTTTAACTATATTTCGTGAAGCATGCACGAAATTTTCTCTTGAATTTATAACACCATTCAATATTGATAATATTGAATGTATTATTGCTGAAGATACACTTGATACAAATGTTATTATTGAAAAAATTCTCCATCTTGATCCATCCAATTTACATATTCCACAAATAGTTAGTACACGATGGCTTAGTGAATCATTACGTGCTCAAAAATTATTACCACGTGAATCATTTATTCGATCTATAGTATCTGAAACTCCTATGACATCTAATGAAGATAATATTGTACATGATGAGAAAATACTTCGAACAAGATTTAATACTGAACAGTCAATTATGCCAAGAATACGTTCAAATTCAGACAGTGATTATGAAGACGACGAAGATATCAATAAAACGGATGAAGAATTAGTTGTACGTATATTTTTATTTAAAAAAATTAAAGACAATTATCGAATGGCATCTATCTTTCGATGGAATTAGAAGAATGTATGGAAATGAAATTATCAGCCTTGCGTATCTTAAGTTAATATGCTGGGTATTTGTCTGAGACAATAATCAGCGACTTGAGGGAATGTATAAATAAATGCTGAACTCATAAAATATTATACAAGTTAAATGAAAATTAAAATCGGAATTTAATTAGTTCCTGAGAAATTTAGTTACTATTTATTAGAACGATCTACAAAATATTGTTAGTTAGTTCTTTATAAGAAAATGAGTATGATTAATATTTTACAGTTTGCTATTTAAACAAATTTCTTTTATATTATATTTTGTTTCTTGTATTTAGACATTAGCTCCCAAAGAAGTCACATTTGCAGTAAGTTTTTATTTATTTTAATTGAATTTATATTGATTTATATGTATAGAAACATAACTGGATATGTCATGAATCATCTGCATTACCTGTCGATTCTGTTACCAATCCAAATCAAGCTGTTATTGATAAACTTCAAGTAAAAATTCCTTTTTGTCAACAATAAAATCTAAACATGTTTTTGTTGTTACATAGGAAATGGCTAATCTATATCGAAATTCTAATGATAAATGGCGTGCATTTGGTTATCAAAAAGCAATAAGTACTTTAAAAAAATGTAATAGACCAGCAACAACCTATGAAGTACATATCAATATTCTTATTAGAAATTTAAAATAACAGAAATTTTTCTAGGAACTTCGAAGATTACCTGGTGTTGGTTCACGTTTAGCAGAAAAAATTGTTGAAATTATGGAAACAGGTAGTATGACTAAATTAGAAGAATATCAGACAGATGCTGATATTGCTGTCATGGATCTATTTGGACAAATTTGGGGTAGTGGACCAGCACAAGCAAAACGATGGGTTACTCTTGTATGTTAATTATTTTGAAAATTTTTAATAATTATATTTCTCTAAACTAAATAAGGGTTATCGAACATTGGATGATCTTCGAACAAAAGCAAAATTAACACATAATCAAGTGATTGGATTAAAATATTGTTCGGAATTTCTTGAACGTATTCCAAGAGATGAAGTTTCACAAATTGAAAGTGTTGTATGTAAAAAAAATACTTGTTTTTGTCATTGAATTCTTGTTTTAATAGGTTAGAGAAGCTGCCGAATCTCTTCGACCTGGTTTACTTATACAAACATGTGGATCATATCGACGTGGAAAGGCAACTTGTGGAGATTGTGATATATTGATAACTCATCGTGATGGTGTTTCACATGAACATTTACTCTTTCCACTTGTTGATAAACTAAAAGCTAGTAGTAAGAAAGATTTATTTGACAAAGATATTTTAATTAATTTTCTTTTTAAAAGATTTTCTCATTGATGATCTTGTTTATACAGATAAACAAGATGAAAAATCAGAATCAGGGTAAAAATTTATTTTGTTATCTTTTTCTTTAATTATGATGATTTTAGTTTTTCCAAAGCACATTTTCGATATTTTGGTGTATGTCGATTGCCAGGTGAAAATCGTCTAGTAAGATCTTTTGATAAAAATATTTTTTTAATAATTAATGAGTGTTATATTAGGCACGTCGAATTGATATTATAATTGTTCCATATGTCGAACATGCATGTGCTTTACTTTATTTTACTGGTTCAATGTTATTCAATCGTTCCATGCGTCAACTAGCTGATGAAAACAATATGTATTTATCCCAACATCGTCTTCATGTTGGTGTTATTCGAATGGTAAACTAGAATTCTTAATTTTACTGAATAAATAAATTATTATTCATAGGGAAAAAATATTGTGAATGAAGGTCGATTAGTAGCAACTCCAACTGAAGAATCAATTTTTCAATATTTAAAATTACCCTTTCGACCACCATCAGAACGTGATTATTAATTAAGCCATTGGATAATGATAATAAAAAGTATATTCTATGAATAAATCAGACAGGGGAAGTTTTTCAATAAAAATATTGGTTATTTTTAGAAATCATTAAGCGATAAAGTTATAACTTTAATTATGCTTTCTAGTTGTTCTCGTTTTCTTCTGAATTCATGATTTCCAACTGTGAAAATAAATACGTGACAAAATTATAAAAATAATTATATATTAAAGCTTCAGATTAAGGATATGAACATTGAGAAAATGTAATAAATGATCGCAAAAATATAATATGAATAAAAGCTTTTAAATCGTATTAAAAATCAATTTATATGCAGAAAAACAAAGAACCGATACTTAACTAAAAATATCTATATGAAATATATGACGTGTCATATTATTGACTGGTACCATCTGTTGTAGAGCCTCGATAAAAAATATATATTCTTAATTGCTTTTCTAAGACTATTTTAATGGCATATAATCATCATTAAAAGAGATACTCTTACTAAATAATATGTTATTCGAAACTAGTACTTTAGGTTTGCTTGACATCATCTTCGGTCAAATAAAAAATTGATTGCACTAAGAAAAATGATTTAAAAGTCAAACATTTTATTATTTCAATATTTTCTCTCTGTCACAATAAAGAAAAATTATTTTATAAATTCGCAGGCTTTAATATATCAGGTAAACCGCCAATAGAATCAAGTGGAAGTGTGCTTGCAACAGGTGAATCAAGTATAGTTAATTCTTCTGATGTAAACCATTTTGTTAATACTAGAATTCGAAATGGTATTAATAGTAAAACAAGTACAGGAAATCCAATAGCTGCTATTGTTTGTGATATTATAAAAAGAGAAAGAAAACCAATAAACATTATTGTAGTATATGAAAATATTTTTAAACGAGAAAGTCGAATTAATGGATCATCAGCTTTGATATGATTAGGATCACGTATAAGATGTAGCAAACGATGTGTTATTGCATTAACTTCAATTGAACCCCAACCAATACCAATAAAAACACCAGCTAAAACAGCACGTGATATTAATGAATAACAAGTAAGAAATGGACCAAACATTGTAATAAGACAAAGTATACTTTGAAATGTATTTGTTAATCGTTGTTCTTTTATTTTAACTAAAATATATTGTTGTACAGGTCGACGTGATTTATGAGTAGTAACAATAGCAGTTGGTACTTGATTTTCTACACATTCATCGATTTTCCAACGACCAAGTGCATCTGTATGCATAGCACATTGTGGCACAAGTGCATTTGGATATGGTAAACCAAGAAAACCAGCTATAATTGTAGTCCATCCTAATAGAAAAAAATCCCAATGAAATCCAGCTGGTTTTCGTAATGGATAATGTTTAGCTTGAGCTGTTAAACTTGATACATTATGATCAAAATAGAATAATGCTGTAACTAATAAAGCAAATGGTATTGCAATAAAAATATATTTAACATCTAAATCTGAAGGATTAACAAACCACGAACGTGTAGAAACTGTTGGTTGATAAGCAGATGTAACTGCTAATCGTTCAATATTGGTTGAACGTAAATGACCTGGAATAAAAGCAAAACCAGACCAAAAAATAACACATAGAATCATAGCATAATCAACAAAAAAATCACGAATAGTTCGAGTAAAATAACTTGATTGACCTATATGTGTTAATACCCAATAGGAGAAAAAGAAGCCAAAAGCTACTAAAACTGACATAAATCCTTTTGTTGATGATTCATGAAAATCATCAATTATAAATTCAATTCCTTTTTGTATATAAACAGCACCAACATAAAAACCAAAGATTTCTGCAGTAAAATTTGTCATATAACGAACATATGTCACTAAGTTAAATATAGCAATAAGCCAATGAAAAATAGCTGCCCATATAGCTGTCCAACACATAAAAGATAAATAAGGCACTTGAGAATTTCGACTGATGATATTGTAAGTTGTATAATTAAATAAACTAATTAAACCAGTAAAACCAACGATAGATATTGGTTGTACAGCTAATAGACCAAAGACAATACCTGAAAAATATAATTGAATTTATGATCTATCGGAACTAAGATAAAGTCTTTAGAAGAAAAAACTATATATCAAACCTCCGAGAGCAGATGCAAGTAAAGCTTCATTAACTCCATAATAATGCTCACTACGTAAATATAAATCAAGAGCATAAGCTAATGCTGGAATCGTATTAAGAAAAAATATACGAATTGTAGCAGCAAATATACGATAAGAAAAAGCTAATTTCCAATCGGATAAATAATAAGGTAAACGTATTTTAACATCACGAATCATTCCAGCAAATGGATAACAAATTGATGTATAATGTGATGAATAACCAGATTTTGGATCAATATTATTTTCATCTTCAGTAGCTTGATTAGTAATAGAAATATCTACTAATTCACCATTTGATTGTTGAAATGAATTATTCGTATTTCCTCCGTGTATATCATTCATCATGAATAAACTCTATGAAAATAGAAATGATCCGCTTTCAATCGATGAATAATCGAAATAAATGTACTCGTCGGTCATATATACAATTTAATGTATCGAGCTATTCATTTTATACCATCTGAAGAATATCATTCTCTTCACACTGTGCATGTTTTTACTTTCTTTAATGTAGTGTGTATTATTTCTTTAGTAGCCTACGGGTTATTATAATATCCAACAACTACTTATATTTTATTCATCATAACTATGTGTGATGATAATAAAAATTATTTTTTTTGTATGTGAAGGTAAAGACAAACATTATCGATATATTAAATTTGACATAATCGAATTTGGCTATTAATTTATTACAATATTGCTAGACGGAAAAAAACAATCATTCTTTTGTACTGAAAGTGCAAACGGATAATTTATTCTTCGTCAGTAGCCAATAATTGAAAATTTATATTATTAACTTGCTTAATTATATTTGTATAGATGTGTGTTTACTCAGACATTCCGTCAGCAAGTTTATTAAGTATACAAAAAAAGTCAATGTATTGATTCTAAATAAATAAGTAAGAAAATTGTAAAATGCCATTGGAAGACATTTACTTAAAGATATTTGCCATTTACATTGAAGAAAAATGTATAGATGTACTCGACCAAATCGAAATTTATTTCAATGAAATAATTTATCACGGATTCTTAACGAATTATATTTATAGAAAATTTTGTTTTGATAAATATAAATTATTAAAAATTCAAATTCTTTTTTTAGTTTATTTACATGAATAAAAAGAAATTATATTTATTTGATAGTATATAGCTCTGGGTTTTACATCAAATATCAATCATGATATTTCATTTAATATATATTTTCATTTCAAGGTCGATGAAGATTTAATCAATCAATGTCCTTTAATCAAGGATAAATATTTATTTAAAAAAAAATAATGCAAAGATTTTTCGAGATAATTTTCAAGGATATCATAAACATGTTGATACAAAATTCGTAATTAATATGTATGATTTAATAAAATAGAGATAGTGTTTTTTCGTAAACAAATAACAAATCATAATATGTCTTCACACGTAATGTGTCTTCAGATGCTTACTACGTTATACGTGAAATGTGACGAGCACTCAAAAATATAGGTATACAAACCTGTTAGAGCGTAACAACACCTTGTCATCCAGTCTCTATACCACAAAAATTTGTGCACTTATAGTAATAAAAAGAGATTTTTTTTTATTTTTTATAAAAATTAAACAACCATTTGTTTTATTTTATTCGAATTTACACAATTATTATTAATATTATAAAGAACACATATTTGATTTCTTTTTTCTAAAAAAAAAAAATTATTATTTTATCTTCAGTCAAAGAGTATAAGACAAATAACACAACACCCAGAAAGAAAAAAAAATCTATGCAACAATTCTAACTCGAGGAGTAACGGTGAATGATAATATACTATTATTATTATTATTATTAGATGATGCTTGTCGATGTTTTTTAAACAGACTTGCAGCACATGCAAGAGCACCTCCTTGCAAGAAACGAACGAGTTTATCTCCGGCTAATGGACCTAATGCATAAATATTTTCAAAATCGATACATTCGTATGTATAAGGGTTAATATGAAGACCATTATTTTTTTTCACGGTCAACGATGAAAGGAAAGGAATAGTCACATCAGAACCAGTTAGTCTAGCCACGACTGATATATCATAGTCCGTTGTTGTATGAGTACGAAGATTACGTATATAAACTGCACCATCTTCAGTTATTGAAATAATTTCACTTTGTGGACAACATTGATAAGACCATTGAGATGATGATGATGACTAAAATAATATATAAAATTAAATTTCCAAATAATTCGAAATTTTTTTTTAAAACTTACCATAGATGTTGTTGTTGTTGTTGTTGTAGTTACTGATTGTCTAATTAATTCTCTAATACGTTCATATTCAGGATAAACATTGGCAGGCAATTGATTGAGTACAAGTTCATGATCATCAATGGCTCGACGAAATACATGTAAAACAGGTATTGAATATTCTTGACATAAAAGAAGTATATCAATAGCTGTTAAACCACATCCAATAACCAGTACAGGTTTACTATTCTGTGTTAATTTCTTTTTATTTATAATTAATTCTTCTATATCATGTAATGTTGTATAAGTAAATGATTTACTTGCTTGTTCACCAATTATTCCTAATGGTCTTGTTATATTTTGTGGCATACCAGTTGCTAATACGACATATTTCGTATGTATAATAAATGGTTCTTTGGTTTGTTCATTATAACCACGTATTTCCCATAATGGTTCAGGTGTATGAATTTCTTCTGCAACATCATCATAAAATGGTGCATCAACAGACACACGTTTAATTGATGTTACTTCGCAACCATTACGAAAATAATTTGTTAAACGATTTCGTTTAACATAATGAATATAATATGATCGAACTTCATCATAAGTTGCTCGTAGAGATACATCATCCGTTTTTATGGTTGATTGATCATTATTTGTTAATAAACGACTACGACATGCTCGACGTTGTTGTCGAAATGTTGACATTGGATAATTTGGTAATTCCATCCAGTCAGCCATACTAACTGTTTGTAATTGTTTCGATGTTAATTGATTCCAAACACCACCTATACCACCACGTCCAAGACAAATATGATCAATGTTCAATGATGGATCATGACGCCATTTTATTTTCGATTGTAAATGTGCACCAAGATCAGCATCTGGATGGACTAAATTATCAATAAGTAATGAAACAGGATTTCTTGATCGACCTTCAAGACCATCGGATAGAAATTCTAAATCCTAAAATAGATTAAGAAAAAAAAATATTATTTTTATCCATCAAAAAAACAAATATATCAATAGATAATCGTTTGTACTTTGATCGGACTTTTTTTCTCGACAAATAAATTTATTATGAGAATAGTTAAACAGATGATATATTTAGTGTTTATCTTTTTCTCACGGACTAAGCTGTTTTATCGTACTAACCTGTTCAAGTAAAGATGTATCTTTAACATATTGTTCTAATTTTATATTTAAATAGTCATTCGATACAGGACAACCGTTCCAATAAGGTATATGACCGGAAAGAATATAAGATAGAACAATAGCGGATGGTCCATTACCTTGAAAATAGAATGAATTTAGCTTAATATAATAAATATAAATATATACATACCAATAACAACAACTTCTTTACGTTCACAAAGATCAGGACAGCATTGTTCTGTAGTATGGGTGTTCATTTGATAAAGAAGTTTTTTTTTCTTGTAGTTGTTCTTAAGTTACAATTGCTAGAAAATGTCTGTGTTTCTGAAAGAGCAAAGCAATAAATATCTTGATTCTGCTCCGTAACCGAGTGTAGAAGGAAAAAAAGATAGATGGGAGAATATGCTTCGTCATTCTTCGATTATATATTCTTCTATTTCTCTTTTTCTCTCTCTTTCTGTTTCTCTCTCTCGGTCTCTCTCTCTCTCTCGCTCTCTCTTTCCCCTTCTCTTTTCTCTATTTTGTTCCGAGCTTTGAGAGAAAGGGTTTTTTCCTGTTCTTTTCATAATTGAGAAGAAAGAAAGACAGAAAGAAACAAAAAAAAAGCCATAAACAGAAGGTTATAATCTCTTGTTTTCGTCCTTAATGATACCAAAATAACAGCCGATAATATGAACGCCAAGTTCATTTGCTATTTATAGAAAGGAAAGAAAAGAAAAACGTACTGTGTGCTAATCAAGTATATCGTTCAAGGAAATGAAACATTGTACATTAGTCATTTTCTTTCCTTCTTCCTGTACGATGACCAAGTATTCTCGCGTACGCGTATGATCAATCGCATTTAATATTACCAATAGAAAAGAGTTTGAAATTTGAAAAGAAAATAAATATATATAAGATATTTGAATAATCGCTAACGCACTGTGTATCGGTAAAAATATTTCTTTCTTTTTTTTGCTCGTTCTATTATTTCTACGATGACAGTGCAAATCGTTGAATGGCTGACTAACAGTCCTTCTATCAGCTATTTTTTCTATGAAAAATATGTAGATGATGAAGGAATGTGAGCAAGAGAACAAAACAACAGGCGCGAACCTATGAAATCGAAAAACAGAGAATCAGTATGCTGCTTTTGACCCAGGCACAATGGTTAGAGAAACCTTCGAATAAAAACGACGAATAATCAGTATGCATTTTCTTCTCATCGATGATATTTCATCTTCTTAGTCATCAACTTGTTTTTCTGTGATGAAGATAATCTATGACCTTATATTTACTTTATAGTAAATCTTATCTCTACCCTAGAAGATTGTTTTCAAGATCTGAATCATCACAAAAAAACTACTGCGTAGTTTTTTGTTCTATCAGCAAAAAAAACATACTACAAACTACAAAAACAAATAATATATTATTAAATATATCCATCAGTCGAGCAGTCATTTTCCACAACATATCTTTACCATTATTATTTTACTCTTTAAGTATAAAGTACTGGGAGGTTATTATGTCAGTATGTATAAGAATAGTAAAAGAAAAATCTTTTTTTTTTCTTTCCAAAAGTACGATATAGTACTTTGCCCTTTCATGTCATCATAATACATAGTTATTTCGTAGTTTATCAACTGTAATGCTTTATGAATATAATCATATGTAGTTATTATTTTAATAAATAATCGTACACAAGATATTCTCAATACAATAGGGTATAATCAAATGGTCACACATAATTCGACGAAAGGAAAAATGTTATTTACAGAATAAGCACAAGATTTTGTTATGTAATCGAAGCGCAAAAAATTCGAAATACTGTTGTCATTTCGATCACCGCATATATGGACAAATATAAAAAAAAAACGAGAGAGTGAGAGAGAAAGCAAAAGGAAAAAAAATTATCTAGTCTTTTTTCATCTGAATACAAGCACTTGCTGCAGCAAAGAGTAGATCATCGTCATCATCATTAATTTGAGAAGTTTTTTCAGCGGACGGATAAAGTTGATCTAGTTGAATAAATGCTTGATGAGTATTTATATCAGTTTGATTAGATAATTTTTGTAAAGAATCAAAAGTAAATGGTGAAATTATTTTATCATCGTCAGATGATGTTGAAGAAAATGATGAATTTGGAGAATTATCAGTTGATTTTTTACGTGAATGTCGAGTTGAATCAGCTAGTTTAATGAAAGAAAAGAAAATATTAATCTTCTTTTTTTGTTAATTTTTACCTATTTGATTTGATTGTTGAGGTTTACGTAAATCCGGTTTAAGATCGATATGAAATTGATCTCCATCATGAATATTATATCTAAACATTAAATTTAGTTAAGGTCAACAGGTCCTTGAGTGAAAATTAAAACGAAATAAATAAATCAATTTTTCCGATAAGAATTTAACCTTATTGAATTACAAAGATAAAAATTACCGAAGGTCAGCATAAGTCGTTTTTCTATATTTTATTTATTATTGAAAATGTTTTGATGAATAACGATGAATTTTATCTACTCACTGACTGCTTGCTAAGATAAAACGAAATATGAGATTTATTCTAATAATTTCAGGTAATAAAATGATAGATTTTCATATTCAACTAAAACTGATACTATAATAATAAATACATCGGAAATAATATTCCATTGAAATTATTTGCATTTGATATCAGCTCGTGTAATCTCAAAAACAAGAGTTTTTAGTCATGATTTTTAGAATTGCTCAATCCCATTGAGAAAAGCATACTCTAGAGTGTACCGAAAACGTTCCAATTGTCGTTAACACCTACGCTTAATCATATCTGTCAACTATGAACGCAAATTTCATTAGCAGATGATGAAAAATCATGTGAACCATGTCACTAGCATACTTCATATGTCGCAGCAGTTTTATAGAAACTTTAGATCAGCTTCAACTAATAATAACCATGATAATATATAACTTTCTATATGACCTTTAAAATAATAACAAAACTTTGTTTTCCCACAGCTCTAATTATTCAAAAACAACTGCATGGAAAAATACTAATAAAAAAAGCGAGTCGTCACGTTACGTTGATGAAAGTAGTTTCCGATCAAAACAAAACATTTATTTCGGTAATATTTTTCTCAGTTGCATACCTCACCTCGAGGTGTTGACTAGAAGACCTTCATGAAACGTACCTTTTAACATAAGCTATATTCGTTAAACAGAAAATAATAAGCACATCATTATGTTACGCCCTTTATTTCTACGATTCATTCAAACAATCTCATATTTTCAGTAGCGTCACGCTCGTACAAGTTGATATATATATATTTAGTTTGACCTGAATCTGAATCTCTAATGCACATGTAATTCGATAATAATTTCCAGATTTATTTTTGATTAAATGTTATAAAATACTAAAAAAAGGATAGTGTTTCTTCTCTTATCTCTTTAACATATAGATGTTTCATGTGGGTGTATTGACTTATTGCTCCTCAACAAAGCAATAAATTTGTCATCAGTTTTATATCTAAGATATAAATATATATAGAAAATATTAGCTATCAACATACGTATGTAATAATCGTTGTGGATATTTGAGTTCTTCTGGGCCACATACACCCATATTAAAAGCGACATCATCCACATAAAAAACTCGTAAACGATTGAATGGTATGTGAAAAATTTCTTGAAGATATTTTTTAAATTGTTGTACTGTTTGTCGAACATCAATTTCTTTATCATGTGTTATTTTATTATAGACAAGATGTACTTGTGCTAAATAAGGTGCACGAATTGTAATATCAACCAATGGTTTAAGATTACCATGTCGTTCAATTAATTCAAAATATCTAAATAGAAAAAAGAATAAAATGAAAATAACTCCTTTTTTTTTCTTTTATATATACCGTTGAGGTTTATCATCACGTTGAGAATAATAACGAATAAATCGTCTTTCACTTGTTTCTCTTTCATTTGCTGTTATATCACTTCCATTTAACTTTATTATCTTTTTCATATAACCAAGTAAAAGAAAAAATCGTTCATCTTTTTGATAAGGCTAAAGAAAATCAAAACGAGATTCTTTGTATGTTCAATTATATATAAATAGATATATATATTAAACCTTAAGCAATGGTGCTGAATGAATTCTTAATGCATGAAGTGCTGGTAATTTTGTTAGAGCAATAATATCATTCCATTCAGATATTTGAACTTGATCAACACTAAGTGTATGTAAGTTTGATAAACAAATTGCCGTATCATCATCATCTGAACGAAAACTTTTCAATGGATTATCACTAGCTATTAATGTTTCTAAATGTGGAAATAAATCACCAAGACGACATATAGATTTCCAATCAGTTAAATTATTATTTGATATATAAACACGTTTAAGATTATTATGTTGAAAATTATAATTTGATAATATTGTTGTATAATTATTTGAACAGATTTGTAATTCTTCTAAACTGTACATGTAGAAAAAGAATACAATTAGATCAGTAGACGTATTAAGAAGATTAAATAAATATGTCAGTTGCGTGTTTAATAAGCTTTTTTATTCTTAATTCTCATATTTTTCTTTTGATATTTAAACAAATTTATAAAATAGATCATTAAAATCTGTTGATTATTATAATACTTCTTGTTTTTAATTAAACAGTATATTACAACTTTAGGTTAGCAACAGTAATAAACTTAATCCTTTCTAATCTAGTAATAATTTCTCTTTTACATTTTTTAACGAACCCTCATACAGATTTTTTTTAATACAAATGACTCATTCCTTTTAAATGTGACTCATTGTTTAAAAGAAAATTAAACTCCATGACTTCGTATTTATTTCTTGTATAAGAAATAATTATTTTCTACTAACTTTGGTGTTTTTTTAAGTACTTCTACGACCATATCAAGACTAATACGACTGCCATTTAAACATAATGTATTAAGATTAGGCCATTGAATATCATCAGGTAATATATGTAAATGTGAAGAAAATGGATTAAAACTTAAATTAATTGTTTTAACATGAGGTAATGAAGAAAGAAGAAGTGATATCTATATAAATAAATGAGAAATATTTTTTTTATTGACCAGATGTGTAAATAAACATACTTCATGCCAATCAGAAAATGCATTCGATGAAATATCGACAAGTTCAACATGTGAACATGATGTTTCTATAGCATGTGGATCACCCACATGTGATATACGTTCATCAGTTAAAACAACAGTTGATGCATTAAGAATAAGACCTGATTCTAAAATGAATATATAACGTATTTCTAGATATTTTCTAAATATTAAATTTAGTTCTTTTTACCTGTTTTTTTCGGTGATGATCCAACGAAATAAACAATATCGCAACCATTTTTCAGATCATCAAATGTTGAATCAAAATCACAATAACGTTCGTATAGTGCATCAGAAAATGATCGACCATATAGTTCAGTAAGAGCCATATTAATCTATAATAATCGACAGACTTTTGTCTTATTGTGTTGATGTCTCTGTCCTTGTTCGTCCCCCTTTTTTTCTTCACTTATACAACCTCGTCTATTATCCACTTTCCAATAATAGTGCACGCAAAAACGGCAAGGTCGCCCTTTTTTCTTTTCTCATACGCTCTTTTGAATACATCAATCATTAAACATGCTATGACATATACCATCGTCAGCTGACTTACATTTCATGTTAAGACTTGCAACTATAAAAAGGATAGAAGATTTAACACGAATGCCACAATAGTTGTCGATTAAAATCAACGACAAAGAAAGAAACGCTGTAAGATAAGAAATGAACTCAGGTCACATATATATGGTTAGAGCTCGAAAAAAAAAATTTCTGCAATAATTCACTAACAGAGATAGAGGCGGGAGAAAAAGAAAATTTGGTCAATGACTCAATCAGACTAGTCATCGCTTCTACATGCATTAGCCCTTCAATACAGAATTGTCATCTCCACCGGTTGTCCGTTCTTTTCTTTTTTTTCTTCTCTATCCCTCTCCTGCTCTCTCTCTCTCTTTCCCTTTTTCTTCTGCCACTCACTCTCTTTGACGATCAACGAATAAGTTGTGCAATTCTTTTTTTTTTTCTTCTTTATCCTGAACACACATACATACATGTACACACACAGCACACCCTACTTGCTTTTTAGCTACACATTCATCACAACTAGCAAACAAGTAATCATTCTATGAAATAATCATACAGATGCAGAAGAAAAACACAAAGGTTATTATAAAGAATGTTTCTTTATCACTATGAAAGTGTGTCATTAACACTACAATGTTGCACATGTATCTATCTACAAATACAGACTACTTGAAATATTATTATATTGGCGATGTTTAACTCGTCAAAAAAAAATTTTATTTTTTAATTACGAACAATATTTATATATATATATGTATGTTTCTATATATGTAAGTGAACGAAGAAAGCAAGATTAGTATACATAAATCGAAGAGATTTTTGACAATGAGAATCATGAGAAAGCAAAAGACGAGAAAAAAATAGACGCAAAAAAGCTATGTAAATGGAATAAAATTATTTTGATTAATTTTTTAGCAAAAAGGAGAAAATTGATGACAGATGGTTTTTATTTTTTGATTTTGCATGTGTTATCTAATGGTCGATGTCAAACATAATTGCACGTTTACCGACCGAATACATAAATGACGATACTTTTTGTGGGCTACTACGACGACGACGACGATCTATACAATTGAATTTAAAATAAAGTTTCAATTCGATAGAAAGACAAAAAATATTTACTTTTCATTTCATCAGCTGTTTTGGCAACAAGACGATATGTTTTAATATCTTTTGAGCATGTACCAGCAACAACAGGGCCATATAAAGCAACTTCACTTTCAGTTAAAGCTGGTGTTTGAACTTTCATTGTTTTACGTAAAACTTCATTATCAGGCAAGAATTGTCCTGACTAAAATAAGAAAAAATGTTTTTAATTTAAAATCTTAGTCTTTTTTTTGTTCGTACCATCATAGCTAAAAATGTTTCAATAAGATTTGATGGATTTGGTACATGTTGACGATCAAGTGGCATAATAAAACATTTATTAACACCAAAATCACGAATAGCAGTGATATTCTATTGATAAAAATAGTTTTAAATAAAAATTTCTTTTCAATGGAAAAAAAAACTTTACATGATCGAAATCTTCAATTATACGAACAGTACTTGTAAAGCCAATTTGTGGTACTTCAATAGTTTCAGTATTCTTCTTAAGATCGACATTTACCTAAAATTAAATCAGATATGATTATTTTTGTCTTATATTTTATATACCCTTAAGCGAATGTATCTTAAGAGAAGAAGTAATCTCTATTAATTAAGTAATTCAAGTAATGAAATGCTTTAAGCAAGATAACAAAACCCACTCTTTTCAATGAAAAGAAATACAAATTTCTCATCTGGATAAACTGAATCAAACTGAAATTTTAAACAATATAAGCTTATTAATGAATTCTTCTCATAATCTACTCGGTCAAAGTTATGTTTTGACAAATAAGTTAATTTAGTACTCAGAATTGATCAGACATTCTGTTTATTTTAATAATAATAAAAGCAACTATGCTATATCTAAGTGTTACTTACTTCCTGATGAAATTCCCGTTGAACACCTGGTTTTTTAAATGGTGGTACAAGGTGATTTTTACCATCATCAAAAGCAGTTAAACCACCATGATCAAAGAAAACACGATTATCAGCATCTTTATCCATTGCTGGTTTAACTCGAAAACGGCATGTACGACGCCATGTCTAAAATATTTATTATAGAAAAAAATTCTATCAAATAGATTATGAAATATTCTTACATGATCTGTACGATTAACAAAATCAAATAAAAGCCATGTTCCAATAACTAAACATCCTAACATAAATAATGCCGAAAGACAACCGAATAAAATCGATGCTTGTTTTCGACGAACATCCTCTATTTGTTGTATTGGAATATCATCTTGTTCACCTTTGATTGGCTAATTTAAAGTAAAATATTATTAAAATAATTTTCTACAATAAAACTTACTAGAACGGTGACAAGAACATCACCGGTATTTGTTTCTACCAATTGTTCTTTATCATCGGCCTTATTTGAATTATTTAACGAAACGCCAACCATCGCTTATATATATATTTTTTAATAAAAACAGAAGAAGGTTTTTCTATAATAATATAGATAAAGTGACTATGATATATAAAAATTGTTTTTTTTTATTTTAAAAAGGCGCAATAGTTGGCAATGGCAGAGAAGCTTCAGGAGAAAAAAAATAAATAGTACTTTTTTTTCTTTGCCTATAAAAATATAAAAGGGCAACAGAAGAAAAAGAGAAAATAAGGGAATTACAAAAAAGAAAAGAAAAAAGAAAAACTCCGAGTTTTTTTTTTGTTTTAACTGAAATAGAATTATTGAAGAATGACAAAAACAACTATATCGTTCTAGATGTTTTTATCATGATTAAAATATGTAGTTTAAATTAGATGGCCTCAAAAATAGCATATGTTCCTGAAATAAAGACGAAAGAAAATAATTTTCTTATGCAAGAATTTTTTTTACATATATAAATATACTTTCAAATAGATTCATATCCGGACATAAATAATTTAACTGTGTAATGCTTTGGTAGTTCTCGAAGAAAGTAATTTCTCACTTGAGAAATTTTCTATCAATGTTTATTACTTAGAAGAAAAATGGGTTTTTACTTTAACTTACGTTTAATCCTCTTTGGACTGTTCTATAAGTAAAAAATGTACTTGCACTTTGAGGGAATTATTTACTTAAGAAATTGCTATGGTTGCATGAATACTATTCATTAGAGTATTAAAATTATTTTATGATAGATAAGATGTAGGTAATAATCAATAGAGAAGATAATCTATGAACTTTTCTTATTTTTGTATAGAATGACAAGTATCAGATAAAAATCTTATCACTAAAAAGGAAATTAGTTTTTGTTGTTTTTTACGTAATATCTTGATACATTCTAATCACATTCTTAATACGAATATTTACGACAAGAAAACAAGGTATTTGAATCACATTCTTTGCAACTGCGACATTCAATGAATACAAGTTGAGTAAATACGTAAATAAATATATATATATAATCAATGGATGACGATCGTCAAGTTCCATAGAATACCAATATTCAAAATAGAGTAAACAATAAAATAATTTAAATATCTAAATAAAAACTTTTATTTACTATAAAAATATAATACTTTCTAATTGTAAAAATGACATCAATCATTACCGTCATATAAGAGAGGCTAGTAGACAAGCATCATGGCTGCTCATACAACCAATATGAATTAAGTACTTGTGAAAAACGAATTCATTACGTATTAAAATAATAATCAGTTTAAGAATTTCAGTGAGTAACATTATAAATGGCTCAACATATAGCACGCCTTTCGCGTAAAACATCTTTGCTTTTGCTATGTGATATGCAAGAAAAATTTCGTCCAACGATTAAATATTTTCCTCAAATTATTGAAACATCAAATAAATTATTACAAGCATGTAAAATACTCGATGTTCCATATATAGTCACTGAACAATATCCAAAAGGTATATTATTTATTGAAAAACAAACAGATTTATTTTATTTTATAATAAATAGGTCTTGGCCGAACTGTTAAAGAACTTGAAATTGGTGATGAAAAACCCTTTGAAAAAACACTTTTTTCTATGTGTACACCTGATGTTGCATCATATATGAAACAAAAAAACAAAGGTAAAAGAGAAAAAAACATTTTACTATTTCGTAAATAAATCGACTCTATTTATTATTATTCATATAGAATTTGACACGGCTATTATTTGTGGTATTGAAGCTCACGCATGTGTACTACAAACAGCAATTGATCTATTAGCACAAAATAAACGTGTTTATATCGTTGCTGATGCTGTTTCATCACGTTCTTTAACTGATAGGTACTTTACTTTCTAAGTCAATCTTATGTAATTACATATTTTGTTTAGAATGTATGCATTTGATCATATGCGTCAGGCCGGTGCTTTTCTTACAACATTTGAGTCAATAGTTTTGCAATTAACACAAGATGCTGGTCATCCAAAATTTAAACAAATTCAACAATATATAAAAACATCAGCGGCTGATACTGGTCTTTTAGCATTAAAAAATATTCCAAATTCATCTTCATAAAATATCCCACCGTTTTTTCTTTCTCGAATTTTATTTTATTAGAAAAAGGAATCCAATCTTTAAACTAAAATTGATTCATATTTTAGATGACTGTTGATCTTTATTTACTCACAGCTGGTTCGGCTCTCACCGGTTTGATATTCTATTATTTTGGCGGTATGAATATTGTTATATAGAAATATTTTTTCGAAGTTTTTTGTTTTCTTTTTAAAGGAGCTGAATGGACTTTTTGGCATTTGTTTACCGTTCCACTTTTTACACTTGTTTTCGTTATTTTTTCATCACTCAGTGTTATTAAACGTTTTGTAAGTTTATTGTCTTCGTGTAATTTACTTTATATGAATTTATTAGAAATCTTCACCAAAATCTCCATCATCGAAAAAAATAATTCCATTGGAAAAAAATGGAGTTACAATTGTTTTTGGTTCCGTTAAAGGAAATAGTCGAGTAAGAATAATACATAATTAACAAAAAATCTTTTTTAATATTTGTTGTCTTTTCATATCAGACATTTGCTCAGTCAACTTATGATAAATTATCGAAAGATTTAAATCGTCAAGTTATCATTCAGGATTTCAATGATGTTACTGATCCAGAAGAATTTCTTCAAACACAAGTATTAATCATTACCTTTTTTGTATATTTTTATTAATATAAATTTTATTATTAAGGCTAAAAATCAAAGAACATTGTTAGTATTTATTCCAACTTATGAAGATGCTACACCACCACCATCAGCTAAATGGTTTCTTTTACATTTACAAGAAGCAGCAACTGATTTTCGAGTTTCGAAAGGTGAACTTGAAAAGTTAACATATGCAATTTTTGGATGTGGCAATTCACTTTATTTCGAAAATTTCAATAAAGTAAAATCATAAAATATAAGAAATAAAATAAATATTGTGTTTTTGAAATAGGTAGCAAAAGAAGTTGATCGTTGTCTATCAGAATTAGGAGCAAAACGCCTTCTACCAACTGAATTAGCTGATGAAAATACAGCAAAGAGTATTTATGGAGGTAAAAATTCATTTTCATTGGACTTGTAAAAATAATGTTTTTTTTCATTCGATTAGGTCAGGAAGGACATTATTCCAAATGGTCATCTAAATTAAAATCTGCTTTGGAAACACCAAAAACAGAAAAATGTGATTGTTCAAATGATACTTCAACAACAACATGTTGTAAAACAGTAACAAATGGTGATCATTCGATTAAAGTTAGAAACACCGAAAAAAACATTGATTTCATTTGTAAATTATCGATTATTTTTAGAATGATGATAATAATAATGATGACGATGAAGAAGAAGAGCCAAGAATCGAAAGTGATGATGACGATGAAGCTGGAGGATGCAAAGACGGTAATGATGATATTATCGATTTAGAAGACATGGGAGAATATATGGAAAATTCTTCACCAACAAAGGTAAGATATTTATTATAAAAAATTCAATAGATATAAAATAGAATGTTTTCGTATAGACGCCCAAAGGTCCACCTAAAGAAATGGTTACTCCATTAATACGTAAATCATTAGAAAAACAAGGTTACAAATTAATTGGTAGTCATTCAGGTGTAAAATTATGTCGATGGACAAAAGTACGTATATATATATATATTTATTAGTAGATTTTATTTCATATTCATATCACTGGGTATTCTACAAGCGATGATAAAGATCTTAAAATCGAGATTTATTTGTTTCTTCTTTAATAGGTTAGTATAGAGAAAGTGTAATAAACTTAGTTTCTTCTATTCTCTCTAGAGAATATTGATCCGTTTTTAATGATAAATCGAAAACGACACTTAGTATATATATTTATATTATTTCATACTTAAACTATATAGAGATTATATAAATAGTTTTGATTGTATTTTCTAGTCAATGTTACGAGGACGTGGTGGATGTTATAAACATACATTCTATGGAATTGAAAGTCATCGTTGTATGGAAACTACACCAAGTCTTGCATGTGCAAATAAATGTGTTTTTTGTTGGAGGTTAGTTTATTATAATTTTTTTCTTCGAAATATTTTAATTTTATCTTATACAGACATCATTCAAATCCAGTCGGTACATCATGGCAATGGAAAACAGATGATGCTAAAACTGTAACTCAAGGTGCTATAGATAATCATTATAAAATGATTAATACATTCAAAGGTGTACCCGGTGTATTACCTGCACGACTTGCTGAAGGTATTTGATAAAATGAATTTTTTGTTCAATCATTTTTGTTGATATTTTTCAGGTATGAAAATACGTCATTGTGCTTTATCACTTGTTGGTGAACCAATTATGTATCCACATATCAATGAATTGATTGAGATACTTCATTCAAAACAAATCAGTTCATTTCTTGTTACAAATGCACAATTTCCTGATGAAATTAAAACCTTACAACCAGTTACACAATTATATGTTAGTGTTGATGCAGCAACAAAAGAATCATTAAAGAAAATTGATCGACCATTATTTCGTGATTTCTGGGAACGATTTTTAGCTTGTTTACGAGCATTGAAAGACAAAGTAAGATGAAAGATGAAAGTTTTTGTTTCTAATTTATTTATTCTAGGGTCAAAGAACAGTATATCGATTAACATTAGTAAAAGGTTTTAATACCGAAGAAATTGAACAGTATGCTAAATTAGTTGAACTTGGTGATCCAGACTTTATTGAAGTTAAAGTATGGAAAACAAAAATAATGTTTTCAAAAAATTGAATATTTTATTTTAGGGAGTAACTTATTGTGGTGATTCAGGTGCAAGTAGTTTAACAATGGCTAATGTTCCATGGCATGAAGAAGTTGTAACATTTGTTCAAGCACTTTGTGAACGTTTACCACAATATGAGGTAGCATGTGAACATGAACATTCAAATTGTCTTTTACTTGCTAATACTAAAGTAAGAATAAATATTTTGTATTACAAAAAAATTATTTTTCTTGTTCTTTTTAGTTTCGTGTTGATGGTAAATGGCATACATGGATTGATTATGATCGATTTCAAGAACTTGTTGCAAGACATAAAGCAACATCAGGTGCTGAAACTTTTACATCATTAGAGTATATGGCTGCCACACCTGACTGGGCAGTTGTTGGTGCAAATGAACGTGGTTTTGATCCAAGTGATACAAGATGGCATAGAAAATCTACAGCAAAAAAAGATTTGTCCGGTTGTTAATTTACGTTAATTTGTTGTTCTGTTTTTGTTTCTGTTTTTTTCTGTTTTTTCTTTTCGTATAATTAACAATCTCATTGATCGTGTGATTTGTAACAAAAAAAAAAAGAAACATAAAGTTTATTTATATGTTTTTTTCTAGATGGCATCTCGTGCACGTATAGAAAAAATGTCGGCCGAAGTGGTCGATTCAAATCCCTATAGTCGTTTAATGGCATTACAACGAATGGGAATTGTAAAAGATTATGAACGTATACGACAATTTTCAGTTATGATTGTTGGTGTAGGTGGTGTTGGAAGTGTAGCAGCAGAAATGTTAACAAGATGTGGTATCGGAAAGGTAGAATAATGATGCTAAATAATTCTGGAGAATGTAATTTTTATTTTATAGTTACTTCTCTATGATTATGATAAAGTTGAATTGGCTAATATGAATCGTCTATTTTATCAACCTCATCAAGCTGGTCTTACTAAAGTTGAAGCTGCTGCTGATACATTAAAGTATTTGAGCAAAAAAATAATATTTTATTAACATTAAATATATGAATTTCATATAGATTTATCAATCCGGATGTAATAATTGAACCATACAATATGGATATAACTAAAGTAGACAGTTTTCCTTTATTTATGGAAAAAATTCGGTAAAATACAATAAAATTTAATTCATTATTATGCAAAAAAAACATTTTTCTTTCATTCTTAGTACTGGTAATAAAGACAATTCAGGTCCTGTTGATCTTGTACTTAGTTGTGTTGATAATTTTGGTGCAAGAATGACAATTAATACAGTAAATATTTGTTTAAATAAAATTTGAATTGTCAATATTTGAACTTATTTACTAGGCGTGCAATGAACTTGATCAGACATGGATGGAATCTGGTGTAAGTGAGAATGCTGTTAGTGGTCATATACAATTAATTGTACCAGGAAAATCAGCTTGTTTTGCTGTATGTGAATTCTTTCTTTTTTATATGAAACAAACGAAAATATCGAATATTCATTTTAGTGTGCACCACCATTAATTCTTGCCAGCAATATAGATGAAAGTACATTAAAACGTGAAGGTGTTTGTGCTGCAAGTCTGCCAACTACAATGGGTATTGTTGCTGGTTTTCTTGTGCAAAATACACTTAAGTTTGTACTTAAGAATTTTATTTTCAAAAAAAAATATTTTCTTTATTTAGATATTTACTTAAATTTGGTCGAGTTTCAAATTATCTTGGTTATAATGCACTTGATGATCATTTTCTTGTAAATTTTCTTTATCATATTTTTCCTTTATAATATAAAATATTTAGTTATTAACATTAAAACCGAATGAAGAATGTGACGATTCATTTTGTCGTAAAAGACAATTAGAGCAACAATCAAATCCTACTGTTGTTGAAGAAACTCCTCAACCAGTAAATGTTGAAGTAGTACATGAAGAAAATGAATGGGGTAAATTATTGTTTATATAGTGATAAAAAAAGGAGAAATAATGAAATTTCTTTTAGGTATTGAACTTGTTGATAATAGTGTTGATGTACCAAATGAAAATACAATTGATCAAAAGCATATTCAATTAGATTCATCATCGACTGGAGCTGTTTCACTCAATCAAGTAAAATATCAATATGTTCCAAAGGCAAAATGTAATCCACAAGTTGATACATCGGATAATGAAACATCGGCTACAAGTACAACACGAGATGATGAATTATCAATCGAAGAATTGATGGCTCAATTGAAAAATTGAGGGGAATAAGAAACATCGAATATATTTAATCATTTTTATTTATTTTTGTTTTATTACTGTCATTAAAATACAGTGCTGTTATTTTATTTTATTCTTTATTATTCTATTTTTTTTTGTGAGTCTATTTTTATTGCTGTTGTTGTCATGTCTATTTGGGTTTAAGAAGAAAAATCAAAGAAAAGATTTATGTATTGTTTAAGTAAATTATATACATATATATATTTATATATCCATTGTATTGTTTGACGTTAATGTATATATTTTGAATATAAAAAAGGCTTATTATTTATTACTCTATTAAAAAAAGGATTGGTTCGTTTCAAGTATACTCATCACTTTCCTAGTTTCATAAAATATTATACTTCCTAGCCATTATTTTCACAGTTGGTTACTATTGAAATAGACTTTCACTGCATGGTTTCTCTTCTTCTTTCACAGAACTCTTAAGGTCTGATATAATGTAGCAAAAAAAGATCTCAACTATTATGGATTACTATATTCGTTCTTGTATTTGATTTATCAAAGGAAATTTTCTTGAAAAAACAACGATAACTATGAGTCGTATGTTTGTAATTTGATTCACTTAGATTGTTTAAATGATTTATAATAAAAAAATCGAGAGATTTTCAAAGACGAGTCCCACGAAATAAAATGAATAGTATAAAAGAAAGACTATCTTGAAAGGACATCGTATCATATGATTGAAAACAAAAGGTATCATCATTAGTTCATTTCCTCCATTAGTTTTACACTATTACTTTTGATTCATTTATGTATAACCATTAATTATCGTCGAATAACTGAAACATCTGATTATAAATAATATGTATGTATGTAAGACATGTTTATTAGCTTTGACAATGAATTAGAAATGAACATCATTTATCGTAGATTGATAGTATGAATTTATCATCAATCTATTCACAATTAATTATAAAATTACTTTTGTAATTATTTTCAACAAAACTAAACAAAAACTGGTATCGATAAGTTTTATATTCATGTATTTTATAAGTAATCCCCAGAATAGAGTATCATTCAGAATGTTGAGGAAAAAAAAAGTTAATAACATCAAATAAAATGTCCCTAGAGAGATTGTAAAAATGCTCGCATGTTATCGTGTAGTATACATCCCACTTTTATTCGCAATATGTAGTGTACACTCTTCTCTTTCGTTTGAACATGTGATGCATTGACACGCGTATATATACGATGTATTCGAATGATCAACGCCTTCTTTTTATTCATTCATCATTTAAAGGTTTGTGTTTTAATACGTTCACCTAGAAAATTTTGCTTATTTAAAAAAAATGAAAGTAATGAAATTGTTCATTGTTTGTTCTGATGCTTCTAGCATCAATTGACAATTCATATTTGAGGTTAGATAAACAAAACACACACACACACACTGGCCGAAAGCGTTAAGCTTTACTCTTATGTTGATACACATAGACAAGGTATGTTGAAGTAGTATAAAGAAGACTAATTATTCGAACGAATGCATTTGAACGAGTTCATAATCAAACTTAAATCTATGAGTGGCCACTTCGTCGTATTGATAGGACTATTTATGAAGAATAATTTTTCGTGATGAAATATAAAGTTAACAAGAAAAAAAAATATATTAACGCGAGAAATCGAGCACTGGTATGTGATAGAAGGTATATTATGTTCGGACATCGGTAAATGAAAAAGAAAAGACAAAAAGTCAACAGACAGAGTCAATATTTGCTACTTGATCATATTACACGTTGATAGAATAATTAGAATCGATGGCTGAAAGTGATCGATCATCATTATTATTATCATGATACAGGATGAACTTTTCTAGAAACGTTATCATTGTATATTTTTCTCATTATTCTTTCTTCTTTGCCTCATTTTCCTGGTGTGAATCGCCTGGAACAAAAAAACAGAGAAATGAACATTTTCTTTTTGTTATGTGTGAAAATCTGGCCGGTCTTACTTCCTGTGTGCGTGTATGCCGCATGTAATTTGACTAAAATGTCAATGCAACTTGATTGCTATGCTTTGAGTGATGCAGCAGTACTGCTCAATCTCACAAAAAAGAAAATGAGCAAAAAAAAAGAAGAAGAAAAAGAGCGTAATTTCCGTTCGGTTTACTATAATATTCATTCTTCTTTTACTAGAGAATATCACCTCGGATTGATGAACGATATAATTTAATTGTTATGTATATGTAGATATGTATATAGTGCTCACCCATCGATCATGTTCAGCATCATTCATTCATACAAATAATTCAATTACCGAAGACCGCTCATTTTTTATCAATGATGAGAAATAGAGATTCAGTTTTTTTTCTTCTTATTCTTTTATTAGAGCTATAATGAATGATTCAGGCTTCCGTCCCTCTTTTTTTTTGTCTTCTTTTTACAGTCGTCTCTCTCTACTAATTAAAGATAGGATTGATTCGTTTTGCTTGTTCAGTCATTCTGCTTCATGCAACACACAAGAAAAAGGAGAGAGAGAGAAAAAAAGAAAAAGAGACGCCTTATTACCCTTTTTCCTCTTGTTGTTCGCGAAAGATAGATTGATTTGAGACCAAACAGGCGATTTGTGTAAAAAAAAAGAACAGAATAGACTATTGGGAAATCGAAATATATGATTCATTTACCTGTTGAGAATAATAAAAATCAAATCATAACACGTGTATTATATTTATTTATTTTTCGAGATTTTATATTTATTGGTATAGTTTAATTATTCAAAAAATGTCGTCGGAACATGGATTACATGTTATGTTAAGTTATCATTGGGATAATAAAGAACTAGTTTCAAAAATTTATAAAGTACTTAAATCAAGAAATATACCCGTATGGATGGATATTCATGGAGGAATTAGTTTCAATCTTTTTCAAAGGTATGTATAATTACTTTTTATTATAAAATTGAATGAATTCTATATTTTTTTGTACATTAGTATGGCTGATGGAGTTGAAAATGCTGCTGTTGTTGTTTGTTTTATGACACAAAAATATCAGAATTCACGTAATTGTGAAAAAGAATTATTGTATGCTGAACGAAGACGTGTTTCAATAATTCCATGTCGTTTAACACGTGATTGGGAACCATCAACATGGCTTGGAATAGTTATAGCTGGACTTGTTTGGGTTGATTTTCGTGAAATAACGGAAGCAAATGTTGATGTTAAAATTGATAAATTAATTGATCAAATTCGAGTTGTAGCAGGAAAACAGCTCAATTGTTTTCTTCCAGGTTTATTTTTCAAAACAAAAAAAATTAAATAACTTATATTTCGTTTTTTAGAAACTCCCAGTGTGGAACAAACTCATCCAATATGTGTTAATAATTCTTCAAATACTCTTTATCCTGTTCTTTCAATATCCAGTGAAATATCAAATCGAAATACATCTGATTTAAATAATCTTGTACGTGCTTCATCAATCGATTCAACAAAACGATCAACCAATCTAATATCTCGTCAACATCAAAGTATTGACCATACATATAATACACCACCACCAGTACCTCCTCGTCCAAATAAAGATCTAATTCGAGAACGACTATCACATACTGATACAACAAAAACCTTCGATAAAAGTGAATCTATTGATGAAAAAAAAGAGAACAGGTATATTAACTTTTAAATAAATAATTTATGTCTAATCTTGTTCTTCTTATTATTCAGTATACCAATCAGTAATGGAAGACCAGATATATGTGAAGTTTCAGTTCAAAATCAATCAAATCCACGTTCTATTCCAGTAAGATAATTCTATTTAATTATTAATATAATGAATTCTTTTTTTTTGTTGCAATAGGATGTTATTGATTTATCACCATCTGTCAATAATAGTGAAAAGAAACGCAGTGGTATTATTATTGATTATTCAAAATTTCGTCGTCCACCTCGTATAATTGGTGATGATAATGATGAAATTTCATTTTGCTGTCCATCAGGTGTAGCTGTTTCGAAAACGGGTCTTATCTATGTTGCTGATCAACAAAATCAATGTATTAAAATAATTCCATTATTAGGAAGTGGAAAACAAATTTTATCACGTCCATTTAATCGACCTAAAGGTGTACATATTGATGAACTTGGTCGTGTACTTGTTACGGAACATAATCGTTTACTTATACTTGATAATGATTTGAATTTACTCAAAGCTATTGGAGATCATGGATCAAAACCTGGTGAATTTAATGTACCATGGGGTAAAGATAAAGTATAATAAGAATAAATTTATATATTTTTTTGTTTTAAAATTAGGTGTTACAACTGATTCATCATCGAATATATATGTATGTGATCAAATGAATAATCGAATACAAAAATTAGATGTTGATGGTCGGTTTTTACTTGAATGGGGCTATGAAGGTGAACATCCTGGTCAATTTTATTATCCACATTTTATATCGGTATCTGGTAATCGTGTTGCTGTATCAGATCAATTAAATCATCGAGTGCAAGTATTTGATTGTTTTGGAAATTATCATTATAAATTAGGTGAACCTGGTAATGAACCAGGACAATTTAGTTGTCCATTTGGTGTATGTATTGATGCAAATGGTCATTTAGTTGTTGCTGATCATGATAATAATCGCGTGCAAATGTTTGATGAAAATGGTGATATTGAACTTATATTAGATAGAGAAACAAATCCTTTATTTGATTTTCAAGGTGTTCATGGTTTAGCTTTAACTCATGATGGTGGACTCCTTATTACTGATTATAAACGAAATGGAAAACATCGTTTATTTATTTTTGCGTAGTTTTTTTTCTCTCTATTGGTTTGCTTTTAACCACCATTTGTGCAATATAATTTTAATGTTTATTTCTTGTTTATTAGTAATTTGTGACATGTATGGCTTCGTTTTTAAATAGATTTGGTGGTTTGTTCATTAAAAACAGCTAATCGATTAATACAATGTTAAGAGATAATAATGTCAATATTGATTTTGCCAATAAAAAAATATTCGAGTGTCGTCATTTGAGAAGCATGATGAACAGATGTTCTATCTGGTTTTTTTATATTTCTTGAGTAAATACAAGTCACAAGAGAACTAGTAAAACGAGTTTCCTTGTAACAGTATTAACTTACAACAAGGAATAGATATTCTTAATCTTGTACAAGTTGTTACAATTTTAAGTAATGTTCAAGACTTACAACGATATGCTGCTCATATAAATTTGATTATAACTTTAATAGTACTGAAAGAGGAGTCTGTTGTATTTTATGTAAAACAGGCTTCCAGATGGTTTAAGCGTCTGTTGTTATTGTTCGAACAATTGTGTAATTTCGTTTACTTTATTATTTTGTTATATAAAAGATGATCAGATTTCTACCACTAACATGAATAATGGTAAAAATGATGAAGTTGATCGAGGTTTTATGTTGATATTTGGGATGTTGAATCCAATTTTTTTTTTGTTTTTCTAAAGTGCAGATATAAAAGCTACAAACTACAAGATGAACAGCAACTTTTCTATTGTTGATTTTGAATATATCAAAGCAGGTAAAAGATAAGTGAATTGCTCTAGATTTATGGAGGTTTTATATAGATTAAAACACGTTTTTCATTATTTGAAGATGTGAGTGTGGGTATCTTTACTCTGCCTACAACAACACCCTCAGCGTATCTTCTGTACTCAGTGTGGTACTCATCTGACTTATCAATCCAAAGAGAGATCTTTTATCGATATATGCCTAGATAGTTTTGATAAACCGGAAATACATATGTGAATGGAAGGTTGCCTAGGAGAATGGACTCTGTTGTTGGACATTATTAGATTGAAAACTGATCAATTAATTCTAGACACGATTGTGAGTTATCAGCATCTAGATAAAGCCATAAACGAAGTGAAATGGTAGGACATGTCAAAGAAAAAGATATAATTTATTTCGTATTTTATTCACTGACACTTCTCATAATCACAAGAAAATCTCTTATACACAAATCTTAACACATTTTAAAGCAAAAGCATATCTATTTAGTATTAAAAAAAATGTGTTTCAGTTTGTAATTGGATTAATTCGTTGTCTTCGACATAAAATATATCTGACAATGAATTTCGACAATAATCGACAAATGATTGTTAAACCACCATAAAGACCAATAAGAGTTGTAATACCTTCAATAAGATTATTTTTATCATCGTATGAGTAACTACATAATAATGGTGCACATCGATCAAAATATGATGCATAGGATATTTTCTTTAAGAATTCTTCAACCATTAATTTATTAACAATTGTTTCAACGGTTGTATTCAGAGGAAAACGACTTGAATTAACCAAAGAAATATTCAATACTTTGAAATTACCAGTGATATTAATACATGTTGGAATAAAAAGACATTCGAGTGTTGATTGTAGAATAGTTTCAAGTGGATAACAACCAGAAAGCATACCACGAGAAGGAGAAACACATTTAGATGACACTGCACAAGTACAGTCTTGGTAATCAAGTGGTACTATAAAAGCTGACTGCCTATGAGTTATGTTTTGTGGAGTACCGATCATCCAATTAGTTGAGAATACACTCATTAACATATTTGCTGCAATCATTTCTCGAATTAAAGAAATAGTATTTATAAATAAATTCGGCATTGTTAATTCAAATTCATTAACAGTTGATTGAATACGATTCTCTAATAAATTTGGAGATAAAAGTTCAATATTAATAAAATCATTTTCAATTAGTTGTAAAAGTGATTGATTTGCTGTTTCTTCAGATAATCGACATAATGAAGCAAGTAATTGAAATTGTCCACTAGATGTATGATAGAAATCAGTTGAATTGTATTGATTACCAGGAATAGTAAGATTAAATATATATGTAATCCATGGATTAGAAACAAAATCACTCGAACATATTTGATGATAACGTGCTTCAATATCGAGAAATTCTCGATATTTGATCGATATTTGCGAACACGGGCACTGAAATGATTCATGCGATTGTTCCAAAAGATTTTTATAAGTAGTTAATGTAATATTTCGAATTTCAACAGTTTTTGTACGAAGATTAAAAGTAGTTAAACTAAAGAAAACAGTAAGCATGATAACAACAAGAACAAACTGCAATTGGCAAATGATTTTATGTTTATTATTAAAACTAAATATACGTCTGACTGAATGCCAAACTACTAAAATAGATGAACAATTCGACATAATTTGTTCAATAAATTGAAGTCCAATCCAAATAATAAATTGAAGTCCAAGTGATAAACCTCCATAAAGAGTAATGATAATAGTAATAAAATATCCAAAATGTTGATGATCTTCATATTCAAATGTACATAATGATGGAGAACATTTATCATAATAGGATGAAAAAGAAACATTCGAAAACCATTTATCAACCATTAATCTATTCACAATCAATTCAATTGTTTCATTTGGCTGATTAAGATTTTTATCAAGAGGAGTATATGTAAAAGATTGTGAAGCAACTGTAACTGATAAATTATGAATTGTTAACATACATGAAAGATCATAGAAGCAATCTAATGTTGATGAAAATAAAGCTTCAATAGGATAACAACCAAGAAAGAAGTTAGGAACTGAATAAAAGTTAATTAAATTGTTAGGTTCATCTCCATTGTAGATACCAGTTGGATATAAACATGATCGTGATAAACCACAATTACAAGTAGAATACTGCCTTGGTTGTATTATTGTTCTTCTTGTAATTGGATTAACATCAGCTATGGAATTAAATCCACCATTTGATAATTGATTTCCTTGTGTGATTTCACGAACGGATCGAATAGTACGCTTAAATGTATTAATAGTTGTTGACTTCCAATTTTCAATCAATGAATTCATTTGAAATTCAAATGACTGCTCAGAAATAACTTGTATACTTACAAATTTTGTTTGAAAAAATATTCGAAGAGTATCGTTAATTGTCTGATGAGCTTCTTCACAAAACATAGATAGAGTTTGAAACTGAATAGTAGCAGTTCCTCGATAATCCGAAAAGTATACTGATTGGCGTCCCATAATAGCCGTATAACTGATCCATTCTTGAGAAGTAAAATTACTTGAGCACAGCTGATGATAATATGGCTGAAGTTTAATAAAAGTAGAGTAAGGCATTGAAATTGAAGTACATGGACATGAAAGAGTATTTGGATAAAGTTTTCGAAGTTGAAGATATTCCGATTGAGTTGGATAAGGAATTGTTTTCGATTGAATTGTTCTTTGTAATAAAGTATAAATCGTTAAAATTACAAGCGATATACATAATAATAATATATAGATTCGAGTAGCATAACGTTGATGACGTATTTGTCGATCAGTACTTGGATAATGTTTGAACAGATTTAGTTCAATGAGTTTCTTTCGAGTAGATACCAGAAGTTTTCGACAACGTATACAAACTAAATAGTTAGTTTCAAATTAGAGATTAATATACCACTTTATGAAACTTACTAGAATCTCTTGGTCTTATTGCAGGTTCTTTTAACCATCGTATGAGTCGAATGACAATTAGAATAACTAATTTGAATCCTATTACGAACCCAGCTAATAAACTGATTAGTTTTGTCAAGATATATATCTTATTATGTCGGGATACTTCATAATATGTGCATAAAGATGGTGCACATTGAGAATAATAATTTTCATATGAAATAGTTCTTATCCAGTCTTCGATCATTAGTTTATCAACTATGGATTGTACGGTTGAGTTTGAATAAAATCGACTTTGTTCAGTCACATTCATTGCTTCGAATGTTTCATTTGTTGCAAAATATGAAATAAGCTTATCTAGACATGTTTGATTGTAGAAACATTCCAGTGTTGAAAGTAGAATTGAAGTAACAGGCATACAACCTGAAGATATTCCTGGTATAATCCAAAGAACGATATTATCTTTAGAACCTGTAAATCTATTTGTCACACTATGTATAGCTGAAAGAAACTTCTTACAGCCTTTCTGCTTACACATACAACGACTACCATCCTCTTGTGAATGTGCAAGTGTGCCTTTTGTGACAATAATGTCATTAGGACCAGTTACATAGTAAACATGAACGGCATTTGTCTGTAATGCAGTTATTAATTCATTTGTTCGTATCATATCATTTACTAATCTTAGTAAACCATTAAAAATGTTCGGTGCTGTTGATTGAAGTTCGTCGATCAATGATTTCATTTGCGATTTAAGATCGATTTCAGATAGTACTTGTGCACTTAATAATGTACGTAGATAAAAAGAATTGATGCTTTGTTCAATATTCACTTTTGATAAACGACAAAAACCAGCAAGTGCTTGAAACTGAGCACTACCAAAAGCTCGAAAATCAGTACCGAGAAACAAAGTAGAGTTCGGTCCAGTATTTATTGTTTTAAGCCATCGATCAAGTACCAATTCACTTGAACAAACTTGATGAAATTTTTTTTGAAGTGAAATAAATTTTCCATAAGGAAAAGATATTTGAGAACAAGGACATCGAGCATTCGAAGGAAGAGACTGAATTTTTTCTTTTGTTGGATTTTTAATCTTGATCATTGTTGTTTGAGTAATCAACGATAAAAATAATGCACTTCCAATAAGACTCAATATAATGATTAAAATATAGACGCGGGTAGCTATAATATTCCAGCGACGTTTTTGATCATCTTCTATTTCATCGCTATCAGGAGATGGTTTGAAGAGATTTAAGTTTAGAAAGAAATCTTTGAGAAAAGACATTCTCTACAGATATAAATCAAATGAAAAATAATTCTAGAACTAGATGTTTTTCACTCCCGACTTTGCGAGTGATTTCTGAGTGTAGAAAAATTAATTTGACGTAAATGAAGGAAATTCAATCTATTTATTATTAATATCTGGCTTTGTTAGCCATATCTGAATGCATCAAAGAGAAACACGATAATACAAAAGGAAATAAGAAAATTATTTAGCTTTTTTGCGTTTGAAATATAATTCTTATCAGTTACAGTAAATACAACAATAGAAACACCTACAGAAAATTTGTTTTTCTTTCAGAAAAAAAACTAGATGTATACATCTTATAACATCTGTTACTGTGAACTGTAATGGTAGTTATGTCGCATATTTTATTGTATTTATTACAAAAACTTATTTATTATGTCTTGAATTATAAAATTTAAAGAAAATTTGTTCATGAAATATGAATACGTTTGAAATTTCGTGTATTATGATCAAAAACATTTTCTATCACGTAGAATATTTTTATTTTACAAGTTTTTAATCCGAAACTTTGTTTTATGAGAAGAACCGAAAGAGAAGAAAAAAATATATATCCTGTTTTATAAATTTGTTATAACTTTATTCAAATATTAACTACAGAAGAGTGATAGATGATAGGATTATTTTAAAAACAAGTAGTACTAGCTCATTGATCATTTTTTATTTGATTTCAATTAAAAATTTATAATAAACTGGTGAATATTTCAGACTGATCCATAGTTTATTTTCAATAGAAGTGGGTGTGAGCAGGGGCGTAAGTCAGGTGTCGGAGCAGGGGGGGTGTAGGGGGGGGCGCAAGCCTAGTTTTTCTATTTTAATGGTCAAAAAAACTGAATTTTCTAGAAGCAGGGGGGGCACAAACCCCTTTTTCCTATTAGTTTTCGGAAGCAGGGGGGCTATGCGCCCCACGCGCCCCCCCCCCCCTATTTACGCCACTGGGTGTGAGCATGTTAAAGAATGACACTCACTTCCACACCCACACCCAGCTTCTGTAAACATGTAAAATACGATGAGAGAACAGACCATATATATTAAAAGAGATCACTAAAACCCAGGTCGAACAATCCGGCACGGAAACGGCCGGTTCCGTGGTATTCTGAAGATTTCACGGAATAGTGCTTTAGAAACCATCGATCTGGGAGTTTTGTTTCAGTCGATATAGAGGTCCTGTAAACGAGACACCGGTTATTAATTTGCAAAATGAAAACTAAAAAAACATTTTTTTATGACCAGTTATATTCAATATAAATGTTTATACTTTAAGTAGATATAAACGTCTTTTCGGTATGGTTATATTTGCTTTGTTGAATAAAATCAATGAGATGATGAAACCAATTAATAATAAAATAATGGTTAATGTAGATACACTCAGACCATTATGTACACGTGAGAATAGCAAAACTAGCTGTAGAATAATCGAATATAGAAAATGAATATACAAGTTAAAAGTTTTATTTGAGTTTTAAAACAAAAATTAGACATACTAGTTCAAAAGCAAATATGCTATATATTATGATTTTGGCTTTTGTTCGATATACTTTGTTTTTGCAAGCGAACATCATTGCCACAATGTAATACAAACAGGGCTAGTACCTAGGTTAACCATTCTGGCTGCCAGACACGGTGTCTTAAATGGCCTAAAACAATTATAAGACGGTGTATTACTGCATTAATTCTTACCGTATTTTGCCATAATTCGTCATCCCAGAAAAGTAGCCGTTTTTCACACTATTTCTATCGTTTTCTGGGATGCCGGATTACGGCAACGAGAAAACAACGGTTTTTCTCGTTTTATACCATTTTTACATCGTGTACGGTCGTTTACGTTGTCGTTGCTTTTAACCTGGGATAGATATCAGAAGCAACCACTAAAGATTCAATTCAAATATTACAAAATATAATTACAAAGTAACTTACTAAAGATATGTAATATAATACCTATAATTAGTCGAGTATGCGATGTCTAAAATAATTTTTTTTGATGTATATTACAGTGAATATATAAATTTTTTTACCTTTAATAAAAATATTCGATTATTTGGTATTGTCATATTTGATTTTTTGGCTGCAATTGTTCCAGTGATTAATGAGACAAATGCTAATAGAATAATGTATAAAAATAACATTTTGTCTCGATGAATCTTGAATATTACTGAGAACAATTGCAGTCCAATAGATAATGAAAACGATATCTACAATTTAAAAAATATTGTTCTATTTTTAAAAGGAGAAAAAGGACGTACTATATCGATTGTCCAGATGACATATATAAAAAAAATTGCGGTTTGTGTATTTACTGGCTTTTTGCACGGTAACAGTCTTATAGTAGACGCTGCCGAAAAAAATGTGAAAAGATTAACCGATTTAATGTCGAGTCACAGCTGAGGGTGTGAGTGTGGATATGATATGTTGGCGAATCAACGAAACATAATGTAATATATAATCTATAAGTATGTAAGTAATAACAAATGATAAGTGAGTAATGAAAAGTGAATAAAAATGGATAAGTAAATAATAACTTTATATTTTAGAATAAATGTTTTTTAGATATTTAAGCAAGAGAAAGTTTATAAGAAGAAGAAATAAAGAATAGATAAAGACGAAGATGTGAATAAATGGATGAAATAAGAAATAAGAAATAAGAAAGAAAGAAGTAAAGAAATAAATGAAGGGTGTGTGCGTGGGTGCTGGTGTGGTTGTGACTACTCTTTTCAACGAGATCAACACCCGTAACCAAACGCAAACAAACACCCACACCCTCAAGACAAACCGCTGGTGCCAAAAGGTCTAATATGTTTTAATCTGCGTTTACCTTTGAGTAGGATGCGATTATGTGCTCAGAGTAATGAAGAACAAAGGAGAGCAAGATTTTCAATTGTTTTTCCAATAAACGTGAAGAGGGTGTATTTCTACGAGAAAGTGCTAAGTGAGTCATCGGACGTGCATTACTTGTTAGATATAGGAATATTTCGTAGCATAATCAGATAATACCTTTCGTATTCTATTGTAACCGTTTATCTATGTTTCGTGCTTCTTGTTTCTATTTTATTTTCTAATCAACTGACCAATACATTTTCAAATCAGGAAAGGGTCAAGATATAGAAAGAGGACAGAACAAAGAAAGGAAACGTTGTTATATACAATTGGTGACCTTGTCCGAAGAGAGATGTAGTGTGGTTGGTTGCAAATATCTCTTGCATTGCTTCAAGATTTTGTGGCACAGTGTAAAGAAGGTAGTAGAATAATAAATTCCCATTTGATGACGAATATTAGAATGAACACTGAAAAACTATCTTTACATACTTTTTTAATATTGTAGTCAGATGCGTCATACGTCATTTAGAGGCGAATGCATAGATAGCTTTTCAGTATATAATGCACAGATTTACAATATATTTTATCTGAAGAAAGATTATATTTTATTCTAGAAGAATATGTCAAAAAAACATTTGAACGAAAGCGAAATGTTTCAATAATGAACAATATATATCATTATTTCGAGAACATGAACTTAGCAAAATAATAAACACGTCCTTCAATATCAAAATTACGACCCATGTTCTGACGAACGTGTAGTCATTCTGATTTGATTTGAACCATCTTTCACTTTATAATGTTTAATATATTATTTTAAATTGGAAAGAATTATAGATATAGTTTTCATCATGTCTGTTGTTATAACATCAACTAGTACACCTTCTACTTTAACAAGAACTAATTCGGAATATGTTTTGGAAAAAAAAGTACGTATACTTGTATGAATCTTCTTTTGTATTTATCTAACGAGAGAACCTCACTAACTAATGCTCTCTGTTTAAATTCATATGTTACTTCTTGAGTTATGATCACTTTACTGAATTTTTAGCCTACCATAGGTTACTATGAAAAAGATCGAAATAATGAATTTTCATTTGAAAATTTTCTAAATAATAAATCTCGTGATCATTATTATATTCTGAGAGTTTCAGCTAACACGAATGAATTTTTCTTAAGATATAGGATACTTGATAGATGAACTATGTCAAGGAGCTTCCGTGAGAAACCAGTGATTTTTGTACACGTATTATCTTGAAATAAAAACATTTGTCTGCGCTGAAACTTTCAGAGTTTAAAAAGGGCCATGAGTTTTGTTGTTGGAAAAATTTTCAAGTGAAAATTCCTCATTGCAATGTTTTTCTTCATAAAATTCTAGTTTAGACTGAAAATTCACTGAAATGACTATAATTTGAGAAGAAAGGCCTGATGACACGAACCATTTTAGGGTTTCTATCTGCACTATAAGCTCTGTCAATGAGAAAAATATGAGCTCAAAGGGAACGCATTAGTTGATGAGAATTTCTCATAAATAGTAAACTATCTCTTTTAGTATTCTTTACTTTTGCAAAACTTGTAATGTTTTCTTTTTGGCTATCTAGAAAAATTCGACAAAATGGCAAAAATTTGAATATGTGATTGTCTAGGCGTTAGCATATATAAGCGCGCTCTGTGCGATCATATGTCTCTTTGACGGAGCATATTATGCATGGGTAAGCTATAATAAATATTTTATTGTTTCACTCATTTTAACGATAATTTTTCATGTTCTTTAGAAAATCAGACGTTCGGTTGCTCTTCCAATTTCCCTCTGTGTTATGAATCTGCTTTTCGTTGTAGTAGTTCTCGACAAAATTATTTATCATATCTCTATCCTTGTTCGGAAGTATCGTCATCATCATCGACGCCAACAACGTTGTATTCGAGAATCTACTAAATGTAATGAAGTATCTCGTTATGAGAAGATCGAATGGTTGTCAAAGCAATATCGTCAGAAATTAAAGATGGTAATGAGTGGAGTTTTAATTCAAGATCATCATCAGATCAATATTTAATCCATCTTTAAATCTTAGCCGTGTATAATAATGTATTTTCCTGTTATATATCAATGTTGATTTGTTTCGTTATAGAGTCTTGCTTTTCTCTAAGTCATTGCATTTATATTCTATTGTGTTTATTGTATTGGTTTGTTGTTTCATTAATAATCTTGTTTTTATATCTCAATTGTATAAATATATTTGTATCAAATACCTTAGTCTGTTTTATTTAGTTGACAGACTGAGTTACTTAATGTAGATTAATTTAACGATTATCTCATTGTTTCTTTCTAAGTAGATGATAATACTCAAGTCAAAGATGGAGCAAAGAGAAAAGATTAGCTTATTTAAGAAAAAAACAAAAAATATTTCATTTTCAAATACTTTTTATGTAATTATTTTAAGTTTACTGAAATAAAACTAATTCATAACTAACACATTTTTGTAGAGAAACTAAGGGGGTAAGGACTGACACCAAGCACCTGTTCGGCGTTTTTCGGTGCTGGGTGCCAGCTCTTACTCCCTTGAAAGATATACTATCCACTCTGATTTAAACGTAATCTTGGTTGTTATTAGTTTACTTTTACATTGCAAATCATTGCTTATATTTTCAGAAAATAATCCATTTATTTAACTTTTACTATGATACTAAAATATTATGTTAATGAATAATCGTTCGATTTATGAGCAAATATGATGAACTTGCTTCTCAGATATAATAAAATATATTCTAATTATTTAATAATATCGTAAATAGGAAGAACTGTATTACAATGTATATAAAAGCGACAACGTCAAGAGAGATAAACACTCGCCCAGACCTAAACCCTCACCCACACCCACCACACCCTCAGGTTTTCATACGATTAAACACCAAAAAGAAAATCATCATTGTTTATGTATGATAGTGACATCTTTAGTATATCAAAGTTTTTCATGATTAGCTAAACAATCTTTTATTGAATTAGAGATTATTATTTCGTTGATTCATCCTATGAATATATTTATTATTTAATAATTTGTTGGTTATCGAACCATTGATAAATATATGAAGTTAGTAATCGGATCGATATTATGATTTTATTGCTTCCTTTACTTTTCTCACTCATTTTTTTTATTTGCTCCTCATGACTCATCAATAAGAGAGAATGCCCGAAAAAGAACATATATAAATATATATATACATTTATATACATTCTTTCTCGTTCTCGTCGATCGTCGACTTTACCACTCACTTGATCGACTGACAATAAGGATGAAAGATTATTTTATCCGAATAAATCTTGTATCGACATTTATACTGAATCCTTTTTAATCAAAACAAAAGCATATCATCAATCTAACTTTTCTTTTCTATCTATTATAGATGCCGTTCTGGAAGAAAGATCCTGTTAAAAAAGAAATTTATACCAATGTCGCGGAAGGTTTACGACAGGTATATAAAGCAAAATTATTGCCATTAGAAGAAGCATATAGATTTCATGAATTTCATTCACCACAACTTGATGATAGTGATTTTTCAGCTAAACCAATGGTACTTCTTGTCGGACAGTATTCCGTTGGTAAAACAACTTTTATCCGTTATTTATTAAATGTAAGTTTCGTTTTGTTTTTGTGTTCGATTTTATTAATTATTTTTTTTGAATTTTTAGGAAGATTTTCCAGGTATTCGTATTGGACCAGGTAATGACGTATTCTTTTATTTTCTTATCTAATCAATTATTTTATAGAACCAACAACTGATTCATTTATTGCAATTATGAATGCTGATCGTTCCGGTACGATTCCCGGTAATGCCTTAGTTGTTGATCCATCAAAACCATTTCGACCATTATCAAAATTTGGAAATGCTTTTTTAAATCGTTTCGTTTGTTCACAATTACATAATGAAATTTTAGAAACTGTTACATTTATCGATACACCTGGTATATTAGCAGGTGAAAAACAACGTGTTGATCGTGGTTATGAATTTACACATGTTCTTGAATGGTTTGCTGATCGTTGTGATCGTATATTACTTCTATTTGATGTTTCATCACTTGATATATCAGATGAATTAAAACGTGCTATTGAAGTTTTACGACGTAATGATGATAAAATCCGTATTGTACTTAACAAAGCTGATTCAGTAGATCATCAAGCATTAATGAGAGTTTATGGAGCTTTAATGTGGTCATTAGGAAAAGTACTTGGAACGCCTGAAGTTTGTCGAGTTTATGTGGGTTCATTTTGGTCAAAACCGTTAAATTTTGATTCAAATCGACGTTTATTCGAGTTGGAAACAAAAGATCTATTTGATGATTTAGGTAAGAAAAAAAA